CAGCCTGTATGTTCTTTTGCCTGGTGCCTTTGTTTTCCTCTGCAAAACTGAGGAAGTAGGACCGTGTATTATGAAGGATTAAATGAATTAACATAGGTAAAGCACAGACTACAGCTTGTTTACCTTGTAAGTTATGGAAAGGAAAAAAACCTTACCACTTGTTTAGACTTGTCCCCATGCTGTGGTGGGGCCACAGATTTTTTTTTTTTGGGGGGGGGGTCTGATCGTGGGGCCTGAACTCTGGGCCTGGGCGCTGTCCCTCAGCTCTTCAGCTCAAGGCTAGCACTCTACCACTTCAGCCACAGCGCCATTTCTGGCATTTTTCTTTTTGCTTATGTGGTGCTGAGGAATTGATCCCAGGGCCTCTGACATGCAAGGCAAGCGCTCTACCACTGAGCCACCTTCCCAGCCCTGTGGGGCCACAGATTTCTTTTTTGGTTCTGGCGAGCGAACTCTGCTTCATGCATGTTACCTGATTAATCATGCTACCATGGAGCTGCACAGTTGCTGTCCAGACTGCAAGAATTGGCATATGGTTGTGTCTGCATTTCTTTTTATTTATTTATTTATTTATTTATTTTTTGCCAGTTGCGGGGCCTGAACTCTGAGTCTGGGTGGTGTCCCTCAGCTCTTCAGCTCAAGGCTAGTGCTCTACCACTTGAGCCACAGTGCCACTTCCAGCTTTTTCTGCTTATATGGTGCTGAGGAATGGAACCAAGGGCCTCATGCATGCAAGGCAAGCACTACCACTGAGCCACCTTCCCAGCCCTACTTTTTTATTTTTGTTGTGGGGCTTGAACTCTGGGCTTGAGTGCTGTCCCTCAGCTCTTCAGCTCAAGGCGAGCACACTATGGCTTGAGCCACAGCGCCACATCTGGTTTTCTAGTGGTTTATTGGACTTTCCTGCCCAGGCTTTGAATGGTGATGCTCAGATCTCAGCCTCCTGAGTAGTTAGATTACAGGTGTGAGCCATCAGCACCCTGCTGGAGTCCACATTTCTTTGGTTAGTGCAGCCTGTGGACAGAGATTGGAGCCGAGCACTGCCCCTGGATGGGTGTCCAGGGCAGAAGGATTTTCTGGAATGTTGAGGTCCAACTTTAGGTGGTGTGTTGCTTCCAGTTCAAACTGCCAGATGAACAGGCACTCAAGGAAGCCCTGTGGTGTTGCCCAAGGTAGTTAATCATTGTCAGCTCTTGGGCTGCAGCTCCACTTATGCCTGTCTATGTCTAAGAAGAGGGAATAGTCCTGTCTGTTGTTGATCTGCTTAGGGATTGCTAGCAACTGAAGTCCAAGGTTGTCAGAAACCCACCACTGACCTTCCATTTTGACACTGGTCAGCCATCAGCTCCTGACAACAAGACCTGTGTTGTGTGCCCTGCCCTCCCTATCCCCACAGAGCTCCTTTAGTTAGTGTGCCCTTTTGGGGTCTTCCACTGTTCTTGGCTGCTGATTTGGGTTAATGTGAGACACTGGGATTAATTTCTGAACCCATAGTCTACCAGCTTTCATGGCATTTTGGTTGTTGGGCTTCCTAGGAACTGACTATAGATTAGCCAGCCTGTTCTTGTGGCTAAGGGCTTGGGAGAAGGTAAGGGGCTGAGAAGTGACTAATGGACATGGTCAGGACATGTTCTCATGCCTGTGGTTGACAGCAGAAGCAGTTCCTTGTGGGAAAATCCAGAACCCAGGAATATTGGACTACGTGGAGCAGACAACCCCAGGTCAACACCATATTCATCTGTTTATGATCAGAGTCCCACTTCTCTGAAGTACATGTTAGTCAAGAATTGAGGATGGTGCCTAAAATATTGCAATTCTAAGCAGTTCTTAGCTAATGCCAGGGCAGCTGTTTCATCGTTGCTGCCTTCCGGGCCTTTACTTGCCTCTTGTCAATGCTTAGAAGGTGGGTAGAGATGGCTGCTGCATTAAATGCAAATCAACCTGGGGACATCATTACTGACTTATATACTGCCCCCTGGTGGATATGCATCACCCTCTGATAATCTCCCAGCCTGGTAGTCCCAGATGGTTCTTCTAGAGGGGAAGGTATTCTGGGAACAGAGGAGCAAGAAGGGGAACTGTTGGAAATAGGTACTTGAGGGGTTTGTAAATGACTTAAACTGGGATTCCTAGGCAGCCATGGTCACATAAAGCTATTCCAGTTAACTCTGGAGAAGAGATCAGAGGATTAATGTTCAAGATTGAGGCCAGCCTGGACAACATATTGCTACAGCCTGGTTTCAACAAATAAGTCTGGCTTGATGGGTTCATATACTTAAGGCTGAGATTAGTGCCGGGCGCTGGTGGCTCACGCCTGTAATCCTAGCTACTCAGGAGGCTGAGATCTGAGGATCGCGGTTCAAAGCCAGCCCGGGCAGGAGAGACCGTGAGACTCCTATCTCCAATAAACCACCAGAAAACCGGAAGTGGCGCTGTAGCTCAAGTGGTAGAGTGCTCGCCTTGAGCTGAAGAGCTGAGGGACAGCGCTCAGGCCCAGAGTTCAAGCCCCACGACCGACAAAAAAAAAAAAAGGCTGAGATTAGTGGCCAGCATCAAACTGAAGCTATTTGAAAAAACTGCCGGATGCCTGTGGCTCAGAGAGCCAAGAACTTCCCTCTTAGTTCTGTTTTTTGTTGTTGGTCATGGGGCTTGAACTCTGGGCCTTGGCACTGTCCCTCAGTTTTTCAGCTCAAGGATAGTGCTCTACCACTTGAGTCACAGTTCCATTTCTATTTTTCTGGTGGTTAATTGGAGATGAGCCTCACAGGCTTGACTGCTCGGGATGGCTTTGAACTGTGATCCTCAGATCTCAGCCTCCTGAGTAGCTAGGATTACAGGCATGAGCCACTGCCACCCAGCTCCAATTCTTTAATTATTTAGTTTAAAACATTAACTCTTGGGGAATGGACATTTAAAAAAAGTTCTATGCTGGGTGTTTATGGTTCATGCCTATAATACTAGCTACTCAAGATGTTGACAACTGAGGATTGTGGTTCCAAGCCAGCCTGGGCAGTAATGTCCATGAGACTTACCAGCTAAAAAAACAAGAAATGGAGCTGTGGCTCAAGAGGGAGAATGCTAGCCTTGAGCAAAAATACAAACAACAACAAAAGAAAGCTCAGATAGCCTCCAGGCCCTCAGTTGTTTAAGCCCCAGGACCAGCACAAAAAAAGGACAAAACATGTCTGGGGACATAACCCAAATGGTAGAGGCTCTGCATTCAAACCTTAGTACCACCAAACATAAAAAGATGACAAAAACCTAGAGAACACCCATTTGGGATTTGTGACTTTTGCAGCTTGTACCTAATTCTGGCCACAATGTTTAAATTATTTTTTTTTGAGACAAGTTCTTACTATATAGCCTGGTCTTGACTCTAAGTGTAGTAATTATAGCTGTGTGTGCCCTTACCTGCCTCTTTACAGTGATTTGTTTTTAGAAGTGCTGAGGGTTGAACATTGTGCACAAATTTGTTTTTCCTCTATATGTAGCAAAGGCTGGACTCAAGCTAATTCTTTATCCTTCCTCAGTGCTGGGATTTGATGCATCTGGATGGATATCAAAACCTTGTAAAGAAACCTTGTATATCAGGTTTTCTTTTTCCTTTTTGGTAGTGCTGTTGACCCCAGATTTTCTGCGTGCAAGGCAAGCACTCACACTCTTTAGCCATGTTCCTATTAGAAAAGGCGCAAGTTCTTTTTTTTTTTTGGTTGGTCGTGGGGCTTGAACTCTGGGCCTGGGCGCTGTCCCTCAGCTCTTCAGCTCAAGGCGAGCGCTCTACCACTTGAGCTACAGCGCCACTTCCGGTTTTCTGGTGGTTTATTGGAGATAGGAGTCTCACGGTCTCTCCTGCCCGGGCTGGCTTTGAACCGTGATCCTCAGATCTCAGTCTCCTGAGTAGCTAGGATTACAGGCGTGAGCCACCAGCGCCCGGCAAGGTGCAAGTTCTTATATCCAACAAATGCCCACAATATTGCAGACAGTGGGTTAGGGCAAAGGTCATAGGGCCGGTCAGCCATCAGTAGGAACTGGCAGCATATCTTAGCTGATTTACCACGAGGGGCCATGGTGGGGACACTTAATCCTGGAAATATAGGTGCTTAATGTCCACAGCTCCAGTACTGCCTTTATTTAACCTTTTTTTTTTTTTTGGCCAGTCTTGGGGCTTGAACTCAGGGCCTGGGCACTGTCCCTGAGCCTCTCTGTACTCAAGGCTAGTACTCTACCACTTGAGCCACAGCGCCACCTCTGGCTTTTTCTGTGTATGTGGTACTGAGGAATCGAACCCAGGGCTTCATGCATGCTAGTCAAGCACTCTACCACTGAGCCACATTCCCAGCCCTTTTTTTTGGAACTTGGAACTCACAGCCCTAGCTGTGAGTTGAGGGTGTGTGTGTGGGGGAGGGAGGATGGGGGGAGGTTGGTGCGCCACAGGCTGTGAGACCAATGCATCCTTGGGATTGGGGTGGGGCGTGGCTTGGGCTGCCACAGAGGAGAGAAGGTTCTGTGGGGGAGGAGAGAGCTCTGGAAGAAGACCTACACATTGAGGGGAAGGGAGACCAAACAAAGGGGTCAGGAGAGATAATAATGCACTGGCTTCCTGAGGCACTACAGAGGCTGGGCAGGGGGGAAGGGGCCAGAGAAAGGGACAGAAGCTGACAGGCCAGGGCAAGCAGGGCCTAAATGTCATTGTTTGAAAGGTCTGTTAATTGCACAGCAGCCTGAGTTGAGCCTCAGACTTGTGTTCTTGTCTCTTGTGTGCTGGGTGCTAGCACCTAAGCTTTTGGGACACTTCAGCCACATGGCATCTGGGAGGGGCTTGGCAATAGAGCCACCCTGGGAGGGGTCCTGGGGCAATATGTCACTGTGAGATTGCTTTTTGGATTGGCCTGAGCAAATAGGTAGAGCCAAGTGACCCGATTATTGGAAGGGTGTTGCCCCATGGTGACCCCAATTCTCTTTTCTCCTTTACCCATTTTGACTTTCTTCCACAGGAAACAATGAAGGGTGACACCAGACACCTCAATGAAGAAGAGGGCCGTAGTGGGAGGGAAGACTCCATCAATGGGGCCTGCAGCGACCAATCCTCGGATTCCAAGGATGCCCCCTCGCCCCCTATCCTAGAGGCTATCCGCACCCCGGAGATCAGAGGTGGCTGGGCTGGGGGGAGGGGGATTTTGCACGGCTCCTGCAGACCAAATCTCGGCAAAGAGGTTCCTGCAGGCTCAGTAGTATGGGATACATCCCTTGGAAGGGAGAGCCAGCTCCTGTATAGGATGAGAGAGTCATAGCCCCATTTTATCTCTGCCCACTGCCACATGTGCCCCTTTCCTGTCAGCTCAAGTAGGAGGCTGAGGACAGGGAAAATAAAAGTGGATGATCCTCTGTCCTTTTCAGGGGGTGGTCCCAATACAGCCCCAGATCACTGGTCCTTCCGTAGTTTGGTGCACTCTCCTGAGCTGGGACTGGGGGGTGATCAGGAGCTCTTAGCTTTGCTTTCTATTACTCTTTCCTCGTGGTTCCCAGATCTGGCCACTTGGGATTCTGCCCCACTGTTTGGGAATGCACAGTACTATCCTGTCTTGTCCTTGATCTGTTCCATCCCTCTAGAAACTTTCTTTGTGAAAGTAGCCTGTTTATTCCAGTGTCCTATGTGAACACTTGCAGTATGGTTGGCAGCAAAGGACTAAAGAACAGCACATATCTTCCTTCAGAAATGGATTCAGTCAGATTTATGTGCCTGTGTTCTATTGGTTGAACACTGGTTTAAGGCTGCCAGGGCACAACCATTATCGGGAGGTAGCTTGTCAGCAAGGCTGGTATCTGCCTTTCCTCCAAACACAGGCTCTGCTCTTCCTCCGTAGGCCGCAGATCAAGTTCACGACTATCTAAGAGGGAGGTCTCCAGTCTGCTGAGTTACACCCAGGTACGTGCTCCTTCCTTTTTCAGAGTTTAAGGACATTTACCTTTTATGTAATGGGCATCCTAGGGCTCAGAATTGTGATCTGCAAGCTAAAATCTTTTTGTTGTTTTTACTATATGATAGTTTGAACTTCTGCTTGCTAGAACTTGAGTCATGCCTCCAGCTTGTGAAACAAGGTCTCACTGTCACCCAGGGTGACACCCAGGGTGATTTTAAGGCATGCATTTTAGTAAATTAAGTTAAATTTTACTGCATTTTTTTTTCTTTTTGTGGGTCATGGGTTTTGAACTCTGGGCTTGGGCCCTATCCCTGTGCTCTTCAGCTCAAGGAGAGCACTCTACCACTTGAGCCACAGTGCAACTTCCGGCTTTCTGGTGGTTTATTGGAGGTAATAGTCTCATGGACTTTTCTGCCCGGGCTGGCTTTGAACCGTGATCTTCAGATCTCAGCCTCCTGAGTAGCTAGGATTATCCATGTGAGTCACCAACGCCTGGCTTTTACTGCATCTTTATGGCGTATTTGTGCAAATTTTTTTTTCTCATGCTCAGGGATCAATGACATTGATATATTTCTACTATAGCAAACTGCTTTCATTTCTGAAACAACTCATTTTTTTTTTGAGGTCCTTAATGGGACCAAACCCAGGGCCTCACATGTTAGAGAAGTGTGTTAGTTAGTACAGAGCTGTAGCCCCAGTCCTTGAAATTTTATCTATTATTGAGAAAATAATGGATGTATGATTTTATTTCTATTCCCATTTTTAAAGGGAATGCAATGAACTCACCCAAGCCACACGCACATGGTTGTAAGTGTGAAGTCACGTTCTTACCCCTCTAGCATTCCTCCTGGCTGCTCACTGCTTAGCTTTTGTGTTCTGTGTGTTGGTGTAAGCCTGGAGTCTGTGATACGATGCTGGGCGCATTGCTTCTGCATTGCTTCTCCACCGTCGTCAGGCAGCCCTCCCTCCATCGGTCTTCCCATATGCTGCAAGTGGTGAGAGTTGCCTTGGTCACCTGCTTGGCACAGGCATATTATTCATCTCATCTCTGTGATATGCTCATCACTGGGGCTTTAATTTTAATCCTGTCTTGAGTTTGTGATGTGATCCTATGGTGAATGAACTGTCAGAGAATCTTCTTAGACCAGATACTGATTTTTTTTTTGGGTTTTATTTTTATTTTTTTTGGTCATGGGGTTTGAACTCAGTCTGGTGCTGTCCCTGAGCTCTTGCTCAAGGCTAGCGCTCTGCCACTTTGAGCCACTTCTGGTTTTCTTTTCTTCTTTTTCCAGTCCCGGGGCTTGAACTGAGGGCCTGAGGACTGACCTTGAGCTTCTTTTGCTCAAGGCTAGCACTTTACCACTTGAGCTACAGCGCCACTTCTGGCTTTTTCTATGTGGTACTGAGTAATCAAACCCAGGGCTTCATGTATGCTAGGCAAGCACCCTACCACTAAGCTACATTCCCAGCCCCACTTCTGTTTTTCTGGGGGTTAATTGGAGATAAGAATCCTACAGACTTTCCTGCCCAGGCTGGCTTTGAACCATGATCCTCAGATCTCATCCTCCTGAGTAGCTAGGATTATAGGTGTGAGCCACCAGCGCCTAGCTGAGTTGTTTAGTTTTAGTTTACGGGGTGGATTGTGGCTAAAGTGGAGTACTTGGTTCTATTTTCTACTGCAACAAATACAATGGAGGTTTATTTGCAGTACTGGGCTTTGAATTCAGTGTCTCTTGATTGCTTAGCTGTCTCTACCACCTGAGCCATACCTCCAGCCTGGCTTCTTGCTGGTTAAATGGAGATAATTGTTGGAGATTTTTGTACTTTGAGATGGGACCCATAGATTTCAGCTTCCTGAGTAGGATTGAGTCACATGTCTTTTAGGTTCTTTTGAGTTACATTATGGGTTTCCAGATATATGATTAACTGTCATTGCCACACTTCAGAAAGTTTGTTTCCTTTACAAAGGATCTGACGGGTGATGGGGATGGTGAGGATGAAGATGGGTCTGACACTCCAGTGATGCCAAAACTCTTCCGAGAGACCAGGACACGATCTGAAAGTCCAGCGGTAAGTTCTCACATACCAGACCTGGCCCTTCCTTGTCACCACTTGGTGGCCTTTGGAGCAAAAGAGGCTTCTGTCTCCCTAGTGAAGGTTTTATCCTTTTGGTTGACATCAGGGTATAAATTGAGGACTTCAGAATCACTCAGATTGCTTGCCAGGTTACGCTTTACCTTTTTTTTTTTTTTTTTTTTTGACTGCCTAATTGGAGATGGAGTCTTATTTTCTACCCAGGAAGACTTCAAACCACAGTCATCCGGGTGTCAGCCTCCTGGGTGGCTACAATTATAGAAGTAAACCACCACATCCAACCAGCTCCTAGCATGGTTTGAAGGCAAAGGTTAACAAATGTGCTGAAATTTGGTTTTATTTCTCAAAGCACTTTCTTTCCTGTGGCACATGTTTGTTATCTTCTTTCTTGGGTCTGTCATAGAATTCACTGCATGATAAGCAAGCAGCTGGGTGGATGGCGTAGCTGCCAGTCACCTAGCAGTGATGACACCCTTACGCTTGAATTCTGTGAGACCTAACTATTCTTGAGTGAGGTCTAAACATGGGAAATCAATGCTCAGGACCACCCCTCTCATAACAGGGCTAACAATTTCAATTCATTGCCTTTGATTGCTTAGCTTTCTCTCTATCACTTGAGCCATTCCTCCAGCCTCGCTTTTTTTCTGATTGAATGGAGATTTTATTCCCGGCTAGCTTTTGAGATGTGTCCCATAGGTCTCCTAACTTTAGAACTTGTAACCCATGGCTCCTAACCTCAATTCCTTCTCATGCTATATGTATTGCAAACTATTTTGCATATTCAACAAGATTCCAGCTACTTCATGATTACATAACCACAGATGACACAGAAGCAAAACAGGAGTCTCAAGACCCAAATCCATGCTGTTTGAGAGAACAATTGAGGGATGGACGTTCTTCCATCATTGAAAAAGTAACTGGTCATATATATGTTTTTTGAAAACATACTTTTTATTTCTTTTTTTTTTTGTTGCTGGTCCTGGGGTTTGAACTCAGAGCCTGGGTGCTATCCTTTTTTTTTTTTTGGTTGTGGGGCCTGTCCCTCAGCTCTTCAGCTCAGGGTTAGTGTTCTACAACTTGAGCCATAGCGCCACTTCTGGCTTTTTTTTCTCCTTATGTTGTGCTGAGGAATCGAACCCAGGGCCTCATGCATGTGAGACAAGCACTCTACCACTGAGCCACCTTCCCAGCCCTACTCTGGTAATTTAGTGGAGAGAAGAGTCTCACAGACTTTATTGCCCAGGGTAGTTTTGAACCACACTATCTTCAGATCTTGGCCTCCTGATTTGCTAACATTATACATATGAGCTGTCAGCGCCTGGCAACATGTTTTTTTTTATTTTTATTTTTATTTTACTTTCTAGGTGCCTGTTGGCTAAACCTGCAAGTGTGACCCACAGCAGACCATGTAGCTGGCATTTCACCATACTTATACAACTGGGAAATTTCTGGGCTGGGAGTTGTCAGTCTAGGTCATCAGGACAACCCTGGCCCAATCCTTTTGGCCACCTGCCCCAATCTCCTTTGTCCCCAGTTACCTAAGGCCTTTTGCTTATCCTCCTTGCTTCCAGGTCCGAACCCGAAATAACAATGCCTCCAGTCAGGAGAGGTACAGGCCCTCTCCACGTTTCACCCGAGGCCGCCAGGGCCGCAATCCTGTTGATGAGTCCCCCGTGGAGTTCCCAGCTACCAGGGTTGGTTCCCTTGCCCAGTCCATCTCTGATTGGATGATCTGACTCCTTGCACCTTGGCTGTCAACTTTTTCAGGGCCTTGCCTTTTCTTTGTCTCCTGGGCACAAGCAACCTTCTCTCCTTAGCAGCACAGCTTCTCTCTTAGCTGAGACCTAAATAATTCACTTATATGCTAATAATGAGAAAATTCCTCAGCGCACAGATTCTTGGCCCACTTTTGAGTTGAGCTAGAAGGCACTGACTAACAGACCCATATTATCTATGTAGTGTGTCCTTCAACTGTCTTGACAGCACAGCAAGTCAAGCAAAATCCTGTTTCTGTTGCCACATTGGCCACTAGGAGGCAAGTAAACAGACTACCTGCTCTGCAAGGCTGAGAGCCTTTTGGCTTTACCTGTTGTGCTTGTCTCTGAATAGTTACAGTAACTTCCTCTTACCACTTAGGGCATCCTTGTTCCTGGTAACCGTCTTGGGTTGTCTTGACCTTTACCTTGATTCTTTCTATCTTCATGTGGGAAGCTGTTTGGGGCAGATGCTCTCTGTCCATCTGCCTCCTATGCTTTGCTGTCACCCAAATTGTCCTTTTATCCACAGTCTCTGAGACGACGGGCAGCAGCATCAGCAGGCACACCATGGCCCTCCCCTGCCAGCCCTTATCCCACCATCGACCTCACAGATGATGATGTCACACCCCAAAGCAGCAGTACCCCCTATACTGGGATAGGACAAGACAGCAAGCAGGAAAACCTGGAGTCCTCACAGATGGATGCAGAGAGCCATGATGCTGAGAGCGAGTATCAGGTATAGCTAAGAAGGGCTTTGCCTTGGGTAACCAAAGAGACCCTGGAAATAGGCAGAAGAAAACAATTGCCACATATATTACATACTGACCAATCACTGCTATGATTTTTATTTTTTTTTTACTTTTTTTAGGGCCTAGGTGCTGTCCCTGAGCATTATCTACCACTTGAGCCACAGTTCCATTTCAGGCATTTTTGGCAGTGAATTGGACTTTCCACGCACGCTGGCTTGGAACTGCAATCCTCAGATCTCAGCCTTCTGATTAGCTAGGGTTATAGGCACGAGCCACCAGTGCCAAGTGAATTTTTTTTTTTTTTTGCCTTTAAAAAAAAAATCCAAGGGCTGGGAAGTGGGCTCAATGGTAGAATGCTTCGTCACATGCATGAGGCCCTGAGTTCGATTCCTTAGTACCACATAAGCAGAAAAACTGAAAGTTGTGCTATGGCTCAAATGGTAGAGCACTGGCCTTGCGCTGAAGGTCTGAGGAACAGCTGAAGATCTGAGGAACAGCGCCCAGGCCCAGAGTTCAGACCCATGACAACCAACCCGCCACCTTCTCCCCCCCCCCCCCCCAATCCATTTGATCTCTATTTCTTACATGGCCCTTGAACTGTATCCTGTATATGTCACAATTAATTACCAGAAAAATCTGAATTGATTTTCTTCAGAGTATATATGTATACATGAGGGTCATACCATGATAGAACAGCATTTCACCCAAATACTATCTAGAATCTCCTCAGTTTAAGTCTGTCATCTATCTGTGTATTGGGATCATTAACCATAATGAACTACTTGAGCTTGTTTTATGTCCCCTCAAGCATTTTAGCCCTTAGCTTTCCTACATACCAGTACTCATGAAGGATTGTAGGGTTTTTTTTTTTTGAGACATGCTCATTATCTCAAGATGGCTCAACCTAACCATAAAGCCCATAATGGCTTTCCAAGCCATTCTTTTTGTCTCCTTCCAAGTGCTAGGATTACAGGTATGAGCTTTCATAGATAACCCCAGGATTCCTTTTTTCAATATCCAATACATAGTAGATTATTTATACTGTGTATGTGCACACCCATGGTCCTCATGTTAACTATTCTTTTTTTTTTTTTGCCAGTCCTGGGGCTTGTATTCAGAGCCTGAGCATCGGTGGCTTGAGGCTAGCACTCTGCCACTTACAACAGGGCTACTTCTGACCTTTTATGTTTAAATGGTGCTGAGGAATCAAACCCATGGCTTAATGCCTGCTAGTTAAGCACTCTACACTAAGCCACATTCCCAGCTCTTTTCTTTTTTTTCTTGAGCTCCACCCCAAGTCAGCTTCCACATTTGATGACAAGCTTTTCACTGACTTGAGGAATTTCAGGATATTCCTCCTCTGTCTTTGACCTTTTTCACTGGAGTTTCTTCATTTGGTTTTTCTTTCAGGATGGAAAGGAGTTTGGAATAGGGGACCTTGTGTGGGGAAAGATCAAGGGCTTCTCCTGGTGGCCTGCCATGGTGGTATCCTGGAAGGACACTTCCAAGCGCCAGGCCATGTCAGGCATGCGATGGGTCCAATGGTTTGGTGATGGCAAGTTCTCCGAGGTAAGTCCCTCCCTCTCCTTCAGTAGCTCAAATGTCACTTTTTTGCGAATGTGTGTACAGAGACTCTTGTGGACAAACATTTGCCATGTTTGAATATGAAATTCTTGGCAGGCGACTTTTTTTGCTAGTTCTGGATTGGCCGTGCGGATTTTTTTTTTGCTTTTTCTTGGCAAAATCACTAGCGTAGGTACTGAGGGCTTAGGAGTAAGAATGGCCACTCATTGGGACACACTGGGCCTTGGACAGGTAGAAGGATTTGTTAATGTAGGTGTGTATTATTAGTTCTTTAGAGTTGAGTATTTCAGAGCCCCTTTGAGCTTAGGGTTGCTTGCGCTAGGCAGGACTACTACAACTTACCTCCAGCTCTATAATTACATTTATAGCCAGAAATATTTTGTGGGCAATCTCATGGAGCAATGAGAGGAGGGAGAGAAAGTATGAGAGTTCCAAACTAAAGTGTGGCAAGCTGTTGAACATGGAACACATGTGGGACCATCCAGTACATTCCTGGGATGCAGCCCTCAGTTTGAGCTTTTAGTTTCTCCATGATTGAGATCATTTCCTAAGGGTAAAAAAAAATAATGGCTATGAATGGCATTCAGCTGGGTAGGGGGGTGTTGCAATTGTGCATTAACCAGCAGAGGGAGCAAGAGGTTAAACCTAATTCCAGAAATGTGTGGGAGTGACTTCGGTCTCATGAAGCAGAAGGGATGGTATGTCAACATATCAACATTACCTGATATGAAATGTGCAGTTTGGGGTGATGGTCATCTGACCTGTGAGATTAATTAACATGAAGGTCTGTTGGCCAAATAAGGCCTAACAAGGGCCAAAAATTGTCCCAAGTGTTCTCAGCACATGCTGTTTGCTCCTCATGTGGTCTGGGACAGTGGGAAGTTTGTTGTCACTTGCGGTCACCAGTGAGAATAAAGTGTACAGCCAGATTGAATTTCAGTACTGAGCATCACAGTTCCATGCTGCAGACCTTGAACACATACATAAGTGTGTACACACACAGGACAGGATTCATATAATACTATGCGCTAGCAATATTCCATTTTCCCACATCTGGAAGATTGCCATATTTCTGATATTTCTGACACAGAATAGGTCAGGACTCTACCATTTCTGGTTTTTTTTTTTTTGTTTTTGTTTTGAAGTTGACACCTGTGTACTTTGCCCTCAGGAATGAGTCTTAGTGAAGTATAATGTCTGCACACCTTCCTGGCTGGCCTGGTGGGGCCAGGCTTCACTGGAGACACAGTAAGGGTATATGGTAATGATGGATATCTTCTCTTATAGATCGCTGCAGACAAACTGGTTGCTCTAGGGCAGTTCAGCCAGCACTTCAACCTGACCACCTTCAATAAACTGGTTTCTTACAAGAAGGCCATGTACCATACCCTGGAGGTAACATGACACTGGGGAATTAAGAATATAGGAAGCAAGACAAGACAACTTGTAAAAAGCTGTTCTAGGTCCCCATGTCACAAGGGTACCTTGGCCATCAAAAAGGAAATGCTAAAGGGTAGTCCTGGAGAGCCCTGTCTTGGAAAGATGGGACCCACTGGGAAAGTATGAGCACTGTCTTATGGAGGGGACCATATTCATCTTGGACTTTCCAGATACCTCATATACTCCCCACTTTGAATGGTAAAGTTGAAGGCCAAGAATAGGCAGAATTGCTTCCTGCCCTTCTTCCAGGCCAAGTTTGTAAACCATAAGGCTCTGCCATCCCTCCCCATTGTTTCTCCTGTACTAATGTGAGCCTGCCATAACGTGCCATTTGACCTTGTGCTTTTTTACACATGTAAACCCTCATGGTTCTTGTAATAAAGGGCCTGTGGTATTGATGTGGTCAAGCATCAATGCTTGGTGTCTTCAACAAGGAGACTCTAACTCCTGCAGCCCCCTCATGAAGTAGAGGAACTATTTAGATTTCCTGCTGGGAAGCATTTTTGGTGCATGTTGGGTAGGGAAAGTCCTGACTCTTCAGGGCTCCAGATCTCCAGCCAGTTTGCCCAGGCCCTTTATCACACACATTCCACAGCCCAGCACAGCTGTCAGGCTATGAAAAGGCCCAGTATGAGAGGATTGAAGGGCAGGGTGACTTCCTGGGTTTGGCCTGGCTAACACCCCTTCCCTGCCCCATTCATCACAGACTCTGCCTTTCTATCTTGGCAGAAAGCCAGGATACGTGCTGGCAAGACCTTCCCTAGCAGCCCTGGAGACTCACTGGAGGACCAGCTGAAGCCCATGTTGGAGTGGGCCCATGGGGGCTTCAAGCCCACTGGGATCGAAGGCTTGAAACCCAACAAGCAACCAGGTGGGAAAAGGCCTTGGGTTAGCCCTGCCACTAGTTGTGGGAGCAGCCCTTGGGGACTGTACCCTAGCTGTCCCTGTCCTACAAAGCTCTCCCGTATCTCATCCTCAAACCAAAGCATGCTATGAAAATCAACCCCAGGACATGTGCAGGAAATGCCTATAAAGGTCACCTGCAGGTAGCTAAGACTGAATCTCCTGAAAACTGGAGTAACAGGATTCCATCTTTATTAGCACTTTTATTTTACTTCAAGAAAAATAAATGGCATAGCCATTTGTCCCCATCCTATCATTTTGACCAATGCTATGATTCCTCCCCCATTATGTCTCTTACTTTAAATGCAAGGTATATTTGAACAATACATTTCACATAATGTTTTCTGTTTTGTTTTGTTTCCTTCCCCCCAAAAAAGTGGTTAATAAGTCGAAGGTGCAGCGTGCAGGCAGTAGGAAGTTAGGATCCAGGAAATACGGTATTCCCCTTCCCATCTCAAGACTGTTGTCTTTTTTTCACTCTTTCTAGTTCTTGGCAAATGCAGAACTCACTGAGAATCAAATTTCTTAAGCTGATCTGAACCAAACCCCCTCTCCTCACCTCCTCTCCACGTCCTCAGGGTAACATTGGGTGCACTTCCTTTCTTCTGCTGAACACTGGTTTCCTTCTTTCCCCTCAGCACCACCAAATGTCATTTTATTACTGTGTTGTTTGTGTTTGTTTTTGTTGAGACAGAGCTTAAATAGCCCAGACTGGCTTGTGACCCCAGCTCAGACTCTTGAGTGCTGGGATTATGGGCAGGTGTTGCCACACCGACCTTCCTTAGGATACTGGAAAACTATACAAATTTGTCTGCAAAAGCAGTCAAATTTAACTAGCCATGGCTGTGCTGATTCCATCAATTGAGCTGAAACATACATAACCATGATCGATTGAGGACTATGTATTTTTTTTGTAATAGTTTCAGTGAGATAAAGAAACAGCTGAAACAAAAATTCGTACATTTTCTTAATCCAATGTTACTAAAATATTGGCATTTCAACATTTAGTGAGCCTCAAGATTTTACCTTTTGTTTGGGTGTCATGTATCTTATACATGGCCACTTAATGATGACGGCTATTTTCATTTGACATAATTTATCTGCATTAATAAAATAGATTTCTGGTATTAGGCTGCAAATTAATCTCAACCTAATTTTGAAAACCAGATTCATGTTGAACTTGTATAAATGAAATAGTTGTTGAAATCCTCTCCATTATCAAGTTGTCATGGATGTAGCAGTTGGATGTCATTTCAAATCTTCAGTCTCTATTGACAGTGCTCAGTAACCACATGAATCAGATGTGTCACTTTTAGATACAGGTGAACTTAATCATAATCTTGAGCTAATTTTAGAAGGATGGACATACAGATGTTTTAAGATTGCATATACAAGCAGCTCATTGTTCCTGATTATGAGGGATTGAATTGACTCCTGTTCTGAGCTACCCATTTTGGGTCGTATTTCCTAAGGAGACCTCCCCGCCATCAAGGCAGTCAGCGAGTTCTGTGCAGAGCACAATCTAATTATGGGACAACTTTCTCCATGTATTCTCCTCTAATTATGGATGCCATGTGCTTTCTTTTTCATAGAGAATAAGAGTCGAAGGCGCACAGCTGATGAGTCCGCCACTTCTGACTATTGCCCCCCACCCAAGCGCCTCAAGACCAATTGTTATAACAACGGCAAAGACCGTGGGGAGGATGATCAAAGTCGAGGTGATTTGGGAGTAGGGAAGGTACTTTAGAGCTCCCCTTATCTGGAGCAGTTTTAGTGGGGATCATGGCAGAGGTGATGTAAGCATGAATGTCTAATTGAACTTTTTCCTTCAACAGAACAAATGGCTTCTGATGTCACAAACAACAAGGGCAATCTGGAAGGTGATGTCCTCATCCCTCCTCTTCCTTGCTGGTGTTGCCCAGGGCCCTTTTACCCTACCTGGCCCCCAAATTTCCATATAAGTCTGTTTCTCTCATCCTATGTTCTTTTATTTTAATAAGATCATTATGTGTTACTTATTTAATTTTTAGATTAAAACTAAGAACTAAGATGTGAATAGGTAGATTTGATGGAGACAGAATGAAACCTGGGTAAAGAGAACCCAATGAAGGCTGGGAATAGGAAAGGGAAGCCAAAACCTGAGCCAAACCAATGGTACCTTAAACCTTGCCAACCAAGAGCAGGAGGTAGCTTTTAGGTAAAAAGCATTGCCATTTGTTACTTTTCTCAAGATTAAGATCCAGTGGGAACCTTCACTAAGATTCAGTCATTTGCATAGAACACACCTAATGGGATTTGGGGTTCTGAGTATGGATCCAGTTTTTTGTTCTCATCCTGGAGTTTGTACCCAGAGCCTGGGTGTAGTTCCTGAGCTTTACCACTCCACTTTGAGCTTTTTGATTAACTGGCAGTAAGATTTTCATGGACTTTCCAGCATGGACTGACATCAAATTTTGATCCTCAGATCTCAGCCTTTTAAACAGCTAGTGTTACAAGCATGAGCCAAATGGCACCTGGCTCCACAGTCTGGATGCTATGAGGGGTACTAGGCCTTCAGAACATCCCTTTGCTGATGAGTCACTTTCTGAGTGTTCTACTGCTTTTCCTACCAGGTGAGGGTTTGTCAGTCTTGCCTATTTTTTTTTTTTTTTTAATTGGATTGTCTGCTTGAGTGAGGAAAAGGACAATGACTGAAACTTCCATGAAAGGGATAATAAAGGGCTAGGCACTAGTGGGTGTAATCCTAGGCTATTCAGGAGGCTGAGATCTGAGAATCTCTGTTAGAAGAAGCCAGCCCAAGCTGGAAAATCTGTGAGACTATGTTCTCCAACTTAACTAACTAAAAACTGGAAGTAAAGCTGTGGCTCAAAGTGGTAGAGGACTATCCATGAGCAAAAAAGCACAGGGATAGTCCCAGGCTCTGAATTCAAGCCCCACAACCCGCCTCCCCCCCAAAAAAAAGAGAGACACAGGCATGGGGGGAATAAAGCCTTATGCATGTCTAACACCTTTCACACCTAACCCATACACAACTGATTCTGGTATTAGGCCATAAGTTGGAATAAGCCCTTACTTTGTCTTTCCCGCAGAACGCTGTCTATCCTGTGGTAGAAAAAATCCTGCGTCATTTCACCCACTTTTTGAGGGTGGACTCTGCCACACATGTCGAGTGAGTCCCGTGCTTTTCTGTTTCCTTCTCCTACACTACTTCCTGATAGTCTCTGCCCCCTGACCCTGCCCTTTGCCCTTGTCTCCTATACTTCCTCTTCCAGTGGAGAATGCTATAGCAGAGAAGTTCTATAAGGCACCATAGACCATGGGCATTCGACCCTGATAAAGGCCACCAGTCCACCAGAAAGTTAACCTAAGGCATTAGCCTTTGGACAAGCTGGGTTTGGGTTACTGTTATCCCTGGTTTCATGGGTATGTTTTTAACTGCCAGGAGCGCTTCCTCGAGTTGTTTTACATGTATGACGATGATGGCTATCAGTCCTATTGCACCGTGTGCTGTGAGGGCCGAGAGCTGCTTCTGTGCAGCAACACGAGCTGCTGCCGGTAAGCACTGGGCCTCTGCGTCGCTGACTGGGCCCCAAGGACCCCAGCTTGTACATTGCAATTCCTGCAGGCACTTAGTAGGCTATAATTGCTTCCATCCAAAACACCAGGACTTGTAACTGCATTGGACTACAGGCAAGGAGACTGACTAGACAGAAGGCTAAATGTCAAGAATGGGGTGATACTAATTGAGTGATTGACCCTGGCCTTGGTGTAGGTGTGTCTTGTGGTTTGAAGAGTAAGCTTTCCCTCTGATGCTTTGCAAACTTACCTGAAGTCCAAAGGTCCATGGTGATTGGGTAGGGAGGGAGATTTTTGCAAAGGGCCTATGAATTGAGGCCGAGTAGCATAGCTCTCCTGTGGAGCTTTGCAGGCAAAAATGTTAAGCAAAGCAAGGGGGCCCTATGAAATTTCATCTTCCTGGGAATGGGACCTTAGGGAGAGCTGTTTGTTGACCAGTGTCCTTTCTCACGCACTGGTTCAGGTGCTTCTGTGTGGAATGTCTGGAGGTGCTGGTTGGCCCTGGCACAGCTGCAGAGGCCAAGCTTCAGGAGCCCTGGAGTTGCTACATGTGTGTCCCACAGCGCTGCCATGGGGTGCTCCGACGCCGCAAGGACTGGAATGTGCGCCTAAATACCTTCTTCACGACAGATCCAGAGTTTGATTTTGTAAGCAAGCCACAGACACCATCACCCACCACCACAGGCCCCAGAACCATGGAGGTCTTGGTCACTGGATACACATAGCAAGATTCATTATCCAAATGGAGCCTCTCAGGGCCTCAGGATGAGAGCCAGTCACAGCAGCTTATGAATCCCCCTGAGGATTCATCATTTCCCCTGAGGGCTCCCTGCCTCTCCTTCAATCCATGATCCACTTTTCTTCTGGCAGGAACCACCTAAGTTATACCCTGCGATTCCTGCAGCTCGTAGGCGGCCCATTAGAGTGCTGTCACTGTTCGATGGAATTGCCACAGGTGAGTTAGGAGTCACCTCTCCCTGCCAGTCAGGGAGTCTGACTTGGTCCAGGTGTTAGGGTTATACCTGTCCACATTTCCCTCAGCTTTCGCTTAGTTACCATCTGGACACACTTTTGGCCTTTTTAAAAGAACACACGTTTTAGCTGTTACATTTAGTTTTTAATTTGTTCAGGTATCTGACCTTTTGGCTCATACCACATAGATAAATTATTAATGGACCACTACTACCATTGTTGTTTTTCTCTCCTTTCCATTTCCTGAAGATTTTACATACATAGGATAGTCCACAAGCAGGGTTTATGATCTCCTGAGGTCTAGCCTGACTATATTTTATGTTCCTAATTGCCAGTGAGGTCATAAACATGATCCTCATTCTACCGCTGCACAGGGACTGGAATGCAGCTGTTCTATACTGAGCATCATTTATATATTTGTGTCTGGCCTTCCCACAGGGTATTTGGTCCTCAAAGATTTGGGTATTAAGGTGGACAGGTATGTCGCTTCTGAAGTCTGTCAAGAGTCTATTGCTGTGGGAACTGTTAAGCATGGAGGGAATATAAAATATGTGAATGATGTCCGGAGAATCTCAAAGCAAAATGTGAGTACAGTCCCTGCCCTTGTGGGTGATATTTTTCTTTCCTTGTTATATCTCTCAATTCCTCAACCCTCATGGCATGCTAGAGCCCAGGGTTGTGGATTAAAGATAATTTATGGTTAATTCTTGTTAAAATAGTGACTTACTTCATAGGGAATCCTGAGAATTAATCTTCTTAGAATAAAAAGTCCAGCTAATGACCAAGAAAGATTCAACAATTGGGTCACATAAAAAACTTTCTATTCCACCTTCCTCAGCCTTATCTCTTCCCTGACCATATTTTTGTCCCCCAGATTGATGAGTGGGGTCCCTTTGACTTGGTGATTGGTGGAAGCCCATGCAATGACCTCTCAAATGTGAATCCAGCAAGGAAAGGGCTATATGGTGAGTACTCCATTTGTTTAGTGCCAGAGACCCTACTATACCTGAGTCCTGGTTTCTAGAGATTGTTCTGATAGGATCAGGGTCCACTCCCCCCTCCCCCCCCCCCCCCACCCTTTTTATTTTTTGGCCAGTCATGGGGCTTGAACTGGAACTGGGTGCTCCTCCCTGTACCCCTTGCTCAAGGCTACTAGTCTACCACAGTACAACCTGTGGTTTCAAGTGGTTAATTAGAGATGAGTCTCAAGGGGACTTTTCTGCCTGGGCTTGCTTTGAACTGCAATCCTCAAGATTTCAGCCTCCTTAGTGAGTAGCTAGGATTATAGGTGTGAGCAACCCTTCTTAACACTTTACATTCAGTACACAATACAGTGCTAGTGAATATTGTACTGCCTGCTGCTGGCTCATTCCAGGGGCCTCCAGGGGTAGATAGTGATCCGAGGAAATTGGACTTTTCTGTCATTGGGAACCTGTTTGATTGCGTGAGGAGCACTGTGCAGCAGACTTTTAATGAACTTGTGTTTCTTTTTCTGATGTTTTTATGGATGTAGAGGGCACTGGCCGTCTCTTCTTTGAGTTCTACCATCTGCTGAATTACTCTCGCCCTAAGGAGGGTGATAACCGGCCCTTCTTCTGGATGTTTGAGAATGTTGTAGCCATGAAGGTTGATGACAGGAAGGACATCTCACGGTTCCTGGCGGTGAGGAGCACAGGGCACTGCTGGATTGACAGCTTGCATGGCAAAGCTGCTCAGTATTTCCAGATTACAGAACATTTCTGGGACTGGCGGGAAGTTTTTTTCAGGCTGGGATGGGAACCCAGGAGGATCCCTTGGAAGATAGGCTTTTAGAGCTATGAGTCCAGTCTATATATTTGAAGTACTCTAGACTGCTTATTCTCATTTGTTCTGAAAATGTTTATTTCAGGGATTATAGGGAATTGTTGAGTAAATGCGTTTTGTTCTTTAAATTTTTTCTCTTTCTGGGTGGTGGTACTTGTTACTGGTAGTGTTTAAGTCACAATTTAGGCTCTCTCTCTCTCTCTCTTGTCAGTCATGGGGCCTGAACTCTGGGCCTGGGCACTGTCCCTCAACTCTTCAGCTCAAGGCTAGCACTCTACCACTTGAGCCACAGCACGACTTCTGGCTTTTTCTGCTTATGTAGTGCTGAGGAATGGGACCCAGAGGGCCTCATGCATGCAAGGCAAGCACTCTTATCACTGAGCCACTTTCCCAGCCCTTCTGGCTCTTTTTCTAAAAAACTTAAATAGCTTACATATCTGGTGATGGAGCTGGCTTGGTCCTTGATGCCATGTGTATCCAGTGGCTGGGTGTTACTGAGCCACAGGACCATGATCTTGATTTAGCAGATTTTGGCTGATGTGCTTTTACAACTGTCCTGCAATGCCCAGGGTGTCAACAAGTCTGATCTGTTCTTCTTGCCCCTCATTCATATAAGGTATTAGCCCTATTGTTATGCTAACTCTTGATGGAAATGGATCTGTCTTCTGGAGAGGCACCTGGCCTCTTATATAGCCCAATGCACCTAGGCTCTGATGTGCTTTCCTACCTAGAATCTTGGCAGCTCAAGCCTTCCTTCTCTTCCTGCAGTGTAATCCAGTGATGATTGATGCCATCAAAGTTTCTGCTGCTCACAGGGCCAGATACTTCTGGGGAAACCTACCTGGGATGAACAGGTAACAAGCCCAGTGACATAGAGTGAATGATCTCAGTTTTCTTTCCAGTCTTCTAGAAACTGCTGTCAACAGCCCCACCTGACAGTTTGGCTAACTTGTGGTATTACGAATTGCTTCTTATTTGTCTATTCAGAAATAATAGTAGATTCATGGGCTTCGTGACTTAGTCAGCCTACCAGGACCCTGGTTCCCGTGTGCTGGGCCAAGTTAGTGCCAGGGACATTGGGTAATCTTTTTGAATCTTTGTTCGTGTCTCTATACTCTACCTCTCTTTTCTGCTGCTATAGCAAATCCTATTTGGAAATAGAAGTAGGTTAAAGTTGTAATCCATTCCTTCCTGCCCCTGAGCTGAAGTCACCCCTGCAGCAGGCCCTTAGTGACCAACCAGTTGGCAAAGTTCTCCCCGAGATCTCTCACTTTCAGATAATTTTTTTTTGTTTTGTTTTTTTGGGTCCGGTTGTGGGGCCTGAACTCTGTGCCTGGGCGGTGTCCCACAGCTCTTCAGCTCAAGGCTAGTGCTCTACCACTTAAGCCACAGCGCCACTTCCAGCTTTTTTCTTTTTGCTTATGTGGTGCTGAGGAATCAAACCCAGGGCCTCATGCATGCAAGCCAAGAGCTCTACCACTGAGCCACCTTCCCAGCCCACTTTCAGATAATTTTTTTTATAGGTGCTCAGTTTGGGTCTTGAATTCAAAGCCTGCTCACACTGTCTCCTTAACTTTTGTGCTCAAGGCTACGGCTTTACCACTTTGAGCCACAGAGCCATTTCTCGCTTTTTGGAGTTAATTATAGTCTCCCAGACTTTACGCTGGCTTTGAACCATGATCCTCAGTTCTCAGCCTCTTGAGTACCTTAGGTTACAGGTGTGAGCCACTGGCTCACCTGGTCATCTTCAGATGTTTATAACTACTTTCACGAAGAACTTGGTAACACAGTTTGCCAAATATGATGGTACTATGACACCTTAGTTTTGCAAATGAGTTAAGTATGGTTGTTTTGCGGAACTTAACCAAGTGTAGACATCTGATCTAGGAATAATTGGAGGGATTCTGTGGAATGGTTTGCCCTTTGAGTTGACTAACTAGCATAATAAATGGTGTCTTGTCCATATTTGAATTTACATGGACTTATATATACCACCTTCACTCTGACATGTAACTGGTGCCCGTCTGTACATCACCTTTATCATAACAATAAATTGGGGGGAAAAATGTGGACAGGAGAGGAGTGTCATAGTACCATCATATTTGGCAAACTATTACCAAGTTCTTCGTGAAAGTACAGTAAAGATATAGACCTATCTTAACTCAAGGAATGAACTATAGCTATGACAAAGGTAGGGAAGACTTAGTTATATAATTGCCCACCAGCAATTAAGGAGTCAAATCTGCTGGCAGTCCAAAAGGATGATGGCAGTGGGAATAGGGAGCATCCCCAGCCTAGCTGTTTGTGAATTGGCTGAGAAAGCACTTGGAGATGGCTATTTGGAGTTGAGATTGAGGTGGTTTCTAGGTGCAGAATAGACTATCAGGAAAAAGGCATAGGTCTCAGGGGCCTGATTGATGCCAGGCTTGTATAGCCATAGTCCCTTAGCTCCCTTCCTTCAGTCTAGGAGGACGGAACTATGGACAGGGTAGAATCCTTGAGGTGATATGAGGGAAATGTGCAGAGGCCCCACTTTGGCAATATCCATTCTTGTCTCTTGGTTCTTTGTGGACTTGCAGTTACCATGCTGCATATATTTTCTCAATCAGCAAGTTTGTCTGTCTTCCTGTATTTGAGAGACAGGAGGAAATGATAAATTGATTAGATTTTGTATGAAGAAGTTCCCTGAGCCATCCAGAGAGCCACCAAATCCATGGTGATGTGCTAAGTGTATCAGTTCTAATCCAAGCTCCTTACTTGGTGATTTGGAGCTGGTTGTGAAAACTCAGTGCTCAGTGCTTGCCTATCATATAGGGTTGTTCCTAGGATTGGTTTGATTCCCAGGCTCCACCCACTATAAATGAAGCCTAGTGAAGTGCCAAGACCATGCTCAAATCTACTAAACAGTGTGGACCTGGGTAGTAGTGTCTCCTACCCTCCTGGGTAGTAGTGTCCCCAACCCTCCTGTTCCTGTAGGAACCTGGCTTGGATTCATACTAATTCAGGACAGGCAGCAGTCACTGCAGGGGGCTAATCCACTCCTAGCCTTGGCATAGACTTGTGCTCATGGCAAAGGTGCTGGGGTACCTTTTCACACTAGAAGTACCACTTCCTCCTGCTGTGAGGTGCCTGGCTGAGGTCCCTCCTGCAGATAGTAGAAAGTAATGGGTTTTGGCTGTTCTCAGGCCTGTGATAGCATCAAAGAATGATAAACTCGAGCTGCAGGACTGCTTGGAGTTCAGTAGGACAGCAAAGGTAAGGTATATTTCTAAACAGCCTGCACGGTGACCTAGAGAATGAATGCACTTTGGTGATCCCTAAGTGGGGACGTGGGAAATGACTTTGGTGTCTGGTGTCCTCCTCCTTCCTCCACCTCCTCCTCTTCCTTCTCTTCACATGTCCTGGTGCTGGGCTTCTGTACCCTCTTCAAGTACTGAGAGTACAAATGATTCTTGATAAGCAATCTCTGAGGAAAGGCAACTATTCTTCCTCTCAGTTAATATGGACTATGTAGGGAGAGGCAGAATTTCAGCTGGCCCTTCCACAAGAAAAGAGTAATGCTTTTGCAAAAAAACAAAGCCAGAAGCAAAAAAACCCAACCAACAACCCCCCCCCCCCCAAAATATGCTGTCAGGTCACAGATAAAATTGTAACTTTGTCCATGAACCTGATCGTCAATTTCTGTATCAAACAAAATATCCTTTGTCCAAAGTCTGCCTGACAAGGATTCTCAGAATCTGGGTAGTTTTAGCTTTTGACTTGAATCCTATTTGATCTCGAACTGGTGTCTTCTTGGCCCCCATGCGACCTCATTCATGGTCACTTTTTTGCTTATCTTATTCTTTCAGGCTGTGTCCTTCTTGTTAAACTTCTTGTGTCTGTGGGAAGCACAAAATGTTTACTGCCTTTTTGTCTCCTTTTCTCACTCACTCAGTGAGCCTAGCACTGCCAACTCCTACACATGCCCAACCCCCTCCCCGGGCACCTTTGGGCCTTCGCCCTGCCCAGAACCCTTCTGAGCTTACTCCATGATGTCCTTTTGTTCTCCAGTTAAAGAAAGTACAGACAATAACCACCAAGTCGAACTCGATCAGACAGGGGAAAAACCAACTTTTCCCTGTTGTCATGAATGGCAAAGAAGATGTTTTGTGGTGCACTGAGCTCGAAAGGTGAGCAAGGCTGCACTTGAGGGAGCTGGTGCAGACAGACACAGAATGGGGGGGCGCATGGATGGGGTCAAGGCCAGAACTTTAAATGATGGGCAGGTGCTTGTTCTAATTCTTTTTAAGTCTCGCTGCCTCCAGTGCAGTGCGACCGGGGATGAGACCTCAGAGCTAGCCCTTATTTTTCTGGCAGTAGTGGTGGGTGATTCTGGATATGAGGTCATTACAGTACCGCCTGTCTGTACTGTCCTGACGTCTACCTGCCCTGACATGCTGTGGCAACAGAAAAGATCTATGAGGAACTAAAGAAAAACCCCATTGGTCTCTCTTTTTTCTTTTTCTTTTTTTCATCTGTTGTGGGGCTTGAACTCTGGGCCTGGGCTTGACCCTCAGCTCTTCAGCTCAAGGCAAGTGCTCTACCACTTGAGCCACAATGCCACTTCTGGTTTTCTGGTGGTTAATTGGAGATAAGAGTCTCACGGGTTTGGCTTTGAACCACAATCCTCAGATCTCAGCTTACTGAGTAGCTAGGATTACAGGCGTGAGCCACCAGCATCAGCCCCATTGGTATTAGTTGGAAGATTTCTTCAGTTGAATTATTACTCTTATATAGCTGATTCGTACTACTTAGCCCAAAGTCTGTCTGTCTTCTTTTATTGGGTTAAGTATGTGTCTATTCCAATGGAAATATCTATCTCTTGGACTTCAATGTTTCCCCTGCAACTCCCCCTCCCCCCCCCACCCTGTTTGGATTAATTTTGTTCTTTTTTTTTTAAAAAAAAGTAAGGCTATGAATTTTCCTCTCCTTACATTTTTGGATATCTTCCAAAGGCATTTTATATAGAGTATTTTCATTCCAGATCCCTAATTGTACTTTGAGTTTATTTCTCAATAAACAATGTTGATAAGAATAAATTAAAACTGAATAGCTTGGGTGAATCTACAGATGCTGTGAATTCTTCAGGATTTTTGACACCTGTGTATGAAGTATAGGTGGAGATGTGATAGGGGCAGGTACAGATGGCTTTCTATGAGATGGCAAGATACAAGCCTGAGATGTTAGCCCATCCAGTTATTGACCTGTTGGTGCTGAGTACTGTGGTTTAGTCTTCTAGCCTTTGACTAGGCCTGGTTGAGTCCTGTTAGGCAACTTTGGGAATCAATTTATAGTTACTCATGGTAACTCACCTGGTCTGTTTCTGTGAGTGGCCTTGACCTTATTCTTCAAGGAAATTATTGAGCTTTGAAGAAGCCTCCACTTGCTTGGTATTCAGCCAGACATTTATTTACTAAAGTAAGATACTTTGAACACAGATTGATGCTGCAACACAGTGGTAGGAATGGGGCTGGAAAGAACAGGTGCCCTAACAAGAATAACTTCTGTCTAAAAGATGGGACCCTGACCTCCTAGAGATGGAAAGTGTTCTCCTTTAAAGGCCCAAGGGCTGAAGGGAATGGACATACTTTGGTAGAGAAAGTGGTAGCTTGCTGCCTGGCCCAGATGAGGACTTCTTAGAACCCAGGGGTTCTAGGCATAGTGCTGGGATGGGCTGTTCTGATTCCCTGTCTTTTCACCCTGGTGCTCCCCAGGATCTTCGGCTTTCCTGTACACTACACGGACGTGTGCAACATGGGCCGTAGTGCCCGCCAGAAGCTGCTCGGGAGGTCCTGGAGTGTGCCTGTCATCCGACACCTCTTCGCCCCCCTGAAGGACTACTTTGCCTGTGAATAATTCTACCCAGGCCTGCTGAGAACTGGGGTATCAGGGGCAGGGCCAGGGCCCAGGAGGTGCTCAGATTCATGATGCTGATTTCCCCTAGCTCTGCCCTTCCTCAGCTCAGCTGAGCTGTGTGGGGTCTCACTGTACCTCAGCTCTCTCCTGCTCAGTGGGAGCAGAGCCACTTGACCCTCTCTGACAAAGAGAAACCCCAAGGTGCCACCTCCTGTGCACAACTCAGACCTGCCCGCTCAGAGCGGTCAAACATGGTGCTCATTTGTCCTTTCCTAAAATTTCAAAAACTTGAAATAGGTAGTAAGATGGCCTCCCCCATCCCTTTTTCCCTGGGTTTCCCATTAAGATAACCAAAATCACAGTGCTGTCAGGTAGCTCTCCAACACTCAGGTTAATGCTGCAGAATCACCCAAGACAGTCATTATTGTAATAAGATTTAATTTTTTTTCAATGTCTGCGGTTTCCTGTTTACTGGAGCTTGCAGTTGTAGACATGTAGCCATTTTTCAGGGCCTAGGATGTTTTTTGTTTTTTTTTTTTCTAGGGATAGCAGAAGAGGATATCTTGCTGTATATGTCTTGGATTTTACCCAGCCTCTTCCCCTTGCCTTGGTGCAAGGGCCACATTTTCCCTTCATGGTGATGATTTCAGCAGGCATGATGTCATCACTGTCAATTCAGGGCTATTTTCCCCCAACCCATGTGTTCACCTCAGCGAAATCCCTCCATGTACCTGCGAACCCTCTGGGGAGCTCAGGAAGGAATGGACCGAGCTAGTATAGCTGCCATATATGTATATGGATAAGTTGAGTTTATTAGTCTCTTCTTTTCCCTATGTGAGGGCTTTGGAGGAGATAGCTTAGATAAGATCCCCCTTCTCTCTCTTCCCTCCCCCACTCCCCCAGTCCTTTCCCTTCCCTTTCAAAAGATGTACTCTCAGCAGGCATGGATCCCCAGATCCTCATTCTTTGATAGCCAGGGGCAGAAAGCACATTTCCACCTTTCCCCTCATCTAAGAGATGGCAGGGGAGCTGTAATAAGATAAGAGCTTTTGATTCTCCAAGATTTTAAAATCCCTTTTTATTCTACAATATATCGTCTTTTTACAGGCCCGAGAGAGGTGGACAAGCTGCATTTCAGAAATGCTGCCATTATGGTTTTTAACACCTTTTTACACTTACTGGTGCTATTTTGTAGAATAAGAACGACCGTGACAAATTTTGTGGGGCTTTTTATACACTTTTTTTTTTTTTTTTAAATCTCAGACTTCTATTTTTTGTTTTTAACATTTTCTTTAAAATCTTTTTGTAACTGGAGTCATATAAAAGTATGGGGAAAAAACTGTGCCTTGTTTCAACAGTTTTTTGCTGACTTTTAGGCCAAAAGATAACGGATGCCTGGAGTTTACCTTATTCTGCCTAATTAAAATCAGTATTTCTCTATAATTAGTCTGGTGTCCATTTTGTTCTGTGGCAGGTCAAGTGGGTGGGACACAGGAAGGCCTGGCTAACTGGAAAGAAGTCATTGATGCCTCTAAACATTGGGGAGTCATGGGGACTGAAGCAGTGTCTTCAACATGCTGGCGCTGATTCTGAGAATCAGTTGCTGGGAATGAAGGACAACCCTGGAGTAGTGAGTGGACAGACATAATCTTGTTTTCCAAGTATGGCTGGAGCTTTTTAATGTGTTTCAAGTCTTGATGTTTGAGACACCCATCTCTACTCTTTGGACCAACGATCAGTCACAATACCACTATGTCAGTTCCTCCTGCTTTTGTGGTATTCTGTTACACCTCATTTCACAAATTCAAGGTTGTCATTCCAAAGGGCAGCCTGGGTGAGGCAGGTTGAGAATCAGGCTGTGATCCCAACTTAGTCCTTGGGATAGTGTGATTTTTTTTTTTTTTCCCACTAAGTCTAAAATTCTCAAGTCATTCACCATTTCTTGTGTGCTTCCTCCAGTCATTCTATTTGTTTATCTAAGGCCAGCCATTTAGGTCTCCCAAACACAGACATGGCAGAATTGCAACCTCTAGCCACCCTTTGATGAGAAAAGAGCTGCAGGAAATAACTTTTGCAGAGGTTAATACTGGTTAGCTGGTCTATTTAGAGTGGAGTAAAGTGAGAACTGGTGGTTGTGGCAATTTTACCAATGTAGTGTTGGCCTTTCTTACATCAATCAGATTTCCTTGACTACAATCATGCTCATGTCTTCCATAATTGCATTCCTTTATAGCTCAGGTCTGGCTCAAACTTGGGAAAGGAAGCTTTTGGGAGTGTGGGGATGAAAATCCAAATAACATTACTAGAAAATTGTCACAAGTTAGAGCAGCACAGTTGAGTTGCTATGGTGTGACAATTAGCAAAGGGACTGTGTTTGAGACCCAAGGGAACTTGGCAGTCCAATTAAACCATCTAGTGTACGGTGCTGCACCAAATGCCAGGACAGGATGAAGCGAAATAAACAGTCCCGACCTCGGAATCCCAAGAGAGGAGATGGACAAGCCTGCCAGGTGAGGGGTCTTGACAGGCTTGAGTGGTGGGGAGGCCCTAGAGGGACTGTTTTCTGTGTCTGGAGGGATTCATATGCTGGCAAGAGTTTGCTGCCCATTCAATCCAGGGACTGGCACATTGCTGTTACTTGGAACAGGTAACTTAAACAGGGTTGTCAAGTTCATGAGGTTAATGAAATACAGGTTGCAGATCTGGACAAAGGACCTTGCTTAATCCCTTTGGGTGAGTCCTTCCCTTGTATTGGCTTTATTGTGACAAAGAGTCATTTATGCTATTAATGATAATGGAGACTGTGCTGGTGCTGGTAATAAGGAAAAGCTGAATAGCAAAGCTTCAAGTTTTGGATTCCCCCTCTGCAGTCTGAGTGGTTTATCAGGGCTTCTCACTAGTGACCTTGGGTGTTGCTCCCAGCTATAAAGTCAAACTCACAGGGGTCATGGGTGGGTCAAATGGTTGGGGAAGCTGCTTTCCCCTTCCACTGTAGGAAAATGCTCCTAGCAGTGGTTCGCAGGAGATCTGCTGGCCACAATAATAGACAAGCATTCCTAGCTATTGGTCCCAGGGGCAGAGTTGAAATCCAGCCAGTAGATTCAAGATGCCTTTTTTCTCATATTACTGGCTTTTTTTGGGGGGGGGGGGGGGGGAGGGGTTCTGGTTGTGGGGCCTGAACTCTGGGCCTGGGCCCTGTCCCTCAGCTCTTCAGCTCAAGGCTAGTGCTCTACCACTTGAGCCACAGCACCACTTCCTGAATTTTCTTTTTCTAGACCTGGAAATTGCGTGTGTGTGTTTCAGTCTGGGGAATTGATCTCAATGCCTAGCCACTGTCCCTGAGGTTTGCTTTTTTTCCCTCTTAACACTGGTGCTCTACCACTTGGGCCACAGTTCCACTTCTGCCTTTTTTTTACTTTTGTGCTGTACTGGACCTTGGACTGTGATCCTTAGGTCTGTCTCCCTGGAAGCTAGGATACAGGTGTGAACGGTGTGAATGGCTGGTGTCTAGCTTACTTGCTGCCCTTTACTGTCTGGGGTACAATTAGTTTACCTACTTACCTTTTTCTGTTCCAGCCTAAATACATCCTCTCCATTCCTCTTTCCTTGCTAAGATTTGTTGATTTTTAGAAACTTACTAAAATATAATTTTGTGTGTAGTGTGTTCAATGTGTACAATTGAGTTACCACTTCATAAATTAGGTAATGGGTACAATTCTTTTTAGGCAATATCACCCATCTTTCGCTTTCTCAGTTTCCTCCTCTTGTCCCTGCCCTGAAGTTGCATAGTTCATTTTCCACATAGTATAAACTAAATATCATGGCTGCATTTGTTTGTCCTTCCATTTCTGTGCCCCCTTTGCCCCTCCTAAAAAGAAAAACCTAAGCAAAAAATCCACCATCCCCAACAATAAAGATCTCAAGGCTGTTTGGTTGTCTGAGTTTGTTAGAACTCACCTACCTTACCCACCCAAGACCAGTGGCTAAAGAATAGGAGTCCATAACTGACTTTGCCCAGCTCAGAAAATACAGATAAGCTACAGATAAGAACCACTCATTTCCTGTACAAGTAACAGAAAATGTTTCTCTTTTTCTAGCTTTCTACTTTACCCCTTTTATACTAAAATAAATCCTTGTAAAACATTTTAAAAAGTCAAATAATTAGTATCACCATTATCTGCAGGCCATTTTGTTTGGAACTGAGAACCCTGGTGCAGGATAAGTGGAGACTGGGGTCATAGCTTAAGTGGTGGTGAGGTGCCAGGGGTTCAAATATCCCTCATACCACCAAAGGGAAAAACACTCAACAAGTACTCTAGGGCAGAGTAGAGTATAGACCTGGTTTGGGATACACAGGGAACCACAGGTTTCTGAGCACAGGCCTGTAAAACCACCTACCCTCTTAATTACTATTACAGCCATGAAAGATATTGGAGTGGGGCATGTGGCCTTCAGCCAAAGTTATCTGGGTCAGATTAAGATGTGCATAGCTTCCCCAAAGTGTTGGGAAGTGAAATCCTAAGCCTTGAACATATTAAGCAAGGACCCTAACCACTGATGCTTCATGATGCTACTGTTCTACTCTTACTACCATAACTGATTATAGGGCTCTTTACTGTTGGCTCTTGCATCATAACTACTCCAACGATTTGGCTGGCAATTCCTCATGTTTCATGTAAAGTGTCTCTTAGAGTGCTATGTTCAATCAAAGCTAGTAGTACCCTGTCGTTAGAATATGGGCGTGTCTCCAATGAGAAAAAGCTCTTGCCCCAAATCCCTATCTTCTCTGAATATCCTTGCACTTCACAATTAACTGGGTGAAATTTGGCCTGGAAGGCTCCCCCAGTGCAAGTACCAGCACTCCTGTCACATATCATACCTGCTAGCACTCAATCTGATTTATCATTCAGTTAGGGATTTGTATCATTTACATTTTGTCCCCTTTACCTCCTCTCGTAGGACTGGAAACTTGAGGTCAGGGAGGCGATGTCTGGTTTCAGCTCACTATCAAATCCCGAGGGCATCTTTGGTTAGGAAAAATAAATACTGGTTGCATACACGAATAAATTATATCTTGACAAAGAAAACGGCCTGAAAAGTCTGCTTTTGGGCAAGTCAAGTTGGCTGATTTGATCCTCAGCCCCCTCCGCTGTAAAATAGTGTAATTCATCCTGTTACCAAAGCTCTTATGAGAATGTAGGTACAGGAACTGGGACACAGCTCGAAACAGGAATAAGAAAGTGATGGCTTCTTTGGAGTTTATGAGAAGGCAGACAATAAAGGTATAAACAAAATACGATCTAGCACTAGGAAGAAAATAAACTTAATTATAGCACAGAGCCCTTACATATAGGGTGGTCTCAGAACGTGTTTCTGAGGTGACACATCCTTGTACTGTAGACTATCTTTGTAGAAATTCTTTGTGAAATGGATTTTCTTTTTTGGCTATTGCGGTGGAGAAAGTGTGACTGGACCCCGCCTTCTGGGCGGAGTCATGCCTAACAGTGGTAGGGCTTCATTGGCTGTAGTCGAGCACGTGCACAGTCGGTGCCCCGCCCCCGGTTGTCAGTCAATGACTACGTTCCGCCCTCAGCGCGCGGCCTGGTCCCTCTCTATAAAAGGAGCCGGCGGCAGATGACGAGCCTTTACGTCGGCACGTCACGGGAGGGGGGGGGGAACGTGTGAGGTCATCGCGCGGGCGGGCGGGCGGGGTCGGACGGTTTGAACGAGACGAAGACGGAACCTGAGCCGGGCGCGGGTAGTGGACGCGGTTCCGCTGAGAGCCGGTGAGTCGACTAGCGGGCCTGGGGCGGCGGCTGTCGGGTGGGCACTGTGGGGCTGGGCCTGGTAGGCCTCGTAGGCAGCTGCTCCACACAGCGACGCCGCTCGGGCCGGGTGGGGGGAAGGGCGGGGCTGTGACCCGGCCCGCGCGGCCTGGCCTGGGGGGGCGCGCGTTCCTCGGTGCCGGGGGGTGGGGGGGCGGGCCTTCGGGCCGGAAGTGCGGGTTGCTGCGGGGCGGCGTGGGGGCTTGTAGGCGGTGGGGTGTGGAGCTCGCCCTGTGGCGCGGGAGGTCCTGCGGCTATTGGGCTGGGGAGGGGGTGGGGAGTAGGAGATTGGGTCTTGGGCGAGGTGTTTGTTGGGAGGGGGACCCTAGCCCGAAGTGTGTGTGTGTGTGTGTGTGTTCGTGTTCGTTCGTTCGTGTTCTGGGTCATGGGCCAGGTGGGCCTTGCGCCCATGGGGTGACGGTATTTCCCTGCAGCCCTGGGTTCGATTGATTCCCTGCTCTCCGACCTTGAGGAGGTGTTGGTCCTCTCTGGGCCTCAGCTTCCTCATCTCGAAAATGGAGACGGAATTATAAAGTAGGGAAGTCTTAGCGCGCGGTGTGTGGCAAAACATAAGCCCGCTCTTCGGACTCCTTTTTCATCAGGGTGTTTGTGGCATCCTCCCTGTTAAGTGCTGGCTTTACACTCGAGTGTAGGCAGGCAAAGACATGCTCGCTGGAGTCTACCTGTGAGGGGAGAGCTAGGAAATAACAAAATTAGTACATGGACAAGACCTTTTCTGTAATTACTGGGAAGACAGTATGACCCGGTGAGAGCAACAGGGCTTTCTTTCCTGACTTCTGCATCTCAGCTGCCCTCAGGTGCTGCAGGGCAGAGCCTGACCTCTGCCCATTGTGAAGATGAGGGTCCTGAGGCACATGGAGGGAAGTTAGGTGAGGCCTGGCATCCACCTCTTTGATGGGATGTCTCTCAAATAATAAAGATAGCCCCTTGTTAATTATCACTTGTGTGTCAGGCCTTGTGTCAGATGCTTGATATGGCATTATAAACTGTTTTTAAGAGATGGTATCTTCATTTTCTTTGCAGTGCTAGGGATCAGTCCCAAGGCTTCTCACATTTTGGGTAAAGTCCTCAGCCCATCTTCATTTATATAGAAAACTCTGAGACTGAGCCATGACCTATCTTCTTGTTGCCCAGCTAGTGACTGGACCTGCATGTGTAGAGTCCAGACTGCTAACCTCTAAATTATTCTTTCTCCTTCAGGTCCAGAACTAGAAAGCACTCTGTTGTGGAGTTTCAAACTTACATAGCACAGTTTGTGGCACATAGGGAAGCTTGGGATATAGTATGCTTTTCAGTTAGGTATTTTCACTTAGATTCTCATTCATCTTCACCACCACTTTGTGCAGGAGATAATGTTTTACCCATTTTATGGGTGAGCCATTAGCAACCAGAAAAGAAGGTGTTTTAGCCAAGTCATGTAGCGTTTTTTTGGTGCTCTCTCCTTCCTGGATGATTCTTGAGATAAAAGCCAACATTGAATCAAAATGAATTAGTAAGCCAGATAGTAGAGCTGGTGAAGGTGGAGAGAGAAAGACCTGGGTAGGTAAAAGAGGGCAATTTTTTTTTAAATTTTAATTTTAATATTTTTATTTTTTGAGTCCGGTCGTGGGGCCGGAACTCTGGGCCTGGGCTCTGTGCCTCAGCTCTTCGGCTCAAGGCTAGTGCTCTACCACTTGAGCCACAGCGCCACTTCCAGCTTTTTTCGTTTTGCTTATGTGGTGCTGAGGAATCGAACCCAGGGCCTCATGCATGCAAGGCAAGCGCTCTACCACTGAACCACCTTCCCAGCCCCCAAGAGGGCAATTTTTTTATGGTGGATGAAACCTGGATCAAAGAGAGCCCTTTAAAGGGTGAGGTTTGTGTGGTAGTCCTGGATCTTTGCTTGAGGCCAACCAGTTGAATTCTTACTGAGGATGAGTGGGAGCTGTAGCTCTGAGAACTCTGCTGTCTCCCCCCCCCCCCAGTCCTGGGGCTTGAACTCTGCGCCTGGACGCTGTTCCTGTGCTCTTCAGCTAAAGGCAAGTGCTGTACCGCTTGAGCCACAGCACCACTTCTGGTTTTTTATTGGTTTATTGGAGATAAGAGTCTCAAGGACTTTTCTGGCTTTGGACCGTAATCCTCAGATCTCAGCCTCCTGAGTAGCTAGGATTACAGGCATGAGCCATTGCCTCCTGTGTTTTGACTGCCCAGAAGAGCCAATTAATTGGTTGAGTCAGTGGATGTTTATTTCATGTTCACAGGGAGCCTAATCCTAAGTATTTAGTGGCTGCAGAGTTTGTGGGGCACATAAGACCAGATATTAATGTATTACTAATGAAAGAGTTAAAATTATACGATGATGAAAGGCCATTAACGTTTTCTGAGTGAGGGTGTGGTTAGTAGACAGGTGGCTGTACTATGCTCAAATTTTTGGTAGCATGACACACAAAATACCCGATATATGAATGAATATCAACCAGCTAGATTGCAAGTGCTCAGCCTGGGACCATGTTTTTTTTTTGGCCAATCCTGAGGCTTGAACTAAGGGCCTGTCCCGAGCTTCTTTTGCTCAAGGCCAGCACTCCATACCACTTGAGCCACAGTAACAGTTCATTTTCTATTTATGTGGTACTGAGGAATCGAACCCAGGGCTTCATGTATCTAGGCAAGCACTAACACTGAGCCATATCCCCAGCCTAGGACCATGCTTTTTTTGGGTGGGGAGGGGGCCCGGTCGTGGGCCTGAACTCTGGGCCTGGGTGCTGTCCCTTGAGCTCTTCAGCTCAAGGCTAGCGCTCTACCACTTGAGCCACAGTGCCACTTCCAGCTTTTTTTCTTTTTGCTTATGTGGTGCTGAGGAATCGAACCCAGGGCCTTAGGCATGCAAGGCAAGCGCTGTACTACTGAGCCACCTTCCCAGCCCAGGACCATGCTTTTTTATTTGGAAGTTTCTCTGTGGTACTTGATAATAGCATTCTGTACACAGTATGTGATTCATTGATTTGTTCATTCAGGGTTAAGTGGGAGAGATTCTTGAATTTGTGATTCAGAAGGTTCTTTCTGGCTGCTGTGTAAAAACAGATGGAGCCTGTGAGACTAATTTGAGGATTTATGTTTGGTCTCAACGAAAGATGGTGTGTAGTAGGTCTCAGGCACTGTTTTTGGCACTGGAGATAGGGTGAATGAGAGAAAGCATCTACTTTGGACATGGTGGTTTATTTGCTATAGTGCTAAGTATCTTATATACCTTCTCATTTAAAATCTCTCTGTAATCCTTTTTTAGATAGATTGTGTTAACTGGGGTAACATTGAGTTGAATTCACTAAATTTTAACAAATTGTCCAAATTCACACAATGGGTGGTCTTATTTAAACCCAAGTGCTCAGTTTGGTCTGAAATTCTTAATTTTCTGTTGAGTGGATTGCCTCTGGGCCCACATCTATTCTGGGGATAGTTTAAAAATGAATTGATATAGCTGGGCACTGGTGGCTCATGCCTGAGGCTGAGATCTGAGAATTGTGGTCCGAAGCCAGCCCAGGCAGAAAAGTCTGAGACTCTGTTTTTTTTTTTGGTTGGTTGTGGGGCTTGAACTCTGGGCCTGGGCACTGTCACTGAGCTCTTCAGCTCAAGATAAGCACTGTACCACTTGAGCCACAGTGCCACTTCCGGGTTTTTGGTGTTTAATTGGAGATAAGAGTCTCATAGACTTTCGTCCCTGGGCTGCCATTGAACTGAGATCCTCAGATCTCAACCTCCTGAGTAGCTAGTATTACAGGTGGGAGCCACCAGTGCCCAGGCTGTGAGACTCTTACCTTCAATAAACTACTCAGAAAAAGCCAGAAGTGGTGCTTTAGCTCAAGAGGTGGGATCACTAGTGGTGGATCACTAGCTTTGAACACAAAGAGGCCCAGGGATAGCGTCAAGGCCGAGTTCAAGCCCCAGGACTGACTGGCAAAAAAAAAAAAAAATTGATGTATCAACTTAGTGTAGTAATCCCAGTCATAGAGGTCTGAATGAAATGCTTTGGAAATTTAGGGGTTAATTTTCTAGTGGAGTCTAGGAACTGGATTGTATTGGTCTCTTACATAGCATTTTTCTGTCAGGTGATTTTAGAAGTATAAGAGTGTTGATGGTTTGCTTTCTGGAAAACGTTGGGAGATAATTTTTTTCTGACAATTTTTTTTTTTTTCCTGGTTGGTTGTGGGGCCTGAACTCTGGGCCTGAGCACTGTCCCTCAACTCTTCAGCTCAAGGCTAGCACTCTACCACTTGAGCCACAGCACGACTTCTGGCTTTTTCTGCTTATGTGGTGCTGAGGAATAGGAACCAGGGCCTCATGCATGCAAGGCAAGCACTCTTATCACTGAGCCACTTTCCCAGCCCTTCTGGCTTTTTTTCTAAAAAACTTAAACAGCTTACATATCTGGTGATGGAGCTGGCTTGGTCCTTGATGCCATGTGTATCCAGTGGCTGGGTGTTACTGAGCCACAGGACCATGATCTTGATTTAGCAGATTTTGATTGATGTGCTTTTACAACTGTCCTGCAATGTCCAGGGTGTCAACAAGTCTGATCTGTTCTTTTTGCCCTCATTCATATAAAGTATTAGCCCTATTGTTATGCTAACCTCTTGATGGAAATGGATCTGTGTTCTGGAGAGGCAGCTCAAGGCTAGCACTCTACCATTTGAGCCACAGCACCACTTCAGGCTTTTTCTGCTTATGTGGTACTGGGGAATCAAACTCAGAGCCTCATGCATGCAGGGCAAGCATTCTACTACTGAGCCACTTTTCCAGCCCCCAATTTGTTTTTCTTCTGTGCTAGTTCCAGTACTTTGTGCTCTTTGTGAACTCTAAGCTAGATGCTGATGGCTCACACTTGAAATCCTAGCTCTTCAGGAGGCTGAAATCTGAGGATTGTGGTTCAAAGCCAGCAGGAAAGTCTGTAAAGACTTCTTTTGGTGGTTGAGGAGTTTGAACTCAGGGTCTGGGTGCTGTCCTGGACTTTCTTTCCTGGGCTTGCTTTGAATCATGATCCTCACACTCCTGAGTAGTTAGGATTACAGGCATGACTTGAGACTTTTTTGTCAGTTGTGGGGCTTGAACTCTGGGCCTGGGCACGGTCCCTCAGCTCTTCAGCTCAAGGCAAGCACTCTACCACTTCAGCCACAGCTCCACTTCTGGTTTTCTGGTGGTTTATTGGAGATAAGAGTCTCTCAGGGACTTTCCTACTCAGACTGGTTTTGAACTGACATCCTCAGGTCTCAGCCTCCTGAGTAGCTAGGATTACAGGTGTGAGCCACTGGCGCCCAGCAAAGTGCTCACTACATTTCTTTTTGTGTGTGTGTGTCTGTGGTGTGAGTGAGATTTGTGGCCTTGAACTAAGGGCCTGGGCACTGTCTCTGAGCCTCTTCATGCTCAAGGCTAGTGCTCTACCATTAGAGCCACAGTACCACTTTAGGTTTTTGAGTGGTTAGTTGGAGATACCAGTCTTGCAGGGACTTTTCTGCCAGGGCTGGCTTTGAATGGTGACCCTCGGATCTCAGCCTGTATAGCTAGGATTACAGGCCTGCAACCAGCATCTGGCTCTTGTCTTAAATGAGACTAGTTAAGCTTGGTGTGTGCCGGTAGTGGGCTGAGGCAGAAGGATAAGTTGAGGCCAGCATGGACAACATAGACTATGCCTCAGGCAGGGCCTTTTCATGCTAAGCAAAAACTTATCACAGAGCTACATTTCCAGCCAGAAGCATAGATACAGTCTTTAAAGAAAATTTGAAGCCGGGCGCTGGTGACTCATGCCTGTAATCCTAGCTACTAAGGAGGCTGAGATCTGAGGATCATAGTTCAATGCCAACCTGGGCTGGGCAGTCCATGAGACTCTAATCTCCAATAAACCGCTCAGAAAAGCAGAAGTGGAGCTGTGGCTGAAGTGGTAGAGTGCTTGCCTAAAGCTCAAGAGCTGAGGGACAGCGCCCAGGCCCAGAGTTCAATCCCCAGGATCGACAAAAAAAAAAAGAAAGAAAGAAAGAAAGAAAAGAAAAAGAAAATTTGAGAAAGAATTGAGAAATGGTGCCGGGTGCCGGGTGCCGGTGGCTCACACCTTAATCCTAGCTACTCAGGAGGGTGAGCTCTGAGGATCACGGTTCAAAGCCAGCCCGGGCAGGAAAGACCGTAAGACTCCTATCTCCAATAACCAGAAAACCAGAAGTGGTGCTGTATCAAGTGGTAGAGCGCTCGCCTTGAGCTGAAGATCTGAGGGACAGTGCCCAGGCCCAGAATTCAAGCTCCAGGACTGGCAAAAAAAAAAAAAAAAAGTCCAAGCTTTCTAACTCAAACATCAAACTGCTTACAGCAATTTTCTTTAGATGGTGGACTTTTTTATATTACCATTTTTCAATTCTTTTTTTTTTTTTTTTTTTTGTCAGTCATGGGGCTTGAATTCACTGTCTCTGAGCTTTCTTTTTGCTCAAGACTAGCATTCTACCACTTGGGCCACAGCTCCACTTTTGGCCTTTTCTGTGTAATGTGGTACTGGGCTTCATGCATGCTAGGCAAGCACTCTACCACTGAGTCACATTCCCAGTCCTGATGTTAGACAATTTATTCCAGGCCATCTTTTTTTTCAGTCGTGGGGCTTGAACTCTGGGCATGGGCACTGTCCCTAAGCTCTTCAGCTCAAGGCAAGCACTCTACCTCTTGAGTCATAGCACCACTTCCGGCTTTCTTGTCGTTAACTGGAGATAAGAGTCTCACTGACTTTCCTGCCCAGGCTAGCTTTGACCTGTGATTCTCAGATCTCAGCCTCCTGAGTAGCTAGGATTATAGGCATGAGCCACTGGCGCCCAGCTCAGGCCATCTTTATGCATGGAAGTTGTCTAGGCTTTTACATGGAACCTGATGACTCTAGCTTGGCCCCTAGAGTATGGAGGCCAGGCTTAAGAATTGAGTATTCCCACAGATTTGTTCTTGAGCATGTGTAATGCTTGCCCTCTCTTGCATGTACACCTGTAACACAGTCCTTTATGTGTTTCTCACATGTAGAAGATGGCAGTGAACGTATACTCAACGTCAGTAACCAGTGATAACCTAAGTCGACATGACATGCTGGCCTGGATCAATGAGTCTTTACAGTTGAATCTGACAAAGATTGAACAGTTGTGCTCAGGTAAGAGAAATCCATGAATCCACTTTTCTAGGGTTCTTTGGGAATGTTCAAGCCTGTATGTAACAAAAGAATCACCTAGAGACCATACTGCTGCTTCTCAACCCTACCCTGCTTTATCTTCCAGAAGGAACTAGAATTTTAAAATCTTAAAAAGAAGATTCTCTGGCCTGTGTGTCTATCCACTTTTGCTTGAGGCTCAGCCTCAGCCCCACTCTGCTTTTGCACAGCCATATTTCATATACTTTATTTGAGGACAGTAATTTAGATGTGTTCTAGTTTTGATTATGATTATTATTTTGGTTTCTTTTTCTTTTTTTTTTGGTCAGTTGTGGATCTTGAACTCAGGGCCTGGGCAATGTCCCTGAGCTTTTCTGCTCAAGGCTAGCACTCTACCACTTGAGCCACAGCACCACTTCCGGCTTTTTCTGCTTATGTGGTGCTGAGGAATCGAACCCAGGGCCTCATGCATGCAAGGCAAGCACTCTACCACTGAGCCACCTTCCCAGCCCCTATTTTGGTTTATTTTTCTTTGCTGAGGATTGGCAGGGCCTCACATAATAAGCAAGTGCTGTGCCATTGGAAAGAACCCCCAACCCTCTAGTTTTTAATACTAATTCATCAGCGATGTTTGTTAACCCCAAGAAACAAAACTAACATCAGGAAATGCCATTTCAGCCACAAGTTTATAAAACTAAAGTTTATCAGAGAGGGAATAGTGATTTAACCCAAGAATAAGAACATTTGTTCTGGTATATACTAACTGTGTAATGTTTAGGAAAAGTAGTGGGAAAAAAATTCTTAAAAATGGCATGATTTAGAAAAACTATTTGATTTATTTTTTTTGTTACCTTTCTTTATACTATGTGTCTACAGTTGTGTGTATATGAATGTACGTATTTTTTCCCAGCTTTTTATTTTATTTTATTTATTTATTTTTGGGTCTGGTTGTGGGGCCTGAACTCTGGGCCTGGGCCCTTTCCCAGCTTTTTATTTTTTTATATATTTTTATTGTGAAAATACTGTACAGAGGGGTTAAAATTACATGGGTAAGGGCTTGGAAGGTGGCTCAGTGGTAGAGCGCTTGCCTTGCATGCTCAAGGCCCTGGGTTCGATTCCTCAGCACCACATAAGCAAAAAGAAAAAAGCTGGAAGTGGCGCTGTGGCTCAAGTGGTAGAGCACTAGCCTTGAGCTGAAGAGCTGAGGGACAGTGCCCAGGCCCAGAGTTCAGGCCCCACGACCAGACCAAAAAAAAAACAAAAAAAAACCCAACTACATGGGTAAGATAATGAGCACATTTCTTATCAAGCCTTGTAGCCTCCTGCTTTGTTTCCTCTTCCCATTGTAAAGTTCATTTTTGGACATAACGACTTGTACATCTCATAGTTGCAATCTTTCCCAGCTTTTTAAATTTAACATATTGGGCTGTGAAGGTGGCTCAATGGTAAAGCACTTGCCTTGCATGCATGAGGCCCTGGGTTCGATTCCACATAAGTAACACATAAGCAAAAAGCAAAAAAAAAAAAAAAAAAAAAGCCGGAAGTGGTGCTGTGACTCAAGTGGTAGAGCACTAGCCTTGAGCTGAAGAGCTGAGGGACAGGGCCCAGGCCCAGAGTTCAGGCCCCATGACTGAACAAAAAAAAAAAAAAATATATATATATATATATATATATATATATATATTGTGAATATTCTCTAGGATTGTATTCAGTGATTTGGAAAAATATATATATATATATATATATATATATATTGTGAATATTCTCTAGGATTGTATTCAGTGATTTGGAAATACTTATTTTGAATGGCACTGTGATCTTAAATTCTATAGATTTGATGGAGTTGTTTGATCTCATCCCAAGTTTTGGATATTCGGGTTGTTTCTAATTTTCTTCTTCTTCTTTTTTTTTTTTGGGTCCGGTCTTGGGGCCTGAACTCTGGGCCTGGGCGCTGTCCCTCAGCTCTTCAGCTCAAGGCTTAGCGCTCTACCACTTGAGCCACAGCACCACTTTCCGGCTTTTTTCTTTTTGCTTATGTGGTGCTGAGGAATCGAACCCAGGGCCTCATGCATGCACGGCAGGCACTCTACCACTGAGCCACCTTCCCAGCCCTCTAGTTTTCTTTTTTTTTTTTTTTTTTGTCGGTCGTGGAGCTTGAACTCTGGGCCTGGGCACTGTCCCTCAGCTCTTCAGCTCAAGGCAAGCGCTCTACCACTTGAGCTACAGCGCCACTTCCGGTTTTCTGGTGGTTTATTGGAGATAGGAGTCTCACGGTCTCTCCTGCCCAGGCTGGCTTTGAACCTCGATCCTCAGATCTCAGCCTCCTGAGTAGCTAGGATTACAGGCGTGAGCCACCAGTGCCCAGCTTCTAGTTTTCTTATATGTAATGATAGTGTGAAAATATTTTAACATGTCTTACCTCTTTATATCCTCAGTGACTTGTAGAAGTACTAGAACAAAGAGTATAAACATTAGGCTCTTGGTAAATTATTTCTCATAAAGGTTTTTTTTTTTTGCCAGTCCTGGGGCTTGAACTCGGCCTGGGCACTGTTCTTGAGCTTCTTTTGCTCAAAGCTAGCACTCTTCCAATTGAGCCACAGCTCCATTTCTGGCTTTTTCTGTTTACATGGTACTGACGAATTGAACCCAGGTTTTCTTACATGCTAGGCAAGCACTCTACCACTGAGCCACATTCCCAGCCTTTCCCATAAAGGTTTTATCAGTCTGTTTTGTCCCATCTTTTGTGAGTTCTTCTGACTATCCTTGAGTTCAGACATGGTAAAGAAAGTCATGGTTATAAAAATTGTATCTTTAATAGATAGGAGTAAGGTCAGGAATATGCCAGAAAAAGAGATGTATGTCCTGTTTCTGTTTAAATACTTTTCTTGGGGTTGGGGATATAGTTCAGTAGTGAAGTACTTGTTGAACCCAAACAGCTTATTTATTTAGCTTTGGGTTCAGTTTGAGTTTTGGGAGCTGGTTGTGGGAGATGGGGGAGGGGGGAAGTAGAAAACGGATTCTTATTGACAGAGTAAAAAATCAAGAAAAATTTTAGCTGAGAACTACACTTGTAATCCTAGCTATGAGAAGTCAGCATGAGGAAAAAAGTCTATGAAACTTCTTTTTTTTTTGCCCATCCTGGGGCTTGAACTCAGGGATTAGGTACTGTCCCTGAGCTGCTTTTGCTCAAGTGCTCCACCACTTGAGCCACAGCTCCACTTCAGGCTTTTTTCTGAGTAGTTTATTGGAGATAAAGAGTTTCATGGACTTTTCTGCCTAGCCTGGCTTCAAACCACAGTCCTCAGATCACAGATCTCAGCCTCTCCTGAGTACGATTATAGACATGAGCCACTGGCTCCTGGCTACTTCTTTTGTTTTGTTTTGCTGGTTAGTTTCTATGGCAGTCTCTGCTGGCCACCAGCAAAAAGCTGGAAGTGGAACTGTGGCTCAAGTGGCAGAGTGCTAGCCTTGAGCAAAAAAAGCTCAAAAACAGTGCCCTGAGTTCAGGCTCCAGGACTTTTTCCCAAATTATTGGATTGTCTTGCTCCAGCTGGCTTTGAATTGTGATCCTTAGATCTCAGCCTTCTGAGTAACTAGGATTACAAGTGTGAGCCATCAGCATCCAGCTCCATTCAGGCTTTTTGCTGGTTAATTGGAGATGTAGAGTCTCACAGACTTTTCTACTTGGAGTTGGCTTCAAATCACAATCTTCACAAGCCTCCCAAGTAGTTAGGTTGGCTCCCAGCTCTTCATCTTACTTTCATTTATTTATATTATTTCTCCTGTGAGGTGTAATAACTGTCTTACAGTTACTAAGATGTTCAGATGGAGGTTCCCTATGAAAGTATACAGTTTTTGTTTTGTATTTTTGTTTTTTGGGCTAGTACTAGGACTTGAACCGTGGGCCTTGCACTCTTGTCTTTTTTAGTCAAGAGTGGTGGTTTACCACTTGAGACATACTTCCACTTTTTGCAGGTTAATTGGAGATAAGTGTCTCCCAAGACTTTTCTGCTAGGGCTGGCTTTAAATTATAATCCATAGATCCTCAGCCTCCTGAGTAGTTATGATTATAGACTTGAACCACTGGCACCCCAGCAAGTATCAGTTTAGTAAGCCTTATTTTCTTAATCTTAACAGGTAATTGGCCTTAGGCTTGTGCTGCTGTTCTCCCATTTTAGTTTCTTCAAAATTCATCTTCATGTTCCTATTTATTTAAGGTCTTTAAAGTACTTGTTTGCCCTGTGATCTGTGACTAATTGGGAGTGAGGTCATCCTTGTCTTAATTGGAGACATTTTCACTAGCAATTTCTTCCTAGAGTTACTTCCCTCTTCCTATAAATATACTCTAGGTATAGCTCTAGTTAATTGGAAAATACTTTTTTCCTGTGTAGATAGGTTGTACATGTATCATTCTGGCTCCAGGTTTATCTCATTCAGATAGGAGTTATCATGGACAGGCCTGGGCATAAAGATGCTTCAGTATGCTCTGTGCCATGTTTGAATGTGACTTAGACACATCTTTGGTATTATAATTCTCATGTATAAACTATGGTAGTAGTACCTGCCCCATCTGTTTGGCTGTATGAGGGTTCCTTGTAGTAATAGCTCTTAGGTATTGATTATGTGACTGACCTTGTAGGTGAGTAATCTTGGGAGGGAACACATCTTGTTTTACAGATAGGGCATTGTACACGGGACACAGCCTGTTTTTTGTTTTTTGTTTTTGTTTTTGTCAGGGAGTTTGAAGTCTGGGCCTGGGCGCTATCCTCAGCTCTACAGCTCAAGGCTAGTACTCTACCACTTGAGCCACAGCGCCACTTCTGGTTTTCTGGTGGTTAATTGGAGATAAGAGTCTCAGGGACTGGGGGAGGGGGGGGGAGGGAGGATTGGGTGGGGGGGGCCGGGGGAGGCTGGGAAGGGATGGGAAGGGGAAACAAAGGAGGAGGCTACAATGCTTGATAAGAAATGTACTCATTATCTTGCCCATGTAATTGTAACCCCTCTGTACAGTATTTTCACAATAAAAAAATTAAAAAAAAAAAAAGTCTCACGGACTTTCCTGCCTGGGCTGGCTTTGAACCTTGATCCTCAGAGCTCAGCCTTCAGTAGCTAGTATTACAGGCATAAGCCACTGGCACCCAGCTCAGCCTGATTTTTGAACCAGGATCTTTATGACCACCTCCCTTCCTTTCCTCCTTCCCTCTCTCCCTCCTTCCCTCTCTCCCTCCTTCCCTCTCTTCCTCCTTCCCTCTCTCCTTCAGTCCTTCCTTCCTTCCTTCTTTTTTATTTTTATTGTTTTGGTTGTGCGTGGGTGTTGTCCTTGAGCTTTTTTGCTCATGACTGGGCCTCTACCACTTTGAACCACAAACTCCACTTCCAGTTTTCTGGTGTTTAATTGGAGATGAGAGTTTCATGGACTTAAATGTCCAGGCTGGCTTTGAACTGCCTCTGAGTAGCATTACAGGCATGAGCTATTGGTGCACAGTTTAGCTGGATGCATTGTGTTCTGCTTCTGTTCTTCCCAGTATGAGACCACACAGAAGGAGCTGCAGATTCTGCCCTGAGAAAGGCTTGTAGTCAGGGTAGTGAAGTCAGAGAAAAGGGGCTTCCTTGGCTCCCTATGCTTTCTAAGGCCCAAGGAAGATTTCTATAATTTCTAGTACTAGTGCCTGATCCTTGTTTTGCTTTAGATAAACAGGATCAAGAAGACCAGAGGGGCTGGGAATGTGGCTTAGTGTTAGAGTGCTTGCCTAGCATGCAAGAAGCCCTGGGTTTGATTCCTCATTACCACCCATATAAACAGAAGAAGCCAGAAGTGGTGCTATGGCTCAAGTGGTAGAATGCTAGCTTTTGAGCAAAAGAAGCTCAGGGACAGTGCCCAAGCCCTGAGTTCAAGCCCCAGGACTGGCAAAAACAAAAAACACCGCCTCCCCCCCCCCCCAAAAAAAAAAAAAAACAAAAAAAACCCAAAACCAAAACCTGGAGTTTTCCACAAACACAAGATTTAAAAGGTAGTAGTAATAGGTTCTTCTTAGGAGAGGGCAAAGCTCTGAGGTCCTTGTCAATGTGCTGGCTGCCTGTGAAGTGGATGCATTTTGTCATCACCATGAGCTCTAAGCCCCTAAACTGCAAGGAGCCTTTGCTTGGCTCTGGTAGTGAGAAAGATGAGTCTGGCCCAATGTTCCCATTTCATAGTTTTACTTTTTTTTTTTTTTTGGTCAGTTGTGGGGCTTGAGTGTTGTCCCTCAGCTTTTCAGCTCACAGCCAGCGCTCTACCACTAGAGCTACCGCGCCACTTCCAGTTTTCTGGTGGTTTATCGGTGATAAGAGTTTCACGGACTTTCCTACCTGGGCTGGCTTTGAACCTCGATCCTCAGATCTCAGCCTCCTGAGTAGCTAGGATTATAGGCGTGAGCCACCGGCGCCCAGCTACCATAGTTTTACTTTGGAAAGATACAATGATCAAAGAAAAAATTCTGGCCACAGAATTTGTTTGCATGAGAAAAGCATCTTTTTTGTCAAAATAGTTTGCTTCCATTCTGAAGGTTAATTTTGAGAGGTTTTTTTTTTTTTTGGTCAGACCTGGACTTGAACTTGGGGCCTGGGCACTGTCCCTGAGCTCTTTTTGCTCAAAGTTAGCGCTCTACCACTTTGAGCCACAGTGCTACTTACATTTTCCTGGTGGTTAATTGGTAAAGAGTCTTAGAGACTTTTTCTGTATTGGATGGCTTTTTGAACTGTGATCTTTAGGTCTAAGCCTCCTGAGTAGCTAAGATTACAACTATGAGTGCCCAGTGCCCAGTTTTAGTGTCCTGTTGGAGAGTATTGTTTTTCTGAAAAGTTCCTGCTTTAGCCAGGTGGCTTAGTCCTTTTAAATTATATTTTAGTTACATACATCCTTCTCCTGAGCACTTTAAGGCATCCTGTTAGAAGCTCCCTGAGTTTTAGTTACATCCTGTAAATTAAAGCACATCCTTTTGCAGATTGTAAACCTGAGCTCATCCACTCCAAGCAGAGGGTGAGGCCCAGCTAGGTTAGGGATAAAAATGGAGCAGCCTGCCTGGTCTGTCTGTCCAAGTTTTGAGGGTTTGGCACACTCTTCAGCTGAAGTAAACTTTGCCTTGCCAAGTTAAGTTTCCTTTGAGTTGGTGTCCTTATACCTATGTGATACCTTAACATCTGAGATTTTGTTTGTTTTTATTTTTTATTTTTTGGGTCCGGTCGTAGGGCCTGAACTCTGGGCCTGTGCGCTGTCCCTCAGCTCTTCAGCTCAAGGCTAGCGCTCTACCACTTGAGCCACAGCACCACTTCCGGCTTTTTGCTTATGTGGTGCTGAGGAATCGAACCCAGGGCCTCATGCATGCAAGGCAAGTGCTCTACCACTGAGCCATCTTCCCAGCCCCTTTATTTTTATTTTTATTTATTTATTTTTGGTCTGGTTGTGGGGCCTGAACTCTGGGCCTGGGCACTGTCCCTCAGCTCTTCAGCTCAAGGCTAGCGCTCTACCACTTGAACCACAGCGCCACTTCCGGGTTTTTTCTTTTTGCTTATGTGGTGCTGAGGAATCGAACCCAGGGCCTCAGGCATGCAAGGCAAGTGCTCTACCACTGAGCCACCTTCCCAGCCCTGCTTTTTTTTTTAATTGGCAGTACTGTGTTAGAACTTGGCCTTGTGCTGGTTAAGCCGATGCTCTACTTGAGCCATAAGAATTCTAAAATATTTTATAGAGTCAGTTACTAGTGGCTCACACTTGTAATACTAGCTATTTAAGAGACAGAAACCACTGGGTACAGGTGGTTTATGCTTGTAATCCTAGCTACTCAGTAGGCTGAGATCTGAGGATCACGTTCAAAGGCAACCCGGGCAGGAAAGTCCGTGAGACTCTTATCTCCAATAAAAACCACTAGAAAACTGGAAGTGTTATTGTGGCTCAAGTGGTAGAGCACTGGCCTTGAGCTGAAGAGCGCAGGGACAGCGCCTAAGCCCAGAGTTCAAGCCCCACAACCGACCCCCCCCCTTCCAAAAAAAGAAAAAAATCTAACCACAAATTCTAAGTTTTTGAGCTAAACTTTATTCTTTACTGTTATTTCTTCGAGTTACAAGGTGATTTCACTGGGAAATGTTCTATAGAAATTACTCTTGCATTGATAGTTGTAAAAATTCAACTAGGTAGAGTTTTGTGTTAAAATTGTGCTGGGGAGGAGGGGAGGAGAGAGGAGAAAGGATTGCCAGTGGTGTGGATGGCTCATGTCTGTAATCCTAACTGTCCAGGAGGCTGAGATCTAAGGATCATGGTTGGAAGCCAGCCTGGTCAGGAAAGTCCCTGAGACTCTTATCTCCAATTAACCAGCAAAAAATTGGAAGTGGAGCTGTGGCTCAAGTGGTAAAGCACTATAGCCTTAAGTTAAAAAAAAAAAAAAAGCTCAGAACAGTGCCCAGACCCTGAGTTTAAGCCCTAGGACCAGCACAGAGCCTCCCTAATCCCCCCAAAATAGACCAAATTCTTGAGTCTCAGTTTGTGTTATTCTTATTACTATTATGTTTTAAAGTTTTTAAATTGTTACTATGAAGGTGATGTATAGAGGAGTTACAGTTACATAAGTCAGGTAATGAATAATGAATACTTTTTTTTTTTGGGTCCAGTTGTGGGGCCTGAACTCTGGGCGCTGTCCCTCAGCTCTTCAGCTCAAGGCTAGCGCTCTACCACTTGAGCCACAGCGCCACTTCTGGCTTTTTTTCTTTTTGCTTATGTGGTGCTGAGGAATTGAACTCAGGGCCTCATGCATGCAAGGCAAGTGCTCTACCACTGAGCCACCTTCCCAGCCCTGAATACTTTCTTTTTGGACAGTGGCATCTCTTCTCTCATCTCTCCTAGTTGTCACCTCCCTCCCAAGTTGTATAGTTCATTTTCAGGGTAGTATCTAGTGAGTACTATTGCTGCATTTGCTCACTTTTTATTTTTTTGGTGTGGGTATTAATCTCAGAGTGTTGTACCACTTAAGCTACACCCTAATTCAAAACCAGTTTTCTTAATAGAGTCTTGAAAGTTGACTTTGAATTCAAGTGATAATGAAGCTTTTGGTTTTTGTAGGTCTGCTTTATAAATTTTAAAGTTATATTTGGTATAAATAGGTCTGAGTCAGTATGCTTCGTGACAGTGTTTATTGTATGTTTGTTACTGTTGTTCATATAGGTGCTGCCTATTGTCAGTTTATGGACATGCTATTCCCTGGCTCTATTGCCTTGAAGAAAGTGAAATTCCAAGCTAAGCTAGAGCATGAATATATCCAGAACTTCAAAATACTACAAGCAGGTTTTAAGAGAATGGGTGTTGACAAAGTAAGTATATTTTATTCCTTCAGCTAGGTTTTTCCTTTTTTTTGTTTGTGTGCCATTGTTGTCTTGCTGGGTACTCTTTATTAGTCAGGGCCTCTTGCTCTCTTTTAGGTTATTCATAATTCATTGTATATGTGTATGGTTGGTTTGTGCTATAAATGTCTTGCTATGTAGCCCAGGCTGATGCCATACTTGATCTTTCTTCCTCAGTCTCCTGAGTACAGGTATTATAGGTATTCAGTACCATGCCTGGCCATAGATTTTTTTTTTCTTTATAGTAGAGTGGCACTTTTATCACATATTAAAATGTGTGGCTTATGTAAAATTGACATTTTTTTTTGTTGGTCATGGGGCTTGAACTCTGGGCCTGGGCGCTGTCCCTCAGCTCTTCAGCTCAAGGTGAGCGCTCTACCACTTGAGCTACAGCACCACTTCCGGTTTTCTGGTGGTTTATTGGAGATAGGAGTCTCCTGCCCGGGCTGGCTTTGAACCGCGATCCTCAGATCTCAGCCTCCTGAGTAGCTAGGATTACAGGCGTGAGCCATCAGCGCCCAGCTAAAATTGACATTTTTGTTGGTGATGTTAGGTGTAGGGCTTGAACTCAGGCCTTGGGTGCTTCCCCTAAGCTTTTTTGCCTAAGGTCCAGCACTCTACCACTTTGAGTCACAGTGCTACTTCTGGTTTTTGGTTAATTGGAAATAAGAGTCTCACAGATTTCTCTGCCTGGGCTGGCTTGGAACTGTCAATTCTCAGATCTCAGACTCCTGAGTAGGTATGATTACAGGCATGAGCTATTAGCCCCTGGTGTATATGTAATATATATGATGTTTGTTGTTTTGTCATTTCAGATTCCTTTTTATAAATTTGAAATATTTTAAGGGGTTAGTGCTAAGTTCTCTAAAATATTTTTTCTACCTTTGACAGAGTTTTGTAGTGATTGACCTGTGGATAGGTTTGATGCTTGCCAAAAACCCTTTGCTTTGAACTAAACAGTCTTGATTTTTCTTTACAGATAATTCCTGTGGATAAATTAGTAAAAGGAAAGTTTCAAGACAATTTTGAATTCGTTCAGTGGTTCAAGAAATTTTTTGATGCGAACTATGATGGAAAAGACTATGACCCTGTAGCTGCCAGACAAGGTCAAGAAACTGCAGTGGCTCCCACCCTTGTTGCTCCAGCTCTGAATAAACCCAAGAAACCTCTTGGCTCTAGTGGTGCAGGTAAAAAAACACCCTCAGGAGTCTAACTCTCATTTCCTGCAGGAAATAACTCCCTTTTATTTTTTCCCCTCTATCTCCTTACTTTATCCTGTCATCCTAAAATAAATCCTTGCTAAAACGTTACAAAAACCAAACCAAACCAAAAACATCCCTTCCTGACCTCATTTCTAGTAACTCCTGGTAATCTCATTTATTCCAAATTGAATCAGAATTTTTTGGCATTTTTTGCTGTTAGGCCTTGTACATGGTGGAGGGGTGCTCTTAATACCGAGCTATATATACCTTCAGCCTTTAATCAGAGAGTTTTTGTTTTTGATACTGCACCTTGAACTCAACTTGCTACATGTTGAACTAAGCCTTGAACTCTTGCTTGGCCTTTTTGCTCATGGCTGGTGCTCTTACCACTTGAGCCATATCTCTAGTTCTGGCTTTTTTTTTGTCGGTCTTGGGGCTTGAACTCTGGGTCTGGGTGCTGTCCCTCAGCTCTTTTTCTTTTTTTGGGGGGGAGAAGGGGTCCGGTCGTGGGGCCTGAACTCTGGGCCTGGGCGCTGTCCCTCAGCTCTTCACCTTAAGGTTAGCGCTCTACCACTTGAGCCACAGTACCACTTCCGGCTTTTTTTCTGCTTCTGTGGTGCTGAGGCACCCAGGGCCAAATGCATGCAAGGCAAGCACTCTACCACTGAGCCACCTTCCCAGCCCACGTCCCTCAGCTCTTCAGCTCAATGCTGGCACTCTACCACTTGAGCTACAGCTCCACTTCCAGTTTTCTATTGGTTTATTGAAGATAAGAGTTTTACGGACTTTCTTGCCTGAACTGGCTTTGAACTGCGATCCTTAGATCTCAGCCTCCTGAGTAGCTAGGATTACAGGTGTGAGCCACCACCTGGCTTAGTTCTGGCTTTTTGAAGGTTAATTGTTGATAAGAGTCTCACCAACAATTCTCTGATTTGAGTCTCCTGAGTAGCTAGGATTATAGGCATGAGCCACTTGCACCAGCTTAATCAGTATCAGTATTTTTTGAGCAACAATTGGTTTGAGAATCTCCACAAGATAGTCCTAGGGATGTGGAAAAAATGTGCTTATGTTTTGTCATAAAGCAGATCTGTACTTGTTCTTTGTAGCTCTAGGTGAGCCCTTTGGCATCTGTGCAGCATTTTCCTCCCCTATAGAATGGGAAATTTATTACTTGCCACAGAAGTTATTCTTGAGTTCCGAATGAGTTACTATATGCTATTTGGCAAAGCTTTTAGTTATATGGAATAGATTCCTAAGGTTGGCTCACATAAGTTGCTTTAGTTATATAGAAAATAAGGGCATGTTACAGAACCTTCGGAAGTTAAATATACTATGTAGTAGGATATGACTTGAGTAAGTATGACTTGCTCTGATGTTGACAAGATGTAGAAGGCAGAGGGAGGTGATTTTCAGGAATTAATTGGCTTAGTAGGTTTTCCAAGATGTGTTTATAGTAGTATATTCATGGGATATGCCATGTGGGGGCAAGGTTGGTGTTCTACCAATCTTGTCACTCCTTTTCCATATGGCAAGAAGATTAGTTAAGGTCCCAGAGTACCCTGAGAGAGGCTGGTGAATTTGGGTAGAAAGAATGGGTGCAGGGCTGGGAAGGTGGCTCAGAGTGCTTGTCTTGCATGCATGAGGCCCTGGGTTCGATTGCTCAGCACCACATAAGCAGAAAAAGCCAGAAGTGGCGCTGTGGCTCAAGTGGTAGAGTGCTAGCCTTGAGCTGAAGAGCTGAGGATCAGCGCCCAGGCCCAGAGTTCAGGCCCGACAACCAACAAAAAAAAAAAAGAAAGATAGAATAAAAAGAACGGGTGCGTTGAGTACTTAAGAAAGCCAGGCGCTGGTGGCTCAGGCCTATAATTCTAGCTACTCAGGAGGCTGACATCTGAGGATCATGGTTTAAAGCCAGCCCTGGCAGGAAAGTCCATGAGACTATCTCCAATAAAACCAACTGGAAGTGGCGCTGTGGATCAAGTGGTAGAGGGCTAGCCTTGAGCTGAAGAGCTGAGGGACAGCACCCAGGCCTAGAGTTCAAACCCCATGACCAACCAAAAAAAAAGACCTCAAAAAAACAATTGGAGATATTATACCTTCACCCGTGTAAAGTGTTTGTATTTATTTAGTGTATTCAAAGAGTTATGTCACCATCACCACAATTTTAGAACATTTACATCACCTAAAAAGAAACCTCTTGTTTGTTCTATTGCAGTCACTTCTCATTTTCCCCTAACTCTCTGGAGAAACCACTAATCTGTTTTCTGTCTGGATTTGCCTATTCTGGATATTTTGTGTAAATGATATAGAATGCAAGATCCTACCTTGCATTTGTGGTCTTTGTGTCTGGGTTCTTTTACTCAGTGTATCTTCAAGTTTCCAGTGGTAAGAATGCTATACCATTTAGTTACACTTCATTTTTATTGGAGCATAATATCCCATTGTATGTCTATACTTCATTTAGTTATTCATCAGTTGATGGTCATTTGAGATGTTTCTGCATTTTGGTTCCTATGTTGCTGTGAAGATTCATCTATAGTTTCTATGTGGACGTGTTTTCATTTCTATATGTATTGTGGAGTAGAATTCCTGGGTCACATGGTAACAGTCTTAAACCTTTTGCAGAGCTAACCTTTTGAACAGAGTCACTGTTTTCCAAAGTGGCTGAACTATTGACAATACCATGAACAGTATTTGATGGTTCTAATTTCCTAGTTACTGTATGATTTTATTCTTTTTTTTTTTTTTTTGGTTGGTCGTGAGGCTTGAACTCTGGGCTTGGGCACTGTCCCTCACCTCTTCAGCTCAAGGCTAGTGCTCTACCACTTGAGCCACAGCGCCACTTCTGGCTTTTTTCTTTTTGCTTATGTGGTGCTGAGGAATTGAACCCAGGGCCTCATGCATGCAAGACAAGCGCTCTACCACTGAGCCACCTTCCCAGCCCCTGCTTTTATTCTTTAATTGTGTAGAATGGCAACTGCTTAGATAACCTTTACATTTCATATTTTAGATGCTGATAACAGTTAAGTGGAGACTTACAATAAACATTTTGTCTTCAGGAGAAAAATGCCAAAGAGAACTATCCAGAGAAAATATCTGCTACTGTGGGCAAAAAGCCTGTGGTTATTTTGGCTTGTTGGGAAGATTAGATATTGCTTCTCTCTCTCCCTCCCTCTCTCTTTCTCTCCTCCTTTCTTTCTTCTGTAATGGGGCTTGAACTCAGAGCCTGGGTGCTTTCCCTGAGTTTTTTTTTTTTTTTTGTACTCTCCCCCACCTCCCCAGCCCAGCTTGGCTTTGCATTGTGATCCTCAGATGTCAGCCTCCTGAGTAGCTAGGATTACAGGCATGAGCCACTGGTGACCTGGTGCCTGGCACTTTTTTCTCTTTTTCTTTTTTTTTTTTTTGTGCCAATCCTAGAGCTTGAACTCAGGGTGAGGGGTCTGTCCCTGAGCTTCTTTCTCTCAAGGCTAACACTACTACTTTAGCCACAGCTCTATTTCCAGCTTTTTGTTAGTTAATTTGATACAAGAATCTCACGGACTTTGCTGCTCAGGCTGGCTTCTAACTGTGATCCTCAGATCTTAGCCTCCTGAGTAGCTAGGATTACAGGCACGAGCTATCAGAGCTGTTTTGTTTTTGTTTTTTTTTTTCCTTGATGCTGCTAGGTAGGTGCTCTTACCACTTGTGCCATTCCTCCAGTGCTATTCTTGATTATTTTAATTTACAGATTCATTAACTGGTTTATTGCTTCATCTGCTTTAAGTACTGAGAGAAGTCTATAGGTTCTAGTTAGTGAGATTCTTCTCTAACCCTTCTAAATACCTTCTAAAAGGAAAGTATAATTATAGTAGTGATAGTAGATTATTTCAGTCTTATAGATGTCTTCCTTCTTTTTTTGAAAAAATAAATTTATTCAAGTGTTGTATAGAGGGTTATCGTTTCATAAGTCAGGCAATGAGTACTTTTTTTTTTTTTTTTTGCCAGTACTGGGGCTTGAACTCAAGGACTGGGCATGGTCCCTGAATTTCTTTTGCTCAAGGCTAGCACTCTTATTACTTGCCACAGCTCCACTTCTGGTTTCTTCTGTTTGTGTGATAGTGAGGAATTGAACCCAGGGCTTCATGCATGCTAGGCAAACGCTACCACTAAGCCACATTCCCAGCCATGAGTCTATTTTTTGGGGGGACAGTGTCACCCTTTCCTTCACTGTCCCCCAGTTTCCTCTTCCCATCCCTGTCCACAGGTTACATAGTTCATGTTCTACATGGTGTCTACTGAGTATGACTGTTGCATTTAAGATTTGCCCCTTCATTTCTGTGTCCCCTCTTTAGCCCCCCAAAAGATAGAAAAAAGAACAAAACAACAAAAAGCAAAAATAAAACTACTGCCACCCCCCCAACAAAAACCCTTAATGTTTCCATTTCCTAGAATTTATTTTGATAAATAGTATGTTAAGTGTTCAGATGTGTTATGCTTTTGGGTTTCTCCTCTATGACTGACTATCCTCCTTTAGTCTCATCACTGTGTATGCCTTGAGTTCTATATCCCCTTTAGGAAAAATTTTTGACAGTATTGGAGTTTGAACCCAGGGCCTCATGCTTTCTAGGTAGATATTCTGGTTCATGAGCCTTTTTTAAATTCTTAGTTATTTTTCAGGTAGGATCTTGCATTTTTGCCTGGGTTTGGCCTCAGACTGCAATCCTCCTCCCTATGGCCTCTGTGTATCTGAGATCTGAGGCAAACTACCTTACTGATTGAAATGCTATTTTGTCAACTTTTGGCCCAGGCTGGCCTTGAATTGTGATCCTTTCTGTCCTCACCTTTCCAGTAGCTGTGATTTATAGATGTGAGCCACTGCACCTGACAACTTCTTCATTCATCTAATCTAGGGATACTGCAGTTATGAGTTAGGAGGGTTCTAGTTTTCCTTATGGGGTACAGAAGCCACTGGTAGCAGCTGGGATTGTGATAGTCTTCTAGCAGGAAGTTTGCCTATTAGCCATGTAGCTGCCTTTTTGTGAGTTTTGTTGGGATAAGTTAATGTGGCTCACCTGTACCTCCCATAATGGCTGTGGGCCTCTTTCAGATGATAGTCTGTTCACCACAGCAGAGAACAAGCCTTGCTGGAGAACTTACTCCCAGCACAAAAGAGTGCCGCTAAAATTGGTACTTTAGTGGCTCAGGTAGAGCAATCCGTGAGTAAAAGCAAATGTCAATATTGAGTTTGAGTCCTGGTATTGGAGAAGGAATAACAGCAAAAAAAGACACTTCAGCCTGCTGTCAGGATGAAGAACTTTTTTTTTTTTTTTGGGCCATTTTTGAGGCTTGAACTCAGGGCCTAGTCACTGTCCCTGAGCTTTTTGCTCAAGGCTAGCACTCATCCACTTGAACCCAGCCTCACTTCTAGCTTTTTGTGTTCATGTGGTACTGAGGAATTGAACCCAGGACTTCATGCATGCTAGGCAAGCATTCTTCTACCACTAAGCCATATTCCAGTCCAATACTTTTTTTTTTTTTGTCCTCGTCTGGGGCTTGTATGACTGGGCAGTGTCCCTGAGCTTTTGTGCTCAAGGCTAGTGTTCTACCATTTGAGCTATAGCTCCACTTCAGGCTTTCTGGGTGATTAGTTGGAGATAAAGAGTCTTGAGGATTTCCTGCCAGGCTGGCTTGAAACTATGAACCTCAGATCTCAGCCTCCTGAGTTGCTAAGATTACAGGTGTGAACCAGTGGTACCTGGCAAAAACCACTTGACAAATGGGTGTTGTTTTGCAGGCTGGTGCTTTCTAGCATTTGCTGAACACCTGTGGAAAGCAGTTGGTCAAAGCCTTCCCTTACCATCTTGTGGATTTCTGTTTGTTTTTGAAATGTCTCTTAATGTTTAATCCTCTCAGCTCCACCGAGGCCCATTTCAACACAGAGAACTACTGCGACTCCTAAGGCTGGCCCAGGGGTGGTGCGAAAGAATCCTGGTGTGGGCAACGGGGATGATGAAGCAGCTGAATTGATGCAGCAGGTGGGCACCTTCTATGTCCAGGTTGTGTCACTGTGGAACTTCCATGATACAGGGATCAGGGAGACTTGACGCCTTCAGAACAGACCTTGACACACAGCTCTCCTGTGGGAGCAAGCCTGGGGATGGCCAAGCATTAGGTGTTCTTCTGATTCTAGTGTGACAGAAATGTAATGTCTGTTTGGAAACCAGTTGTAGAGTAAAACTCTGTAAGATATTTTTGGGATGATCTCAGGTTTCTGGGATCCATAAAGTCAAGGATATAGCAGGGTTACTGTGTATCTTGAGTTTTCACTTGCCCAGCCTACATGCGTCTGGCTTCAAGGCACAGGTCAGTTACATCTGAATGGGGAATTGAAGTTGTTTGTTTAACTGAGGTTTATAGAAAGTTCTTTTACTCAACATTGACAATTGTAATTATTCATTGCAATTACTCTGGGCAAATTGCTGCTAAACATTAGGGAGAATACCAAGACATGGAAGACATGTCCTGCACCTAGAAATGTAGTTGGGGAAGATTTACTTGGTGCCAGCCTATGATCCAGTCCCAGGTGAGGATTATGGAAAGTGATGGGTTTCGGGTTCTACGTCTGTGTTTGTCCCAGGCTTCTTTAGGTTTTTTTTCTTTCCCCATTTTTAGTTTTAAGAGTTACTGAAATGTTTTGATTGCCCTTTCCTGGAAGCAATTATAGTTAGGGTTGCCTTGAATTACTCAATTGTTTTACTGGGACTGAATGAAGATTTTCAATGTTCAATTGAATAGGGTTTTTAATCTGTGTTTGAGTTTGATCAGAGACCATATCTTTTGGGCTAGAAGTATGTCTGATACTTTATTGATCTACTAATGTCAGGTATCTCTCCTCTTTTAATGTTTTATGCAGGTCAAAGTATTGAAACTTACTGTTGAAGATTTGGAGAAAGAGAGAGATTTCTACTTCGGAAAGCTAAGGAACATTGAATTGATTTGCCAGGAGAATGAGGGGGAAAATGACCCTGTATTGCAGAGGATTGTAGACATTCTTTATGCCACAGATGTACGTGTTCATATGGAGATATTTTCTTTAGCCTTTTAAAAAATAAGCTATATTAAGCAGCACATATTGTAAGTTTATATTTGGTGATGTGAGATCAGATAAAGTACAAACATTTTCAAAAGTTTCTTGAGGTACATCAGGCACTGGTGGCTCACACTTACAATCTTAGCTACCCAGAAGGCTGACATCTGAGGACTGAGGTTCAGAGGCAGCCTGGGCAGACAAATGTGGGAGAATCTTACCTCCAGTTAGTCAACAAAAAGCTGAAAATGGAGATATGGCTCAAGTGGTAGAGGACCAGCAAAAGCTAGAAGTGGAGGTATGGCTCAAGTGATAGAGTACCAGTTGTGATTTCAGGCAACTGTACCAGCACATGTGTACATGCTTTCACTCACACAACTTTGAGGGTAAATGTGATGGTTCTCTCTTTTGCCTTTAAGAAGCAGGTCTAGGGGCTTGGAATGTGGCTCAGTGGTAGAGTGCGTGCCTAGCATATATAAAGCCCTGTGTTTGAATCCTTAGTACCACATAAACAGAAGTGGTGCTGTTGCTCAAGAGGTAGAGTGCTAGCCTTGAAGAAAAGAAGCTCAGGGACAGTACCCCAGGACTACTGGGGCCAAAAAGAAGCACTAGTCATTTTTTATTTTTTTTCTCAGTGGTGGGGCTTGAACTCTGGGCCTAGGCACTGTCCCTCAGCTTTTCAGCTCAGGGCAAGTGCTCTACCACTTGAGCCACAGTGCTACTTCCGGTTTCCTGGTGGTTAATTGGAGATAAGAGTCTTACGGACTCTCCTGCCAGGACTGGCTTTGAACCATGATGTTCAGATGTCAGCCTTCTGAATAGCTAGGATTATGGGCATGAGCCACCGGTGCCCAGCAACACTAGTCACTTGTGTGATATGTGCTTGATATGTGATAGACACAAGATATCTAGGTAGAGAGGCTTTTAGTATGAGGAAAGTGAGCCACAGTAGAAATCAGTCATATTCTTGGTTGAGTAAGTTTTCTCCTTGCATTTTCCCTTTTCAGGAAGGCTTTGTGATACCTGATGAAGGGGGCCCACAGGAAGAGCAAGAAGAGTATTAACAGTCTGGACCAGCAGATCAATATTGAATTCTTCACTCCAAAATCATGTGCTTAACTGTAAAATACTCCCTTTTATTATTCCTAGAGGATTCACTGGTTTCTTTTCATAAGCAAAAAGTACCTCTTCTTAAAAGTGCACTTTGCAGAAGTTTCACTCCTTTTCTGATAAGTTTGAGTTAGGAGCTTATACCTTGTAGCAGAAGCAGTATTAACATCTAGTTGGTTCACCTGGGAACAGAGAGGCTGACCATGGGGCTCAGCGTGTGGATACTGGTCACACTGAATTGCTGAAGAAGGTGTTTGGTGTAACACTGAGGTGGCACCCTCAAATAGAGACATGTAAAGACTGAATTGAATTTTAAGCTAATGTGAAATCTTGGCAAAGAACGTTTTAATAAATGCCTTAAGAGTATTTAAAATATGCTTCCATATTTCAAAATAGAACATGTAACCTGACAGGAGATATTATGTGTCTGACTTTGTGTCTGGGAAGGAGGGGCCAGACTTTGGGACCTTTATAGCCTGTTGTGTCAGGCCTTACAGGGCTGCTTGAATCCTCACAGGCCACACCTTTGGCCCCAAAGTGGAAGTTTAAAAATTGCTCTGTAAGGCCATTTGGTATCATTGGCCAGATGCATCCCCGCTACTAGCAAGTGGCATGGTTGCCTGGGTGAATGGTGTGTTTCAGTCCTGAGATGGTTTGAGGTGAAGACCTAGATTTTCATTGAGCAGTCCTCTGATTTATTCAACTATCTTTGGAATTGCTTTGCATTGTGTGTTTTTGGGAAATGAGATACCCCCCCCCCCCCTTTTTTTTTTAAATCTAACAACTAGTTTTGGGAACTTGCCCACATCTCTGGGATTCAAATGGGAATTGTGTCCCATTTTACTGTTTTTTAAGTTTACATTGAACATATTTCTCTTTTCTGCTCCCTTTGTCCACTGGGAGCTCCTCTTTGGCTCCTTAAGTTTGCTGCTTAGTGTTGGAAGTACAGCAGGCAGGTGATCATGCTGCAAGTTCTTGCTGGACCTCTGGCAAAGGGAGTGATCTTTGACGGCCAGTTACCTTGGGATCTACAAGGCTGGGGTGTTTTCCATATCTGCTGTTCACAGCTCTCCACTGTTATCTGGATACTTTGCCAGTGCACTAATCTCTTTGGAGATAAAATTCACTAGTGTGTTACTAAATGTCATATTTTTTTTTTTTGCAGAAGATACAGTACTATGTCTGAATTAATTATTAATATTTAAAAGATTTCATTCCTTCTCCTTCATTTGCTTTGCCCATGGCCTAGTCAGTCCCTTTGTTTGGCAGAATTCTGCAAAATGTATTTCACCCACTACTGAGATTGTTCAGTCCCTGATGTGTTTGTATTGATTTGTTTCTGGTGGTAGCTTGTCCTAAAATGTGTGTAGAAAGCAAGGTATTTTATGATAAAATTGTTGTGTAGTGCATGCTTTGCGTGGAATTCAGAGGGAAACCCAGATTCATTGATTAACAATGCCAAAAATGCAAGTAACCAGCCATTGTTGAAAGGACAGTGGTGCTATTTCTCTTTTGTGGCCTTTTATTAGACTTCTGTTGCCCGGAAATCCATTTTATTGGGAACCCATTTTCCACCTGGTCTTTCCTGACAGGGTTTTTTTCTACTTTAAACAGTTTCTAAATAAAATTCTGTATTTCAAGAGTGTTATGTCTTCTGGAATTTGTCTTGCCCTGACTATAAGCATTTAGGTTCTAGTGGTTAAGTAAGTACCTATGCTTTTTTCTTTTCTTTTTTTTTTTTTGGTTGGTCGTGGGACTTGAATTTAGGGCCTGGGCGCTGTCTACCAGTTTGAGCCATAGTGCTACTTCCAGTTTTCTGATGGTTATTTGGAGATCAGAGTTTCATGGACTTTCCTGCCTGGGCTAGCTTCCAATTGCGATCTTCAGATCTTAGCCTCCTGAATTGCTGGGATTACAGGCCTGAGTCACCAGCGCCTGGCATATGCTTTTTTCGTAAACAAAGACTGATAGAATTTTTTCCCCCAAATATGTTTTTTTTTTTAATTGTTTGGTCATGGGGATTGAACTCTGGGCCTGGGCACTCTCCCTGAGCTCTTTGGCTCAAGGCGAGTGCTCTACCACTTGAGCTATAATGCCACTTCCAGTTTTCTGGTGGTTAAGTGGAGAGAAAAGTCTCATGGCCTTTCCCTGCCCAGGCTGGCTTTGAACCTCAATCCTCAGATCTTAGCCTGTTGAGTAGCTAGGATAACAGGTGTGAGCCACTGGCGCCTGGCAAAATAAAATTTTTTTTAAAAGTCTGCTTCCTTTCTTCACATTGCACTTCTCAGCCTCCTGCTTTTTTAAATTCATAGCCAGCCTGCCCTTTCCTTTGAGAAATGCAGCAGAACAGTGCTTGGTGATGACCATACTTGGCCAGAATGTTTTGTTTTTCCTGAAAGCATGTTTTGAGGGTAATTCGCACAAACTCAGCTTATAAGAAAAGTTGGCAGGGGCTGGGAAGGTGGCTCAGTGGTAGAGTGCTTGCCTTGCATGCATGAGGCCCTGGGTTCGATTCCTCAGCACCACATAAGCAAAAGGAAAAAAAGCCGGAAGTGGCGATGTGGCTCAAGTGGTAGAGTGCTAGCCTTGAGCTGAAGAGCTAAGGGACAGTGCCCAGGCCCACAGTTCAGGCCCCACAACCGGACCCAAAAAAAAAAAAAAGAAAAGTTGGCAACATTTTTTCTTAACTTTATGAAGTCCTCTACCTTTACAAATGGATTCAAAAGATGATTCATTGCTATTTTCAATGTGAAATAAAGTTAGATGGGTGGAAAGTAGTTTTGTGTATCATTTTATTTTTTATTATCTTTAAGTAGTTGTATAAAGAAGTTCCCATTCTACAAAACAGTATATGAGTACAAAGTGTCTGACAACATTGTCACCCATCTCCTAACCCATCCCTTCTCTCACTTTTTTTCTTTAATTGAGATTAGGTGATTACCTAAATTTCACATATTTCACAGTATTGTGGAATAGTGATACTTAGTTAAAGTCACAAACACATTTTAACCTTCACAAGGCAAATTGTCATTATCATGGTCTATACAGTTTGTGAATTCCATGAGCTTTGACAATACAAGTTATTTTTTTCCACATCAGGTGATGTTTATATTTATTTCCTTTTGCTTAGTGTAGGCTGTTCTGACTTATTCTGTTCCTCTTCCTGGCTTCCCTCGGTTGCATGAATATATCTTACCATATATATGGTCAAGAACATGGAGTCATTTAGCAATGATATGACAAAATGGGTGGCTGTCCTTTGTTGTGTATCACTTTAGAGTACTTACTTAGCTATTATTTTGGACACTGGAAATCCAATTTGATTTTGGTTTACATTACTTTCTCTGAAGTTAGTGGTATGATACTTTCCTTGAAATGTTAACGTACCTCGAGAAGGAACTTGATACTGTCCTCATCCTCTATAAGATGATATCTTCAGCAGGACGTGGAGTTTGTGAAGATGCTACTAGGTGCTGTCAGCTGAGAAGTTACTTGGTAAGAAGTGAAACTGATAGATACTCTGTGCCTGTGACCTTAGTCTATTTCGACCTAGTTCGTGTGTGTGTGTGTGTGTGTGTGTGTGTGTGTGTGTGTGTGTGTGTGTGTGTGTGTGTGTGTGTGTGTGTGTGTGTGTGTGTGTGTGTGTGTGTGTGTGTGTGTGTGTGTGTGTGTGTGTGTGTGTGTTTTGGTTGTGGGGTTTGAACTCAAGGTCGGGGTGCTGTCCCTGAGCTCTTTTTGCCCAAGGCCAGCACCACTGAGCCACAGTACCACTTGTGATTTTCTGGTGGTTTAGTAGAGATGAGAGTCTCGGGAACTTTCCTGCCTGGACTGGCCTGCAATCAGATCTTAGCTTCCTGATTAGCTAAGATTACAGGCCTGAGTTGGTACTGGGCAGCCTAGCTGTTTAGGCTAAGACATAAAATCTTTTTGTGACAAATTCAGGTTAGCCCACCAGAGCAATAAACTTAGATAGGTTATGTGGTTTGGCTGGCAAGTTCTGTGTTGCATAAAGGGTAAACAGAGGGGTTCTCTGCATAGATTTGGATTCAGGATTCATTCCTTAGCCTTCTCTTCACAATCACCTGGGGAACTTGTTTGGCATAATGTATTTGTAAAATCCGTCCCTCAAATTCTAAAGTTAGGAGATGAAGAATCTGGGTTTTCACGTAGGAAATATAGATTCTCTAGTGGTCTGAACTTGGGCCATAGCAGATGTCTGCAAAGAGAACATCAGATTTAAGGTCTAGCTTTGTAAGCTTTAAGCTAATTGATGGTTTTGTTTTTTTTTTTTTTTGGTTGGTCATGGGGCCTGAACTCTGGGCCTGGGTGCTTTCTCTCAGCTCTTCAGCTCAAGGCCAGGGCTCTACCACTTGAGCCACAGTGCCACTTCCAGCTTTTTCTGCTTATGTGGTGCTGAGGAATCGAACCCAGGGCCTCATGCATGCAAGGCAAGCACTCTACCACTGAGCCACTTTTCCAGCCCCTTTCTTTTTCTTAACTGCAAAGTAAAGATGAGGGTGTTTGACAGGGTGAACACCCCTTTTGGGTGTTAGTTGACTATGAGAGAGCTAATGAGAAAAAAAAGCAATTGTGGCCAGGCACTGGTAGTTGACACCTCTAATCCTAGATGTTCAGGAGCCTGAACATCTGAGGATTGCAGTTCGAAGCCATCTAGGGCAGGAAAGTCAATCAGACTTCTCTCCAATTAACTACCCTTTAAAGCCAGAAGTAGAGCTGTGGCTCAAGTAGTAGTATGCTGGCCTTGAGCAGAAAAGATCAGGGACAGTGCCCAGGCCTGAGTTTAAGCCCAGGATTGGCACCAAAAAAAGAAAAGCACCTACAATGGGAGAAGCTCTGAACAGATGAAATAGATTTTAAAAAGTATAGAAAAGGGTTTTTGTATCCTTATGAGAATTCAGGAGGAGGGCATAGCTGAGTATCGAGTATTTGAATATTTTGCAAAATAAGTAACATCTTTTTAATGTTTCTTTTTCAGCTTGTAGGACAAGTTAAATTTGTTTGTTTATTGCCAGTCCTGGGGCTTGAACTCAGGGACTGAGCTCTGTCCCTGAGCTTCTTTTGCTCAAGGCTAGCACTCTACCACTTAAGCAACAACGTCTCTTCTGGCTTTTTCTGTTTATGTGGTAGTGGGGAATCGAACCTGGGGTTTCATGCATGCCAAGGCAAGCACTCTACCACTGAGCCACATTCACAGCCCCCAGACTATAGTTTTTTTATCCTGTTTTTCTCCAAGTGGAATCAAAGTCTAAACGTATTTCACCATTTTCTTCTTCCTCTCCTTTTCCTTTTTCTTCTTTTTCTTTTGGTGCTGGTACTGGGGCTTGAGCTCCAGGTCTAGAGCTTTTACCTGACTTTTTCACTCAAGGCTGGCAGTTTCCTATTTGGGCCACACCTCCTCTTCCTACTTTTTGCTGGTTAATTGGAGATAAGGGTCTCGAGGCCTTTTCTGCCAAGCTAGCTTTGAACCTCGATCCCCAAACCTCAGTCTCCTGAGTGGCTAGGATTATAGATGTGAGCCAATTACTTGATTTCATTGGTTAAAAAAATTTCCTTCCCTTTTCCTTTCTCTTTCCTTCCTCTCTACCTTACCTTTTCTTTCCTGTGATGGTACTAAAGTTAAAACTCAGGCCCTCTTGTTTTCTTGGCAGAGAGCCATTCCCCCTGTTCTTTTTTGCTTTTACCTTTTCAGTTAGAGTCTAACTTTGTTGATGCTGGACTTGAAGTATAATCTTCCTACCTCTGCCTTCCAAGTAGCTGGAATCCTGAGACATACATTACTATACCTGGCCCTTCTTCAGTTACTGTTTTCTAGGGTGTCATACAGTTTTAACAATTGTTCTGTAAGATTTAGTATGGGGAACTCATTTGATGGTACTTACCATAGGTGGTAGTTTTTGCTTAGTCCACAAATCCTAGGCTTTTAAGCCTGATCAGCCTGTTCATATTAGCTTGCTAGCATGTGAGTGACCCAAATCTGACCATTGTCAGCAGGGTGGAAGTAATTGCTTTGAACTAAACTGAACTCTCTCTTGTGATTAATTCCTGTGAATCACTAGTCATTTTTCTGCTGTTAGCAATATGTCATACTTTTGAAATCACATTCAGTTAAAAAAATTTTAAACCATACTTATTTCAGAATTTGTGTTATATTTTCTTTTTTTTCTCATAGTTTTTGAAAGCTAAGGTATAAGTTGAGTGTGTGAAGTTGTTCTCTAAAAGCCCAAGAAAAGATTCTATACTATTACACTGAACTTGACAGTAGTTGGAACCATTAATTTAGAGGACTTCAGATTGTTGTGTACCTATAACTTGTGAATGTCTTCTGGTTTAATTTGAATTGTTAAGTAATGTTAATTGTGACTTTGAAATGTAGCAGCTTTCTGTTGATGTTGCCAAGTAGCTTTATTAATTTATCAAGTCAAGCTAGCTGTAGAGTCAAATTTATAGGATCTTTAATCCAGGATCTTAAGACATCATTTCATAAAATGTATATGACCCACATTTCCTTATGTTTGGCTCTGAGTGTAAAGTGAGGGTAGCTACTAGAGACACACAGCTTGTGTGGGAAGAGGCAGTTCTTTATCCTGTGATCATCTGAAAACAAACCAGGTTCCACCTGGCACTTTGCAATGGCATCAAGAGGGAGGCACTGGATTTTAAGATGATCTATTAGCGATTTGAAATTCTGTAAGATATTTTGACTTGTTTGCAAAATTTTCTCCCTGAGGGTTAAAGGTGTGACTCAGGAAAAGAACACTTGCCTACCGTATCTGAGCTCTGTTCAGTCACCAGTACCATAAGGAAAAGAAATTTCTTCTTCAACTTCCTGCTGGGTGGGTTTAGTTTGAAATGTTTTGGTGTAGTCTGCAGGAATTATTGGTAAAGCTGGGTGGCTGAGCACAAGTATGAGGCAGAAGTGAAAAAATAATCTTAATTGTACCAACTACAGTTTTTAGCTTTAATTTCAGTTTTGGCCCAATAATGAGAGTGGAAGATTTTTCAGATGAGACTCAGTCCCTCAGAGTAAGTCTTAAGGCTGGCTTAACAGCTCTGTCTGGTTTCATAGTAGGTATGGAGATGAGTTTTTGAATTTAACCTTAATGGATGATTCACAAATTACAGTGTAGTTGTGTTTTTTTTTTGTTTTTTTTTTTTGAGTGAGAATCAGGCTGAGTTTATTAAGTAGGCGATTGGTTGGGTTGGGTGGTAGCTGTGCATCCTGGAAGCAGTAGTGGCTCCCAGATCAGGTACCTAGACACTGCAGGTTGATGTTGCTTTCAGGTCAGTCATGGAGTCTGAAAGGGACAGGGAAGGGACAGGGAAGGCAGTTTGTGCAGGAACCATGGCTGAGCAGATGATGCCTCTCTGCTACTTAAGGACTATTCATTGTCTATTGGAGACATTAGGTGCCCTGTACTTCTCTGGCACTCTAGCCAGCAGGCCAGAGTCTGCCCAGCCTCTGGTATCAGATAGAGTGCCTGGTACTCTGCATTGTAGTTCAAAGTCACATACAGGTATGCAGATTACATATGAAGGGATCTATGGGTTGAACCCCATATTTGACCTTTACTAGAATAAGTGTAGAAGACAGTGCTGTAATTAAAGGCCAAGGTCTTTCTCCAGCTTCTGCATTCCAGGACTACTGAGACTAGTTCACTGAAATGACCCTTACTGATTCCAGAGAGTTAATGGCATATCTGTAAAGGCCAATGGGATATTGAAACAAGAAAGAGTGTGAGAGTCACTCGTAGGAAATGTCTCTGGAGACTAATTTCCATCACCTGAAGGACAGTTTTTTAATTTTTTTGAAGACAAAAGTTTTTCCCTGTGGTCTATGTTGACCTGGAACTTAATCTTCCTGCCTCAGTGCTGAGATCTTTGGTGTGCCTGGATCAAACTTTGGTATTTTAATAAAAGTACTTTGGTTTTTACTTGAAGAAGCTTTGACAGGAGAAATAAGCTGCAGGGACCACCTCACTAATAACGTCCATTCCTGAAACATTATTTAATACAAGAATCGAACTGCATTTACCCAGGACTTGTGAGTTATCCTCATCTAAGCTTGAGTATTTTTCACATTTCTTTCCTCTTTTGTTTCTGGGGCAGGGGCAGGGGTGGGGGAGGGGGAGAGAGAGAGGAAGGGAGAGAGAGAGAGAGTGAGAGTGAGAGTGTACGGGTGTACCAGTACTGGGCTTGAACTCAGAGCCTGAGAGCTGTCCTTTAGTTTTTTTTTGCTCAAGGCTGGTGGTGTCCCACTTGAGCCACAGCTCCACTTTCTGCTCTTGGTTGACTAATTGGAGTTAAGAATCTCACAGACTTAGTTTATCACAACTCAGGAATGGTGTCTAGGCCCTGAGTTTGAGCCCCAGGACCAACATAAATAAATGCGGAGCGCTGGTGGCTCATGCCTGTAATCCTAGCTACTCAGGAGGCTGAGATCTGAGGATTGCAGTTTAAAGCTAGTCTGGGCAGGAAGTTTATCTCCAATAAACCACCAAGAAACTGGACGTGGCACTGTGGCTCAAGTGGTAGAACACTCACCTTGAGCTGAAGAGCTGAGGGACAGCACCCAGGCCCATGACCAAAAAAAAAAAAAGGCAAATAAATAGACTTTTAATCTGGGCTTTGGAGGCTTACTTTTATAATCCTAGATACTCAGGGTCTGAGATCTCTGTAGGATCACAGGCTTGTTGTTGTTTTTGTTGGTCGTGAGGTTTGAACTCGGCCTGGATGTTGTCCCTGCACTCTTCAGCTCAAGGTAAGCACTCTACTGCTTGAGCCACAGCACTACTTCCAGTTTTCTAGTGGTTATTGGAGATAACAGTCTCATAGGCCTGGGAATGTGGCTCAGTGGTAGAGAGCTTGCCTTGCATGCATGAGACTCGGGGTTAGATTCCTCAGCACCACATAAGCAGAAAAAGCTGGAAATGGCCCTGTGGCTCAAGTGGTAGCGTGCTAACCTTGAGCTGAAGAGGGACAGCACCCAGGCCCAGAGTTCAGACCCCACAACTGACAAAAAAAAGTCTCAGGGGCTTTCTTGACTGGGCTTTGAACCACGATCCTCAGATCTCAGCCTCCTGAGTAGCTAGGCTTACAGCCGTGAGTCACCAGTGCCCGGCTAGGATCACAGTTTGAAGTCATTGTAGGCAGAGAATCCTTAGAGATTCCATCTTCAAAATAACCACTAAAAAACCTGGCTGGGGGTGTAGTAACAAATGGTATAGCACCAGCTGAGTTCAAACTACAGTACCAAAAAAAAAGACTTTACTTTGACATTTCATTCATCCACTTTACATTTAGTGTTCTTTTTGGGGGGGGGGGGGTCTGGTCGTGGGCCTGAACTCTGAGCATGGGCGCTGTCCCTCAGCTCTTCAGCTCAAGGCTAGCACTCTACCACTTGAGCCACAGCGCCACTTCTGGCTTTTTTTTTTGCTTATGGGTGCTGAGGAATTGAACCCAGGGCCTCAAGCATGCAAAACAAGCACTTTACCACTGAGCTACTTTCCCAGTCCACATTTAGTGTTCTATGACAGTCCTTTTGTCTTTATTACTGGTTGAAATGGAGGCAGGAATTTTTTGTTACATTAACGTTCTTTGTTTTGTCCCAAGGAAAATGTTTTGTTTGCCAGTTGACATTGTATAGCATAGCATCCAGTTCCTCATAGAATGTGATTTAGCTGGCTCAAAGTGTAATTTTTTATTGTTGTTGGTTGTAGGGCTTGAACTCTGGGCCTGGGTGCTCTCCCTCAGCTCTTCAGCTCAAGACTAGCGCTCTGCCACTTGAGCCCAGCGCCACTTCCAGCTTCTTCTGTTTATGTGTTGCTTAAGAATCCAAGCCAGGGCTTCATGCATGCAAAGCAAGCACTCTACCACTGAGCCACCTTCCTAGCCCTAATTTTTTATTTTTTTTATTTTTGTTTTTTTGTGCTCCTGGGGCTTGAACTCAGGGCCTGGGCACTATACATGAACTTTTTTTTTTTTTTGGGGGGTCTGGTTGTGGGGCCTGAACTCTGGGCCTGGGTGTTGTCCCTCAGCTCTTCAGCTCAAGGCAAGCGCTCTACCACTTGAGCCACTGCTCCACTTCCGGCTTTTTTCTTTTTGCTTATATGGTGCTGAGGAATCGAACCCAGGGCCTTAGGCATGCAAGGCAAGCGCTCTACCACTGAGCCACCTTCCCAGCCCCTATACATGAATTTTTTTTTTTTTGGTTGGTCGTGGGGCTTGAACTCTGGGCCTGGGCGCTGTCCCTCAGCTCTTCAGCTCAAGGTGAGCGCTCTACCACTTGAGCTACAGCGCCACTTCTGATTTTCTGTTGGTTTATTGGAGATAGGAGTCTCACGGTCTTTCCTGAGACTGCCCGGGCTGGCTTTGAACCGCGATCCTCAGATCTCAGCCTCCTGAGTAGCTAGGATTACAGGCGTGAGCCACCAGCGCCCGGCTTACATGAATTTTTTTTGCTCAAGCCTAAACACTACCATTTGAGCCACAGTTCCACATCTGGATTTTTGATGTTTAGTTGGAGATACGAGTCTCATAGACTTTTGAACTACAATTTTCAGATGTCAGCCTCTTGAGTAGCTAGGATTATAGGCCATGATCCACCAGTGCCTGGCTTGTCTTTTATTTTTAATTGGATGGTTTAGTATCACATACATTAAACTACTTTCCCTGAACCACCAGTGCCTAGCATTCAGTTTTCTATTGGTACTTTCCAGCCTATTTGTGCTGTCTTCTGTCACAGCTCTAAGTTTAACTTCATTAAAAAAGAGTGTCTCATGTTGGATGGGCTGTGTGAGTATGGCTTGGGGGGTAGATTCTAGGACTATTAGATTCTTGATGTGGAATTCTCTCTTAATCCCTAGTTCTAAGTATGACTCTGAGGCCAGTGGAATCCCTCAGAGTTCCAATATGACTTTATAGAGGTGCTTGTCTTGGACTCAGGGACAAGCTGTCAAGATGTCGCAGTTGAAATTGGACTTGAAATCTAATACTTCCCTGATAACCAGCCTGTTTAGCTGGGGAGACCAAGTTGAGTCAGTGTGAGTGACTGGGTCATAGTCCCCCTCCAAAAATTGGATACCTTGGCCTGCATATGCCCTTCAATCAACTTTGCCCTATCAATGTCTACTCATCAATTATGGAGGACTCTAGTTACTGACCTTCCATCTTCCTGTGTGGTTTTCCAAACCTTCACCTAGTTCTATATCTGTATTTATTTTAGTTTAGTTTTTGCTAGTCCTGGGGCTTTAACTCGGCCTGGTCACTGTCCCTAAGCTTTTGTGTCCAAAGCTAGCAGCACCCTACCACTTAAGACCACAGCTCCACTTCTGGCTTTTTGTGGTTAACTGGTGATAAGAGTCTCATAGGCTTTACTGCCTGTGCTGGGTTCAGACCTCTATCTTCAGATCTCAGTCTCCTGAGTAACTAGGATTACAGGCGTGAGATACCAGCCTTCAGATCTGCATCTTCTACCTACCCATTCCCTCTTCACTCTGCTGTGGACAGGATAACTCTAGGGAATAGATTAAAGACAACAGCTTTTGGTTAATTGGACATAAGTGTCTCTCAGATTTGTCTATCCAGCCTGGCTTCAAATCATGATCCTCAGATTTCAGCCTTCTAAGTAGCTAGGATTTTAGGCCATAATTCACTAGTATCTGGCTTGTATTTTATTTCTAATTGGATGGTTTAGTATCACTTGCATCAAACCACTTTCCCTCCCTGCTCCTCCTGGAAATGCTTCTGTCCTTACTCCTAGTTAGCATGTTTTTAGTTTTTAGAGCTCCTTGGCTCTCTGATCCTTGGTCCTGACATCCAAGTTGTCACCAAGACATCATTGGCGATGACACTCTTTTTTTGTTTGTTTGTTTTTTTGGGTCTGGTCATGGGGCCTGAACTCTGGGCCTGGGCGCTGTCCCTCAGCTCTTCAGCTCAAGGCTAGCGCTCTACCACTTGAGCCACAGCACCACTTCCGGCTTTTTTCTTTTTGCTTATATGGTGCTGAGGAATCGAACCCAGGGCCTCTGGCATGCAAGGCATGCGCTCTACCACTGAACCACCTTCCCAGTCCCGTGGCGATGACACTCTTGATCAGTCTTCCTCTACTTGCTCTCCATCTTGGGCCAAGAACTTCCATAACTACTCTCTGTACTGTATATTCTCCTGGGTCAGACATTAAGTTTTGTATTCTGCATCCAATTTTCCTTTCCACTCTTTTCTCCTACTGTTCCTTTCTGTTCTCTGCCTCCTACAACCCTTTTGCTCAGTCAAGTGGCTCATTTGGTGAGTCCTAGGAAGTCCTTAGGCTTTCTGGCTATTCCTGCTATCTATGCCAAGGTGGTACTTGAGTCTTGCAAGGGTGGGGGGTGGGGTGGGGGTTTGTGGGGTGGAGGGGAGGAACTTGCTAATGAAATGGACTGGGGCCCTAGTAGCCTAACACAATGCTGACCCAGCAGAAACATGCCTTTGTTCTCAGAGCAGAGTTGTGTGGAAGAGACCTCTTTCCCATGCTCTCCCAATCCTCAGGCTGCTGTAAAGGCACTAGCAGTGAGTTGGGAGTGTTTGCAGTGGGATGTCAAGTCCCACCTCTGGCACATATCTTTGATTTTTGGAAGTGTGCCTGCTCTTCATTTTCCTCAGCTATGAGTTGTTTTGGGGCCACCACATGACTCCTTAGGCCCTTGGGAATCCTGTAGAATGTGTGACACTTTTAGGAGTAAAGTAACTTGAAGAGCCCCATAACTTGAGCAGGACAACTCTAACAGGTGACGGTACTATTGTCAACTGTGGGAAAGGGTTTTTTGTTTGTTTGTTTGTTTGCTTTGTTTTTTTGCCAGTCTTGGGGCTTGAACTCAGAGCCTGGGCACTGTCCCTGAGCTTGCAGCAGTTTATCACCTAAGCCACAGCGCCAAGCCATAGCACCACTTCTGTCTTTTTCTGTGTCTGTGGTACTGAAGAATTGAACTCAGGGCTTCATGCATGCTAGGCAAGCACTAAGCTACCTTCTCAGGCTCCCGTCCCTTTTTTTTTTTTGCTTGTTGTAGGTCTTGAATTCAGGGCTTAGGTGCTGCCCCTGAGCCTCCTTGTGCTCAAGGCTAGTGCTCTATCACTTGAATCACAGAGCCACTTCTGGTTCTTAAGTGGTTAATTGGAGATAAGAGTCTCATGGGGACTTTTCTGCCCAGGCTGGCTTCAAACTGCAATCCTTAGATCTTAGCCTCCTGAGTGACTAGGTATACAGGCATAAGCCACTGGTGCCTTGTGGAAAAAGGGGTTTTTAAAAATTAAATTAAATTTATTAGTTTTGTGATGGTCCAGGGACTTGAACTCAAGGTCTAGGCACTGTCACTGAGTTTTGTTTTTGTTTTTTGTTTTTTCCCCAATATCATAAAGGTACAGAGGAGTTAAAGTTACATAAGTCAGGGAAAGAGTAAATATCTTTTTGGACATTGTCACCTTTCCTTCACATTCTTCAAGCTTTTCTCTCCCATCCCACCCACAAATTGTTTAGTTCATTTGACAACATAGTGTCTAATGAGTACCACTGCTGCATTTGTTTACATTTTGTCCTGTCTCTAAGCTTTTGTGCTCAAGGCTATGAGCCGTAGCTCCACTTCTGAAATTTTTTTTGATGATTAATTGGAGAGAAGACACACACTTTTTTTTGCCCAGGCTGGCTTTGCACTGTGATTCTCAGATCTCAACCTTTTGAGCAGCTAGGACTATAGGCATGAGCCATTGTTGCCCAGCGTGGGAGAAAGGATGTTTATGAAATGCTGGCTGACAATCTATAGGCAAAGAGCAACCACTTTCTCCTTTGACGATCTTCCCTGCCAGACTTTGCTAGGTCTGCCTTGCACATGGTCCTTTCAAAGACTGGAGTTAAAGTGATGATGATTCCCTATTTTAGGTCAAGGCAGGTGTCTTCTGGGGATGTAGAAGAGAGCTCCCAAGTGCCCAAGGTAAGCACAGCATCAGCAGAGAATAAAGAGAGAGGCTTTCTAGAGCCACTCAGAACATCACTTATAGCAAAAGTCCACTGGCCTCTGTACCTGGGTAGTTTACTTAAAAGGGCAAGGCAGGTAACTTAAGTGTACCTGCAGCAGCCTGGTTTCGCTCTCTCTTTTTTTTGTCGGTCATGGGGCTTGAACTCTGGGCTGGGCGCTGTCCTTCAGCTCTTCAGCTCAAGGCTAGCGCTCTACTACTACAACCACAGTGCCACTTCTGGTGGTTAATTGGAGATAAGAGTCTCATGGACTTTCCAGGCTGGCTTTGAACTGTGATCCTCAGATCTGAGCCTCCTGAGTAGTGAGGATTACAGGTATGAGCCACCAGTGCCTGGCTTTGTTTTTGTTTTTCTGTTTTTTTTTTTTTCTTTCTTACCAATCCTTGGGCTTGAACTCAGGGCCTGGGTGTTGTCCCTCAAGGTTTGCACTCTACCACTTGAGTTACAGCGCCATTTCTGGCTTTTTTTTTTTTTTTTTTTTTGAGTAGTTTATTGGAGGTGAGTCTCACGGGGACTTTTCTGCTCAGGTTGGCTTCAAACCATGATCCTCAGACCTCAACCTTCTGAGTAGCTAGGATTACAGATTTGAGCCACCAATACATGGCTCTTTTACTTTCTTTTTTATTTGAGACCAGACTCAAACTTTGTATCTGATGCTTATTGCTCATTGGCAGGTGCCCTGCCACCTTAGCCATATCTCCAACCCTGATTTCTTTTGTGTATGTGTTGGTCATAGGGCTTGAACTCAGGGCTTGAAAGACTCAGCTTTTGGGTGGTTAATTGGAGATAAGAGTCTCACAGACTTTTCTGCTGGAGCTGGCCATGATCCTCAGATCTCAGCCTCCTGAGTAGCTCAGATTATAGATGTGAACCACCAGAATCTGGCTAAGGTTGGTTTCTTTTAAAGTACCACATGGGCCAAATGCCACACATTTGAGGCTATAAATTTAATTGTTTTTGTTTTGTCGGTCATGGGGCTTGAACTCTGTTCCTGGGCACTGTCCCTGAGCTCTTCACCTCAAGGCAAGTGCTCTACCACTTGAGCCACAGAGCCACTTCCAGTTTTCTGGTGGTTAATTGGAGATAAGAGTTTCACGGGGAATTTCGTGCCCAGGCTGGCTTTGAACTGAGTCACTCAGATCTCAGTCTCCTGAGGCATGAGCCACCAGCACCTGGCAGGAGACTCATCGGTTTAATCTATACATGCCTTAATATTTTTGTCCAGCAAAGTTATAATAATGATAAACTGGGCTATAAAAATTACTACTAAGCCTAATCTATATGATCTTTTAATTAAGTGTATGGGGCTGGATAATAACAGATAATACAAATTAAGATTAAGATAAATGAGCATACTCTTAGCTCAATGAAATGAGTGACAAGAACTGTCATTTATTGTGAAGTCAACTTTGCTGGGCTTCCCGAGTACTCAGGAGCTACTTAGTTCTCCACAACCCTACACTGTGGGGTTGGATGGCAAGCTCTGTGCCTCAGACAAGTGAATCCAAGATAACACAGCTTGAATTGGGAGAGCCAGGCAGAATCCTAGCCCAGAGCTCTGGAGCCTTCTGCATCCTTGTGCTTCCCCTCCTACTTGCAGTGTCCATGTGTGGGTAGAGACCTGCCATAATGTCTGCCTGCTGCTGCACAGAACTCCATTTCCAAGGGGCACCAGATGATGTCTGAACAAAAAGCCTGAGAAAATTGAGGTGACAGTGGTGGCTCTCAGTTAGAAATTAAGGAAAAACTTTGAAGAAGTACTATCTGAGCCAAATTAGAGAATGGGTGGGGAGTTTACTTCTGGGTCAGGTGGGCTGGATTGTGCATAGAGAAAGTGTGAGTAGAAATGGAAATGTCTTGAGGCTGCCTGGAACCTGATACCTGCATTGACACTAGGTCAGAGCTGGGTTGTACAGAGCTTTGAATGCCATGCTTAGGAGGTAGAGGGAGCAGTTAGGGGGCGGGTCAGGAAAAGTTGCCTTCTAGGAAGATGATGGGTGCCAGTGTTGGCTGGTGGATCAGAAGGAAAGACCAGACTCTGATCTTTTGTGAAGTCATTGTACTTGACCCCACAAAAAGTTAGACTTTGAGCCAGGCACCTGTGGCTCATGCCTATAATCTTAGCTTCTCAGGAGGCTGAGATCTGAGGATTGCAATATAAAGTCAGCCTGAACAGGAAAGTCTGTGAGATTTTTTTTTTTTATCTACAATTAAACAGAAAAATTGGAAAGTAGAGCTGTGATAGAGAGCTAAACAAAAACCTTAGGGACAGTACTGAGTTCAAGCTCCAGGATGGCACAAAAAAAGGGTCAGACTTTGGGGTGTGACATGAATTTGGGGAAGTATTATATGTGGGAGAAGGAACCTGTGAGAATCAACAGGTGAGGTGGGTGATGGTGGCTCACATCTATAATCCTAGCTACTCAGGAGGCTGAGATCTAAGGATCACAGTTCAAATCCAGCCCAGGCAGGAAGGTCTGAAAGACTTATCTCCAATAAACTACCCAGAAAAAGCTGGGGGGTAGGGAAGAGAGGAGGGAAACTGGGAGAAGAATGAGGGAGAGATCACAATGTTTGATAAGAAATGTGCTCACTCTTTTACGCATGTAACTGGAACCCCTCTGTATGTCACCTTGACGATAAAATGTTTTTAAAAAGCTGGAAGTGGTGCTGTGGCTCAAGTGGTAGTGTGCTACCCTTGAGCAAAAGAGAAGCTCAGGGTCAGTATCCAGGCCCTGAGTTCAAGCCCCAAGACTGGTTAAAATAAAACCAGAAGAGTCTACAGTAAGTTGAAGGTAAGAAGAGTGCATGGAGAGAAGAGCTGAAAATGTTGCTGAGATCCCTAATTTGGTGGATGGTGAGAGCAGGGTTAACGTATCTATTGGGCGCCATGAAGGCTGGGACGCCGCTGTTTGTTGTTGCACGCACAGTGCATGGTCCACACTCATGTGGACCATGAGTAAGTGAGCTTTCATAGCAACATGAAGAGATGTGCCTTTATTGGGGCTCAGGCCCTGAATAAATGAGTCCTCTAACATTGCTGAGCCTCTGTATAAGAGGTATGGTAGTTAACTCTTCAGGGTCAGTAGAACTGATCTAGATTTTTAATGATGTTGATTACCAGTAAGTAACTAAAAGTAGCACAACTTAGCATATTCTTCCCAAGGAGTCTCTTTTTTTGGGGGGGGGGGTGGATCTGGTCATGGGGCCTGAACTCTGGACCTGGGCGCTGTCCCTCAGCTCTTCAGCTCAAGGCTAGTGCTCTACCACTTGAGCCACAGCGCCACTTCCGGCTTTTTTCCTTTTGCTTATGTGGTGCTAAGGAATCGAACCCAGGACTTCATGCATGCAAGGCAAGCGCTCTACCACTGAGCCCCCTTCCCAGCCCACAAGGGGTCTCTTTTTTTACCTAAGACATGGTGAAAAATTGTTGGCTCAGGGAATGAACCCTGTCCGTTTCTGGTTCCTATAACCATCCAGGTCAAAGAAGCATCCAGTTCCCGGCTAGCATCCGCCACTGTTAGCCAGACTTCTTTCATCTACCACAAGATTCAGCACTTCACTGAGCTCCACTTAGCCAAAGTGGAGAAGGTGTTTGAGGAGGATGTCGGCTTAAATGGAGGTAAGGCTGCACTGCAGGCCTGGCCTCTGAACTCTGCTCATGACCAGTATCTGGGTGTATGGAGAGTTCACACCATACCAGTGTTTTGGCTCATTTAAAACTTACAATCTCCAGGTGCTGGTGGCTCACAACTGTCAACATTGCATTTCAGAAGGTTGAGATCTAAGGATTGTAGTTAGAAGTCAGCTGGGAGGCTGGGAAGGTGGCTCAGTGGTAGAGCGCTTGCCTTGCATGCCTGAGGCCCTGGGTTTGATTCCTCAGCACCACATATGCAGAAAAGCCAGAAGTGGCGCTGTGGCTCAAATGGTAGAGCGCTAGCCTTGAGCTGAAGAGCTCGAGGGACAGTGCCCAGGCCCAGAGTTTAGGCCCCACGACTGGACCCCCCCCCCCCCCCCAAAAAAAAAAAGAAGCCAGCTGGGTCAAGAAAGTCTGTGAGACTCTTAATCTCCAATTAACTACCAAAAAGCTGGAAATAGAGCTGTGGCTCAAGTGGTAGAGAGTTAGGCCTTGAGCAAAAAAAGCTCAGCAACAGTGTCCAGCCCTGTGTTCAAGCCCCAGGACCAGCCTCCAAACCTTAAAAACTCCAAACAGGAACAAAAAGAAACATAGAAAGCGTAAGGCTCTTGAGTTTAACCTAGTACTTTCCCTTTCTCAAAAAAAAAAAAAAAAAAAAAAAGGAGCCTTTAATTCTTTTAAAAACGTTGTAGGCAGTTACCATCATACCCCCATGTCAGAGGTATTAGTTACAGCAAAGGTAATAAGAGATTAATAATACAGGGCTGTTTGCCCCCCAGAATTACTTATTTTAAAGTGAGTTAGTGATTTTTTTGGGGGCGGGGGGTCAGGCCTGAATTCTGGGCCTGGGCGCTGTTTCCTCAGCTCTTTAGCTCAAGCCTAGCGCTCTACCACTTGGGCCATAGCTCCACCTCGGCTTTTTCTATTTGTGTGGTGCTGAGGAATCGAACCCAGGGCCTCATGCATGCAAGACAAGGACTCATTCACTGAGTCACCTTCCCAGCCCTGTGAGTAGTGATTTTAAAAGCAAACAACTAAGAGAAAGTGATGTTGGAGGTTTTGTTCAGTCCACTCTGCAATTCAACCACTGTTAGGTCTTAGAGGACCCCAATAGTATAAACTTTGGCTGTGGTTGGTGTTTACATTAGTTTTGAACATGCAATATATTCATACAGTTCAAATCCCAAAGGTACACATCCCAGGATACCTTTCAGTATGCAGAGAAACCAGCTCTCCCTCCAACCTCCATGATTGTTGGGTTTTTCCCTTTATGCAGTTACTCTTTTCTTCCTGTGACCTTCAGGAACAAGAATTACAACTACATACATGTGGCTTAATGGTAGAGTGATTGCCCAGCATTTAAAGCCCTGGGTTTGATTCCTTAGTACCACATAAACAGAAAAAGCCGGAAGTGGTGCCATAGCTCAGGTAGTAGAGTGCTAGCCTTGAGCAAAGAAGCTCAGGGATAGTGCCCAAGGCCCTGAGTTCAAGCCCCAGGACTGACCAAACCAAACCAACAAAAAAACCAAGCTGGGCACTGGTAGCTTATGCCTGTAATCCTAACTACTCAGGAGGCTGAGATCTGAGGATCAGGGTGCAAAGCCAGCCCAGGCAGAAATGCCTTTGAGTCTCTTATCTCCAGTTAACCACCAGAAAACTGTAAGTGGTACTGTGGCTCAAGTGATAGAGCGTTCACCTTGAGCTGAAGAGCTCAGGGACAGTTCAAGCCCCACAACCAAAAAAACCAAGTTAGAGTGGAAGCGTCAGGAAGCAGTTCTCTGCTAGGATAGATGGGACCAAGCAAATGTCTCTATGTGAGGGGCTTGGAAAGAAGCTGCTTCCCAAGCCTCCACACCACTGGCAGGAGCCATAGTCCTCTCCCCAGCAACAGTTCATTGGGCATTGCAGGCAAGGCAGGAAAGAGTGTGCCTTAAGCAGAAGGCATCCAGTAGATGTAGCCCTCTGCCTGTGCCCTCCTAGCACCTAGGCACCTGTGGACACCACAGGCCCTGGGTAGCTGAGTGATTTGTGGCTAAATGTGTGATATTTTTTCTTTTCTTTCTGAAGCCCTGGACTTGAAAACTTTCATTAAGTCCATGAAGAAGGTGCTAAGCAATGTTACAGATGAGATGCTGGAGGCGCTGTTCTTGAAAGTGGACTCAGACTGTGATGGCAGTGTCTCCTGGGTGAGAAGAGAGTGAAAATGGTGTGAGTGCAAGTGCGGGTGTGACCGGCTGCACACTAGAGTGTGAGTGCGTGTATACTCTTGGCCTGTTGGCAGAACCACATGAAGGTGGAGAGACAACCTCTTTGGATTCCCATATCAGCTGGATGCTGGCTAGGTAGAAAGAGCCTCGTGTGATAGAGGGGACCCTTGAAACTTCTATGAGCTGAGCTCACATGTCATGTCTGTCCTGGGGCACAGGAAAGGTGTGGTGAGTGTCAGTGATCCTTGCTTCAGACTATCTTATGGTTGTTCTGCCCACTAACCTCTTGTCCAACTAAAGGATACAAGCTCCTGTATTTATTATAAATCACTCAGGCAGAAGCCAACTAAAGGTTATGAGATCCAGAGTTTCTAGGGCTTTCTTTTTTTGGGGGGGATGTGAGGGGAGTCTGGTCGTGGGGCCTGAACTCTAGGCCTGGGCGCTGTCCCTTAGCTCTTTAGCTCAAGGCTAGCGCTCTACCACTTGAGCCACAGCGCCACTTCCGGCTTTTTTCTTTTTTTGCTTATGTGGTGCTGAGGAATCGAACCCAGGGCCTCAAGCATGCAAGGCAGCACTCTACCACTGAGCCACCTTCCCAGCACCAACTAGAGCTTTCTTTATAGCATAACTTTAAGGCTGATTTTATTCTAATTCTAAATGTTCTCCATTAAGTGCACATAGTATTTAAGCATACAAAATAGGACCAAGCTGAGTCTGACCTACTCGTGTTGTAAATCATTATAATTATGTGAGACTCCGTGCTAAACAGTTCTTGTGCTATTCTGCTCAAAGCTCAAAGGAATCCCATGAGTTAGGTGCCACTATTTGTCACTAGCAAGTTGGGCAACTGAAACATGGAGAAGTTTGGAAACTTTTCCAGGGTTGCAGGGCTAGTTAGCAGTTGAACTGGTGTTCAAACTCAGAGAGTGCTTCAGAGGCCCATGTGATCTTCTATAGGATATAGACCCCCTCACACTGGAATATCATTCCAGGCTTGCTTATTTAATTAATTTCTCATAACATTCTATAATAACCATGTTGCCAGTATTTTCTACCATTTATACAATGATTCTTAATCACTCCTATTTATTTATAAATGGTTTTTGTCACGGGCTCAACTTCAAACTTCTCTGCTCCTGTAATTGTCTCTCCCCACCCCCTAGTAGCTGTATACAGATGGGCACCAGTATGCCCAGATCTGGTTTATTTTTTGTGGTAACTTCATATGATGGCTTGTTTGGGCCCTGTTGAGACTAGAGGCTGAGACTAGAGTTGTAAATATTTGCAATACAAGTGCATCAATCTAGTTATGGGTCTTCCCTGATGTAAACTTGATCATGGAATTGGCCATGATCATACATAAGCCTCAGTATTATTATGATTTATGTAAGGTGGAGGGAAATAAGAAGCTTTAAGTGAAATGCCAGCTATGACCCAGGTGTGCTTGGCATTACATAGAGAGTTCAGGAAGAAGGTAGTGGTTTGCTATTGTGAATAGGCCCTTCCCATATTTGGGATTCAAGCATCAAGCATCAATGCTTGGCTACTTCCGTGGCCCCAAAAGCAGTCCTAAGAGTCCCTTGTACCATGCTGGGGTGAGAAAGGGAAAGACTGGAAACCAGGCTTGGTTCCTGAACACAAATATCTAGCCTGCCACCAACACTTTCTTTCTGTCTTCCAGCAAAAGTATGTAGATTTCATGATGCGGGAGTTAAGGGTAAAGGAAGAGACCAGGAAGAACCAGTACCGCCTGCACTTCTACTTTCCCATGAGGATCATCCACCTGTGAGAGCCTCTCCCAGCACCTTGGGTGGTGGGGAGGGAGAGGTGTGGAACCAGCCCTGCAGGGAGCAACTTCCTGAGTTGATACACCCTCTGCTGGTCTACTTAAGTGCCTGACACCAGGCTCTGTGCTGCACATCCTCTAGTCTTGTCAGCTTCACAGCTCTATAAGAGCTAATGACAATGAAGGTGGGTGATTTGTTCTCACAGTTTATAGATAAAGAAACTGAGGTGCTGGGTTGTCGTGGCTTGTACCTGAAATCCTAGATACTCAGAAGACTGAAATCTGAGGATCCAAGTTGAAAGCCAGCCTGAGTAGAAAAGTCTGTAAGAGGGGCTGGGAAGGTGGCTCAGTGGTAGAGTGCTTGCCTTGCATGCCTGAGGCCCTGGGTTCGATTCCTCAGCACCACATAAGCAAAAAGAAAAAAGCCGGAAGTGGCACTGTGGCTCAAGTGGTAGAGCGCTAGCCTTGAGCTGAAGAGCTGAGGGACAGCGCCCAGACCCAGAGTTTAGGCCCCACGACCAGACCCCCCCCCCCCCCAAAAAAAAAGAAAATTCTGTAAGAATCTTATCTCCAATAAACTACCCAGAAAAAAACCAGAAATGGCCGGGCTCTGGTGGCTTATGCCCATATCCTAGCTACTCAGGAAGCTGTGATCTGAGGATAGCAGTTCAAAGCCATTCCAAGCAGGAATGTCCCTGATACTCTTATCTCCAATTAACCACCAGAAAACCGGAAGTAGTGCTGTGGCTCCAGTGGTAGAGCACTCACCTTGAACTGAAGAGCTGAGGGACAGCGCCCAGGCCCAGAGTTCAAACCCCATGACCGACAAAAAGCCAGAAATGGTGTTATGGTTCAAATAGTAGAGCACTAGCCTTGAGCAGAAAAGAAGCTCAGGTCTAGGCCTTGAGTTCAAGCCCCAGGATAGGCACAAAACAAAACCCTTGAGACTTAGAGAGGTCCAATGTCTTGCTCTCTAGGCTGTTAGTCAGAAAGTTAAGGATTGTCTTGTTTGGCCCTCAGTCTCTCCCCTGTACCCTAAAATGGTGTTAATCCTGCTTTTCCTCATGTTAAGGGATCTGATAGTTTCATCCTCTGGGGCTTGGGTGGGGTTTTGTTCCTCAGTCTCCTGGCAGGCTACAGAGGCTTCAGCTTTGCTAGCTCTTTGGGAGCTTGGGGGGGATCTTTTATTTTTGTGCTTTTTCTTTTATTTTTGGCTTAGGTGCTCTCCTGAGCTATATTTTACTTAAGGCTAGTAGTGTTCTACCATTTGAACCACAACTCTACTTCTGGCTTTTTGGTGGTTAATTGGAGATAAGTTTCAAACTTTCCTTCCCAGTGATCCTCAAATTTTAGCCTCCTGAGTAGCTAGGATTACAGGTGGGAGCAATGTGTACCTGTCTGCCCGTCCCCCTTTCTGGCTCTTTTTTCCTGTATTTTTTATTGTCATTATAAACATGATGTACCGAGGGGTTACAGTTACATAAATCAGGTAATAAGTACATTTCTTTTTGGATAATGTCATTCCTTCCCTCACTTTCTCTTTTTTGTGTGTGCCCATCCTGGGGCTTGAACTCAAGGTTTGGGAGGCTGTTCCTGAGCTTTTGTGCTCAAGGCTAGTGCTCTACTACTTTGAGCAACAGCATCATTTTTGGCTTTTGGTAGTTAATTAGAGGTAAGAGTCTCACAGGTTTTCCTGCCTGGACTGGCTTTGAACTGTTATTCACAGATCTCAGGTTCCTGAGTAGCTAGGACTACAGGTGTGAGCCATAGGCACCTGTCCGGAGACTCTCGACTCTGCCTGACTGCTTCAATACCCATTGTGCCCACTGGACTTTGGAGAGGGGAAGACAACCTTTTCTTCTATCCATCTTAGATTTCTTGGCTGGACTTTTTTTTTTTTTTTTTTTTTTTTGGTCATGGGGCTTGAACTCTGGGCCTGGGCGCTGTCTCTCAGCTCTTCAGCTCAACGCTAGCGCTCTACCACTTGAGCCACAGTGCCACTTCCGGTTTTCTGGTGGTTAATTGGAGATGAGTCTCATGGACTTTCTTTCCCGGGCTGGCTTTGAACCACGATCCTCAGATCACAGCCTCCTGAATAGCTACGGTTACAGGCATGAGCCACTGGTGCCAGGCTTTTGGCTGGACTTCTAATAGAAGACAGATCTACAGAGACAAGCATACAGATTTATTGTTTCACATTACAGCAGGGACCTTCATAAGGAAATGAAGCCCCTAAGACATGGTTAAACCCGAATGTTTTGTGCTAGGTTTGGTGAAGTAAGACAGGATGAAGGGGTGAGAAGATAGGACAAGGGGGTGAGAAATGAATGTAGTGCTTGGGGACACTTAGCAAGCCTGTCTCTTCAGATTCCTCTGTGTCTTGGGGTCATCAGAGACACAGAGACTAATTCTCTCCTGCTATGCAGAAGATAGATTCCAGTAGATCTGACCTTCAGGAGAAGGTCAAGAAGTCACCCCTCCTCCCCCCTCCCTCCCTACCCCAATCAACAGACATCAACTTCACATTCCTTCAGCTTAACATGTTTTGGGGTTATAGGGGTCAAGCTTCAATGACCTCCTCCTTTCTGTGTTATGGTACTATCTGTTCCCCCTTTGTGTTTTTCCCTCAAAACTCTTGGAACAAAGAAATGCTCTTGGTGGCTCTGGCCTGCTAACCAGAGCAGTCCTTGGCAGCTAAGGCTCTTGAGGAAGGCTGCCTATTGGTCATTGACTCCTTTCCTTGAACCCACCTTGTGTTGGGGAGCACCAAAGGTCTTGGACAGATGGCAAAGGCCAGAGATTCTGCCTGCTCCTGTGGTATGGTGACCTATATTTGTGGCCCAGTCAGGAGAAGGTGTGGGTGGACATGTCCTCAGGTACTCCCTGCCTGCAGGTAGCACAGGACTTAATAGAGAAGAGAATTTAAATGAACATCATAAAAGGGTAACTTATAAAAAAAAAAAGCTTAGTTGGGATTTTATTGAGAAGTCAATAGTATAAATAATAAAAGATTTTATGACTCTACTTTGGCATGAACACTTTTCTTGATGCAGCTACACCTTTACTGGTCTTTCTGTTTCCTTGGAACATTTAGATCCCAACAGTGTTTAAAGGTTCTCAGAAAAAAAAGTCATCAGCAAGTTGGTTGGGAATGTGGCTCAGTGGTAGAGTGTTTGACTAGCATGCATGAAGCCCTGGGTTCGATTCCTCAGGACCGCATAAACAGAAAAAGCCGGAAATGGCACTGTGGCTCAAGTGGTAGAACATTAGCCTTGAACAAAAGAAGCTCAGGAACATTGCCCAGGCTCTTGAGTTCAAACCCCCATGACCAACAAAGGAAAAAAAAGGTTTTCAGACAAAAATGTCAAGAAGCTTGTTCCTTGTTTGTATTTTTTATATTTGTACAATCTTTAAGCCCAGAAAGAATTTCAAATTTGATGGTGAAAAATAACCAAACAGCATTTAGTTACTTTCATGAAAGGGTGTGTGTGTGTGTGTGTGTGTGTGTGTGTGCGTGTGTGTGTGTGTGTGTGCGTGCGTGCGCGCGTGTGCGCGCGCCAAGAACTCAGGGTCTGGATTCTACTTTTTGCTAGTTAATTGGAGATAAGTCTCACAGACTTTCCTGCCTGGGCTGGCTTTGAACTGTGATCCTCAGGTCTCAATCTCCTGAGTAGCTGGGATTATAAGGCATGAGTCATTGGTACCCAGTTTATGCCAACCTTGTTTTTAAAAAACCAAATTCACTACCCACTTTAATCCCCTCACCATCCTGGGAGGTGGTGTTACCCAGAGGAGTGGACAAGACCTCAGGGAGATGACACTTCTTGGGCTGTCTTCATTTATGCCCTTTATGTTGTACCAGCTCCTCATGGTCTGATTGGCAGTGATGACTAGAGAATGGATCTTCATGGAGCCATGGAATGAGGCAGGACAGAAGGGACCATATATACATTTTCCCTTCTCTTTTATGGAGATTGAACTGCAGTTGGATTTCACAGTAGCATGGGTTACAGTCAGAACATGCCCACAGCACAGTTTAGAACGGGCCCTGCAGTTAGGATGAAGGCACCTGCATTTAGTTGGCTTTGCTCCCAACCAGGCTGTAGCTTCACAGCGAAAGTGTCTTTGGATCCTTGTAAGGTGGCATAAGATGATCCAGCCTGCCAGATGTCAAAAGACTGAGCATATGAAGTGGGAAAGTGTCTGGAATGCCATGTCAGGAAGCCAAATTGATGGTGGCCCCCAATGGTCAGATAGTTTGCTTAAGACAACTTTGGGGCCATTGGAAGGTAGCACTGAAGCTTGTGAAATGTAGCATCCTGCGAGGCCAGGTCTGCTCTAGGAAACTGTGTTCAGTCCCTATCCTGAGATGAAGAATTGGGTACGCAGACCCTAATTCCTCATTGTCTCTTGCGCCACTCTTGCCTCATTCTTGGGTTTGATCTCCCATTCCACATCAGAGTGCTAGAACAATGGCCAGAAGGTGTTATTTCTTATCTCAATCCTGGCCTCACTCCACTGCTGTCTTGTACGAGACCCATTGTCTCTGTCCCCTCTGTTCTACCCCCCATTAGGGACTTAGCTTATTTCTCTGGGTGTGTTTTTGGAGCCCCATCTCCCACTTGCGTCATACTTGGCTCTTTTTCCTTTACCCCTTTTTTTGTGGCACTGGGGATCAAACCCAGTACTTCAGACATAATCAGAAAAAGAATCTTTTTCTTATGGCCCAGTAGATGGTTGATCTAGTCCATCTCTGGAGGCAGCTACAGTTTCTTGGTGTGCTGTGCATGTATGCATGGGTGAGTGACACTGCTCTGCTTACTTTACCTCCCTCCTCTCTGGCTTTTTGTTCCATTGTAGTTGCCAGTTCTGAGGTCATTCTGCATGCTTCTTGCTGTTCACAGGAATCACGGATGTGAGATCGTGAAAGTGGAATATTTAATCCAGCGCTTCAAGAAAAGTGGGGTTTTTCTGACTATCACCAAAGATGGAGTCTTGCAGTTCTGGACTGAGGCTTTCTCTATCATTAGCTCCTTTAGGGTGAGTGGGGCTGGTACATTTGGAGCAAACAGTCATTGAAGAGCATTTGCTATAGCACTCTGGAAGTGTTACGTGTCTATCCTGGCACTGGAGTGGGCTTTTCTCTGGGATTTGGGACTTAAACAGCCTGACTTATAGGTCTTGAGTCCAGATCCTGTCCTCTCCTCAGAAACCTCACCCTCTCTTCTCCTAAGTGGAATTACACCCAGATGCCAGCTCCTCCACTTGGATAGCTGTCAGATACCTGCAGCCTAGCTTGTCCAAACAGCATATTACTGGAGTCCCCTGCCCACGAGGCTTATCGTGCTTGAGTCCCTGCTTCAGAGAATGGTGTCACCCAGCAAGGCTCTTATGCTAGAAGTGTGCCTCCTTTTCCTTTTCCTGTCACACCCACCTTGTCCCCAATACCTGCTGATTCACATGTTTGCCAGGCGAGGCAGGGCATCATGTGGCTGTGAGCACATGATGTCAGACTCTGGAGTCCCAACTGTCAGAATCCCACCTGCACCACCTACTTGCCTGTGACTTAGGCAAGGTACTATGTTGCTCTCTCCACCTTATTCCTCATTGGTCAAGAGGGGCTTGCTTGTATATCACTAGTGTCCCTCCCAGGGCTGTGGGAGTTCATGCGAAGACAGGAGCAGAGCTTGAGCAAGGGCAAGGCACACAAGTGCCCAATAAAGGGAAGCCACCATCATGATCTTTCTATTGAGTAAGTGAGAGGATACTCATGAAAACCCACTGTGTATTTGGCACAGCCAGGCAAGCCTAATACCCTGCAGCAAATGAAGAAAAGTACAGTTTCACAGAAAGACCTCATGGAGAATGCTGCTGGCAGCACAAAAGGGTTTTGTACCCATATTCCTCTGCAGCCCCCACCCTGCACAGTGCTTTGCACCTGCTGCAGGGCTCATCCCTTGGGAAAGAGAGGCTAAGGTCTACGGTGGTCCTGGGACTCCTAGATGAGCACAAAAGACATTCACATCCTGGTTACACCAGTTAGCTTCATGTTCTTCACTCTGTGCCTGATGCTGGCCTGTGAGGCAAGACAGGGTTTGCAAGGCCCTCTGTGTCTGCCGTCCTCCACGATCAGCCTTCTCGACCCAAGCCTCTGCCATCCTTTCTCCCTCAGCTTAAGGATCTCCAGAAGCTCCACAAACAGCAGATATGGGTCATCGATATGGTGTGCCTGCACAACATGAACCTCATCGCAGTTGCATCCACTGATCTGAAAATTGGTGAGTCCCTGGGGCTCTCCAGTGGTAGTTGGGAGCCCCACATGTGTACCTGGGAGCGTGGATGGAGGGGAGCCCTCTGGCAGTACGGTCAGGTAGAGAGACAAGGCTGTTCACCATTGTCAAGTTCTCTTCTGTCTTTTCCTCAGAGTTCTTTGATATCAGTAACCATAACTGTGTCCGGGCCTTCACCTTCTTTGACCTGGATAGCTGTGTTCTGGTTATGGATTACTGGTGAGTCTCAGGCATGCAGGATCATGGCAGCTGCTACAACATATAGTTAGGGGAATGGGTTTGGACTCCAGAAAATCTCCATGGGGACAGGCCTGGAATGATCTCCACTCCTTTGCTTCTGAGGGTCCTGTGTCCTTCTTAAGCCTCCTTTTACCTCGGGCCACCATTACTGTCACTCTGACCTTGGAGCCTGAGTGCTCCTCTCCCTCCATCTCCCCTTCCACATAGCCAATTCTGGCAGATGCTGGTTTGGTGTGGCTGAGGATTCTGAGAAACAAAACTGTTTGAAACATTGTGAAATTCTGGTTCAATGATGATCTGAATCTGGGTCTTTTAGGCGTGAGTTGGTAAGCTAGGAAGAGGTTTAGGGCAAGGCTGTAAAGCCCATTGGCACTGTCCTCACTCCCAAGATGGAGGGCATGGCACACTTCTGTCTCCATCTTTCTCCAGGTCTGACTATCAAAGAGGTGTGTTCTGCTACGGGGACACCAAGGGCAACGTCATCATCTTCACCTCTGATGATGTGACCAGTGGGTTGTTCAACCCCAGCTTCTTCCCCAAGACCACCAGATTTGGTAGCTACAATGCACGGGCATGAGCAGTGGCCTGGGGGAGTGTGTGTAGAAGTGGGTCCCTCTCTCCCTTCTCCCCAGGCAGGACCTCTGGGAAGGCTGCTCCTTGGAGCTCACAGGGGGCTGCCTGCTGTGCCCAGTGGCCTGGGTGTGCAGGTGAGAGAAAACAAGAGGGACTGAGATGAGGGGCAGTCTCCTGCAGGTGGGAGCTTATAGAGGTGAGGGCTGGTGGGGGGGGTGGGGAGGAGGGGCTGCAGATCTAGGAAGAATGGAACCTGCCAGCTGTGACCTGGAAGAAACCCCTCTTGCTTGTTCTCAGAGGCCTGGGGTAGTGGACCTTCATCCATGGTGGTATGGCAGCTTCTGCCCTTCTAGGTCTTGAGCTGCCTGAGGGTGAGTGGAATGGAGCCTTAGAGTGGGTCTGAGGGGGCCTGGAGGACCACCTAGCTTAGAGGGAGCATGGCTAACACAGGGAGCACTTGTGAGCCATTCTTTGGGGAGCCACCTCCCCTGAGCTCCACCTAGTGCCTGGAAGGAACGACATACTAAAGCCCCCTTAACCAGAGAAGTTTAGCAGGTTATAACTATACACACCTGCAGCTAGTGAGTGGCGGTTGAGGCCTGAAGTCAGATGTCGATCCAGAGACCACACTGTTAACCGATGTCAGGCCAAACTGACAATGAAAGCTATCTGGAGCTGTTTTGCCAAGGGGCCCTAGACACCCAGTGGCAAGATAGCCAGCCTCAGGCCTCTTAGGCCTGATGACCTCAGGGCCTGAGGCTGTCTTGGGACCCATCTGAGCTGTACCCTGTCTAGTATCACACTTTGGATGCACACTGTTGGGCCTCTAGGCCATTCTGTGTCCATCTCGAGGCACCTTGGTGCCAGCCTTGTCCCAGTTATTGTGCCATCCTTGCAATTAGATTGGAGGCTGTGTTGATTTCTGAGTGGGTGGGACAGCATGGGAGCCAAATGGAACTTGAGCATGGGGAAGGACTCCTTCTAGGCCATTGGCTAACTGCAGGCTGGGGACCAACATGTAGATGGTAGGCTAGCCTGTGGGTGTGGGAGTGGAAGGGCAGACTTAGGTATGCATCCAGCTCTGGGTGCCCTCCTTATGCAAATATGGCAGCCATGCTTAATTGATGGCTTTGCTATAGGATGTGTGGAATGAAAGCATAGTGTTAGTGAATAAAATGAATAAGAACCTGATTGTGCTGCATTTCCCTTGTCCCAGCCTTGAGTAACATCCTACCTGGTGTGAGGCTTATAAACTTCCTCCCTTCCTTTCAAGTGGGGTTGGTGACTTTATAGCAGTTAAGAAGCTTGACATAGCTGGGTGCTTGTAGCTAATGCCTGTAAGCCTAGCTACTCAGGAGGCCGACATCTGAGGCTCACAGTGCAAAGCCAGCCTGGGCAGGAAGTCTCTGAGACTCCAATAAACTACTAGAAAATTGGAAGTGGCTCTGTGGCTCAAGTGGTAGATTGCTCACCTTGAGCTGAAGAGCTCAGCGACAGTGCCCAGGCCCAGAGTTCAAGCCCCATGACTGATAGAAAAAAAAAAAAAGATGTTGACATAAATCCTCAGAATCCCTCCTTCCACCACTCACCGCTGCATCCCCTGGGAGTTGCTGTAAGCCCAAAGGCCAGGCTGCCTTGCCTGCCTACCTCTGAATTGCTCCAGAGAACAGGTCTGTATTTTTGTCCCCAAGCATCTCTGGTTTTACCCATCTAGATCAGCTACTATTCTATCTAGGAAGTTCTTCAGCTGCTATCCTTGGGTGGAGAAGAAGCAGTCAGGAGACTCTGAGCCCCAAACAGGGCTGAGCTGCATGCAGTGCCTAGCACACCAAACTTGCTTGTTCATCATGCATGTACACACTTTCCACTTCTTAGAACTGGTGCTTTCTGCCTAAGGAGGCCATGTATCCTGAGGCATGATGGCAGGCTGCCAAAGGATTATATTTCTGAGTGAGTAGAGCCTGAGCTCTCAGTTCCTTCTCCTCTCTAGCAAGGCTGGAGTTCATTATGGAGTCAGCCACTGTGCTGGGAGCTGCTGCAGGAGCATGCTGGGTGGCAGTGCTGAATGCCCTAGGTCCTGCCAAGGCCTGAGTGAGCATTTGTTGGGAAAGCTCTTAAGAAGCAAGGAGTTACAGAGAAATACAAGATGTCATTTGAGGTTTGTTTTTCCTTTTTTTGATAGTCCTGAGGCTTGAGTTCTGGGCCTGGAAACTGTCCCTAAATTTTTGTGCTCAAAACTAGTACTCTACTGCTTGAGCCACAGCTCCACTTCCTGCTTTTTGTAGTTAATTGGAGATAAGGGTCTCATGGACTTTCCTTCTGGGGCTAGCTTTGAACTGCAATCCTCCAACCTCAGCCTCCTCAGTAGTTAGGAACACAGGTGTGAGCCACCAGTGCCTGGCATCATCTGAGGTTTTCTTGTCTGGAAGAGGGGGAAAGCTGGTGATTTGAACCTTGCTTATTTTCCTCCACCAGAAATCTTGAGCAACATTTCCCTGAGGAAACTCTTAAAAGAGAAGTCCACTCTGTATAAAAGTTACCGACTAAGGGTAAGTTGTGTCTTTCTTTGGCTTGATAGATACCATGGCACTTACCCATGTACACATTCCACTCACAGGCTAAATGGTTTTACTCCCTGGGTTCCACCTTAGGCCTTGGGGTTTAGACTGTAAAAGTAGGATTGAGGTTGGATTCTATCAGCACACGGCAGAACACGTGTCCCTGGTGTGGTTATGTTTCTCTCACCATCTTCACTGCTACTTCTGGGCCCACAAGTTTTGCCCTTCTTCCTGTCCTCACCCTCCCCTTCTCCATGCAGTAGCAGAGGACGTTCGTGTCAGCAGTGCGGCTGTGTTGTTCCTGTAGCTCTGCTCTCATCATCATCTTGTGGCCATCAGGACTTTGGTTCATTCCAGGCTTATTTATTTCCGGTCCCCCCCATCTCCCTCTGTGCCACCTTTTCTTCTTGTTTTCTCTGCTGCTGAGGCCAGGCACCACAGGGCCTAGGCACATGTTTCTTCAGGCTGCTGAACTTTTCTGCTTGGTTCCTATGTGCTGTTCCTTCGCTTCCTTCTGGTCCTATCAACCAACTAACCATAGAACAACCTGCTGCCTACTTCTGCCTTTATCCTTGCACTTCTGGTTACCAGTCCTGACTTTGTGAGGTCCGTCTATTATTTTCCGTGTATTTATTTTAGCCTACATTAGTTACACAGAGGGGAATTCACTGTTACATTTGCACATTATCAATGATGTATTTGAAGCAATCTCACCATCTGTTTCTTCCTCCTTGTCCTGTATCCTCATGACATTGTCACCTCTTTAAGGAAAGGCACTGAGTGTGCTGTCCTCTCTGTTCAATCTTTAGTGCTTGAGACATTGCTCCAGCTTAGTGGCCTCTCAGTATAATTTGTGGAATAAACAAATGAGACCCTCAGGGCATCTGAGTCAGGACTTCCAGAGGCTTCTTTTAGAGTAGGTCTTCTGGCCACATCAGAAAGGTGGCACCCATTTCTCTCTTCCTTTTAATCTGCTGTGAGAATCTGGTCTTGGGTATGGTTTTTCTCCATGTTGTTCAGTATCCCAGGACTCAAATCAGTGCCTTAGGTTTGTGCTGTCATTGGAATAGACATTTGGGGAGACAGTGACAGAAAGCCTAGCACAGTGCCTTACACACTGCCTGAGTGATTGATGATCTGGTCTCTCATTCATCTCTCTCTTCCATTCTTTCTTCTCCTTTCCTTTTCTCCCAGAGAGAACAAACTCCAGATTGGGAGGACAAGTAGTGAATCCCTATCATAGAGTCAAAGCTGGGGAAAACTAGCAGCCCATGGTCTGCTGCTTCTGCCGGAGTAGCCGTCATCCTTCTTTTACCACAGATACAGGCAAGGCATGTGCTCCTGTGAGCATGCCATGAGAAGTGTAGAGGCAGCAGTGGACCCAGAAGCACAGGCATCTGTGGAGACCAACTGGTACTTCAGTGTTGGGAAAAACAATGTTAGAAAGGGACCCACCTGGCCTTACCTCTAACTTAGAAAACAAGAGTACAGATGATACTAGACCTGGGGTTTTTCAGCATTTTCCAAGACCAGGGATGGCCACTCATCCCTGATCACTGAGCCTGCGCTAGCATGATGTCTGAGATGTGGTCTCTGGAGGAAGGAAGAGCCTTAGACCCTGTGATCTCTGGAACCTTCTAGTCCTTTGCACTTGTCATATTCAGGAGGGGCTGGGGTTGGGTGAGGACTGATCTTGACAGGGTCACTCTCTTCTCCAGGCTGTCCATACCAACTGGTGTGAGCAGGTCAAGTTCATTCCCCGCCTGAACGTGGTGGCCTCCTGTTCAGCCACCGAGAAGTCCTCTCTGGTGATGATAATATTGCCACCCTCTGACTCGGAGAGGCCCAAGTAAGGCATGACTCATGAAGGGGAGTGGGTGGTGAGCGTATCTCAAATGTGTCAGGCTTCACCCAGCCACACGTGGATGTCTCCAATCAGAGAGGAGGCCCCTCTGTTTCAGTGGCCTCTCCCATGAGGCCACTTTCAGAGCAGTGTCCTGAGGAACATGCCGGTCCCAGGAAGCAGTAGTCATGTGTTCTATGATCTGATGGGAAGTAGAGCCTAGAGATTGGCTCTGAAGTTTGGTGGTTATCCTTTTTTTGGTCAGTTGTGGAACTTGACCTCAGGGCCTGGGAACTATCCCTAAACTCTTCTGCTCAAAGCTAGTTTTACTATTTTGAGCCACAGCTCTACTTCCATTTTTCTGGTGGTTAATTGGAGATAAAAGTCTCACAGACTTTCCTGCCTGTGCTGGCTTTCCCCCCTCTACCCCCTTTAATTGTGGGGCTTGGACTCTGGGCCTGGGCGCTGTCCCTGAGCTCTTCAGCTCAAGGCAAGTGCTCTACCACTTGAGCCACAGCGCCACTTCCGGTTTTCTGGTAGTTAATTGGAGATAAGAGTCTCACAGACTTTCCTGATCCAGCTGTCTTTGAACTGCAATCCTTAGATCTCAACCTTCTGAGATGCTATGATGTTAGGTGTGAGCCACCAGCACCTGGAAATTGTAAGTTTTAAATGAGCCAAACGCTGGTATAGGATGAATCCTCCACACACCCAGATACTGGTCATGAGCAGAGTTCACAGAGGCCAGGCCTGCAGTGCAGCCTTACCTCCATTAGAGCCGACATTCTCCTCAAACACCTTCTCCACTTTCTTAAGTGGAGCTCAGTGAAGTGCTGAATCCTGTGATGGATGAAAGAAATATGGCTAACAGTGGTAGATGGTATCTGGGAACTGGGGGCCTTTCTGACCTACCTGGACGGTTATAGGAACTAGAAACTGACAGGGTTCATTCAGATCTCAGTCTCCTAAGTAGCTAGGATTGCAGGCATGAACCACCAGCACCCAGCTAGAGTTTTAAATTAAGGGTCTGTTTACTTGCTAGGCAAGTGCTCTACCAGTTAAGCCATGCTCCCAGCCTTCTTTAGTTATTTTTAGATAGCTTTGAGCCTCAATCCTTCTACCTATCTGTGCCTCCTGTATAGCTGGGCTGACAGGCAAAAACCTCTGTACTAGGCTTATTGAATGACATGAGGTCTCACTAATTTTGCCTGGGCTGACCTCAAGCCATAATCTTCCTGATCTTCCCATCCCAAATAACTGTGATTGCAGGCATGGACCACTGTACCCAGACCTTGACATTTCTATTATGAAACATTTCAAAAACATAGAACACTGTAAAAAGATAGCACATCTTAAAAATTATTGTCACTAAGTACCTTAATCCAAATGAATATTTTCCCAAGTGCCTTAGAATACCTTTAGATAATTTTATTTGTAATCAGATATAGTCTAGTACTAAGATGGTTTTCAGTAGAGGGATAGTGGTGTTTGACAGGAAGCCACTGCAGTAGGCTGTACATGATAGTGGCCTAGAGTTGGCCACAAGGTAGAAATGGAGGAACTAGGAGTATAATTGGGAGTAGGCTGTAGAACACACACACACACACACACACACACACACACACACACACACACCTATAATTGGGAGTAGGCTGTAGCACACACACACACACACACACACCTATAATTGGGAGTAGGCTGTAGAACACACACACACACACACACACACACCCTCACACACACACACATACACACACCCTCACACACACACACACACACACACCTATAATTGGGAGTAGGCTGTAGAACACACACACACACACACACACCCCTATAATTGGGAGTAGGCTGTAGAACACACACACACACACACACACACACACATACACACACCCTCACACACACACACACACACCCCTATAATTGGGAGTAGGCTGTAGAACACACACACACACACACACACTCACACACACACACACTCACACACACACACACACACACACACCTATAATTGGGAGTAGGCTGTAGAACACACACACACACACACACCTATAATTGGGAGTAGGCTGTAGAACACACACACACACACACCCCTATAATTGGGAGTAGGCTGTAGAACACACACACACACACACACACTCACACACACACACACTCACACACACACACACACACCTATAATTGGGAGTAGGCTGTAGAACACACACACACACACACCCCTATAATTGGGAGTAGGCTGTAGAACACACACACACACACACACACTCACACACACACACACTCACACACACACACACACACACCTATAATTGGGAGTAGGCTGTAGAACACACACACACACACACCCCTATAATTGGGAGTAGGCTGTAGAACACACACACACACACACACACACACACACACACACACTGGGTGGAGACTTTTTCTAAGCCTTTTGCTAGACCTTGTCTCTAGCTCCTCCCCACCCCAGGCCTCGATTCAGTCCCTGGCTGCTGCTCCTTGCTCTGCAGCCCTTCGCCCTTTGACATTATAGGTTGTCAGTGCTGAATTTAAGAAAAGGAATTCTTTGCTTTGATTACTGCCCAGACAAGAACTTCCTAGGTAAGTTACCTTCATGGACCCCAGAAGCAGCTGGTCCAACAGAGCGGGATTCAGGGCTGCTGGGGGCCTAGGGACTCCTGGAGCCAAGGTATCCTGTAGTATCTGGCTTCTCACTGGCTGCTGCCTCCTGCCACTCTTGCCTCATTCATGGGTACCAGGGGATGTTGTGTGATACAGGCTCTGTATGGGATAGGGGTGGAGAAGAGAGGGAGGAGAGGTGCTGATGGACTCTAAACCCTCTCCCATCTGGCAATCCTGACTGTAGGCCCCAGGTGGCTGATACCCATTTCTTGGCCCTAGTGACTGGTGGCTATGACCCCCATATCCGCCTGTGGAACCCCTTGATCTCCAAAAAGCCTGTGTGGCTGATGAAGGGACATCAGACATCAGTGACTCACATCATCATGAAGAGTGAGAATAGCATCTTCATCAGCATCTCCAGGGACAAGGTGCTGGCCTATGGAGAACACATCCCTACCTCATCCTCAGAAAATGGGGGCAGGAATCTAGCTCAGCCAGTGGGGAACCAATATTGGGAGGACCTGAGGCCTAGGCAGCCTTCCTGTCTGTGGTCTCAGACCTGGGCACAGGACCACAGGGCAGCTTCCCAGGTAGAGTCACAATTCTGATGGCCATGGGTCTCTGCCTGCCTCTAGTAGAGGTTAGAGCTCATCTTCAGTCTGCCAGAGTTGGCTTTCCTTGGGGAGCTGCCTGGATTCTTTCTTTTGGGCATATTCCAAGCCCCTTACTTTTTTTCTGAGCCTTAGTCTTCTGATCCCTAGACTGGGCTATTGAATACCTTGTATGAGAAGAGAAAGTAAGAGAGCCATATAATTACTGGCACAGGGTAGAACATGAGCTGTGTGTGCCCTGCCCTTGTCTTCCCTTGCCCCACTTGAATCCACACCTTTCGGCTGTCCCAGTTTGATTGGGCCTTCCTTGGTGCCTCAGCTCCTCACTCTGCCCGTGTGCAACTGTGGATTCAGGATGCTGTCCATCTGCTTACTGTGCAGGGTGTCCTGGCCAACAGCACCAGGTGCCTTCACTTCAGTGTACAAGTCTGTGCTTTCCTGGGCTCAGGGGATGGAGGATTGTCAGTACCGTTGGGGTCCTTGGATCATGTTCAGATATGTCCTCCTCCAGCTGCAGCTGCCTAGAATTCTCTCAATAGCCTCCAGCCTGGTGGCTTTGCCTCTGATGGAGGGTCTAAAGCTGGGGGTTTTGGACAAACAGAGACTGGTTTGCAGAAGTTCTCATGTCATATAGTAGATGGAGCAAGGCTGTGTGGCCTTTCCAGCGCAAATTCCTTGATCCAGGCTGAATACAAAATGACTAGTCTGGAGATAGGCAGGCCATTTTGTCAGCTCTATTGGTAACTAGTCTCTGACTGTTCTAGGCTGCCTTTTCCAGTGAGGCTGAAGCCAGGAGCAAGTGAGGGTCTAGGGCAAAATGTAGCTGCTTGCTGCCTTCCTCCTCTGCCTCTAAAGTCTGCAGCTCAGGAAGGGGGAGGCTTGAGGGAAAGCTCTGGGATCGAGCTGCTACATGTACTCTGCCTTTCATGTACCACGTGCCCATGTTTCCTGGGCATCAGCCTGGGTTCTCTGTGGGCTGTGATGGCCTCACATGTCTAACTCAGGCAGGAGTGAGGAGAGTGCCCCTAGCCCTGTCTGCAGGAGTATCCACAGGGCCTCAGGCCTCAGCTGTACCATGAGGACTCACTCTCTGCCTCTTGCTTGTTCCCACCCCCAGAACATCCGTGTGTGGGACCTACAGGACTACGACTGCCTCCAGTCCTTCGGTGGGAAGACGTTTGCCCTGGGAAACTGTGCCATCACCAGTGCCTACTTACACAAAGACAACACCTTAGTCTGCAGCACTTACTCTGTGAGCGAGGGGCAAGAGGGCAGGCACTGTCCTGTCCTGTCCTTCCTCAGCTTGCCAAAGATGCTCAGCTGGCTGGCTGAGAGGCTCTGGCTCTCAGGCCTCCCCAATGGGTTGGTTCTGGGTCCCCACCTGCTGTAGCCAGCTCTGCTCTGGCCCACCCATGCATCCCTAGCACTTTTCTGGGAAACGCTCTGCCAGTCAGGCGCTCTTCCTCTACACTCTTCTAGCCCTGTCACTATTAATGTGATTGTCTTTTCTTCTAAACACGAACTTCAGGGAGATGTGAGCCAATCTGAACATCTCTCTGAATGAGAGGCCCCAGAACAAACTGTCAGGAAGACTGCTCATGTCTTCTGTCCTGACATAGGCCAGCTATGTCTGGGCCAAGCCCCAGGGACAGACTGGCTGGAGTGGTGATGGGCCTGTGGCTAGATGGAAGCCTAGGAGCTTCTGGCCATCCTGGAGGTTCTGTCTAGGGAGGAAAAAAGGTAGCATTTGTTGTTACTGGGACTTTGTGCCCTCTGTTGACCAGGCCACTGTCAGGTGACACACCATTTTCCTATGCACTAGGCTAGCTGAGAAGGAGGAGGTAATGTGTCTTGCCATTTCTTTGCTGCGTGCTAGAATGGTACTTTTAAAATGAAACAGTCTTTGAGGTTGATTTTGATCAACTAACATTATCAAACCCCTCCCTTCTTTTTGTTGGGAACTAAGACTTTTACTAGGCAGAAGGTGTGTGTGTGTGTGTGTGTGTGTGTGTGTGTGTGTGTGTGTGTGTGTGTGTGTGTGTGTGTGTGTGTGTGTGTTACTGGTGTTTAAATTCAAGAGCCTCATGCTTGCTAGGTAGGTACTCTACCATCAAGCGCACAGCCTATGGAATCTATTTCTGAAGCACAGTTACACTGATGTAGAAAATGTTTTGTGTACACCAGGTATGATGGTATACTCCTGTAATCTCAATTACTTAGGAGGTGGAGGCAGGTGGAGGTAGGGTATGAATTTGAGACCACTTGCCTAGCTAATCCTAAACCCTGAATTCAAATCCCAGCACCATAAGAAAAGGAAAGGAGGAAGGAAGGAAGGAAGAGAGGAAGGAAGGAAGCTAGGAAGGGAGGAAGGAAAGAAGGAAGGAAGGAAAGAAGGAAGGAAAGAAAGAAGGAAGGAAGGAAGGAAGGAAGAAAAGAGTGCCATGCACTATGAAAGCATCCAATGCTCAGGGCTTCAAACACAGGCATCTTTAGCCTAGCCCAGGGCAGAGTCATGGAGGCCTCCTGGAGGAAACATTTGAGTCTTAGTTCCTTAGCAGCTGTGACAGGGACCTTTAGGGCTTGGGAGTCCTAACTGTGAGTTGGGGCTATGGGGTGGGTGGGAGCAGCAGGAGTCTTGGGGAAATGAGGCCTGGTGGCTGTGAGGTCAGGTGTCCCCCTGGGGTTGCTCAGTCAGAGTGGGAGGTAGGGGGAGTTGTCACCGAAGGCAGGGCCCTTCCAAGCTATCTACCCTTCTCCCTGCAGATTGGGATCCTTAAAGGGTATTTAGAGACCCAGGAGCCAACAAAAGCAGGGCTGAAGACAACACACAGCACTGCCCTGTGTGCTGTCCTCTACAGCAAGATCGTGAAGCAGGTGAGCAGCCAGGGCTGGTCTCAGAAGCTAGCAGGAGTGTTCAGTGATGAAGGTAGGACCTAGACCTCCCCAGGTGCCTGGTCTGTTCCCATGCCATGCTGGGAATCCTGGGAGCCTTGCTGGTGGTGCCAAGGACCATGGGATGCAGATAGCAAGTAGTCTTGCAGACTGGTTAGCACAAGAGCGGATCCACCCCCAACCAGCAGAGACTTTGTGTCCTGGACTGTCTTAGATCACCTCTGCATAGGCAGCCTCTTGACGTGGAGTGAGATAGAATACTAGTTATGGAGGGCTTCTCAAGACCCCCTACATGGGAGCTGTCCCACAGCTTACTTTCCAGGGAAGCCACAGTTTGGCTGTGTTTATTGTGAGAGGGAGGGAGATTAGGGCAGCAGGCAGTGCCCTGGGTCTGAGGAGAGGATTCTAGGCAGACTGGGCCACTGGGCACATGGAATTATTTCTGCGGAGTGGGTACAGAAAGGAATTGTGGGACCTCTGCCCATTGAGCCTCAGGTCTGGTCTTGGCTATGGACAGGGTGCTGCACCAGACCAGAGCTCAGCTCAGCTCTCTGGCTCTCTCACCATTCTCTTACCACTATCACTGCCTTAGGGGTCTGCTGTGCTGTCAGGAAGTTTTTCTCAGGAGGTAGCCTAAGCAGCCTCACCTGCTATGACACTGTACCAGGTGTGATGGCAGCAGAATGTTCCAGGGAGTGGCAGGACTGCCCATTGTTCTCAGTGTTTCCCTAGGAGGGGCTTGTGTAATGACACTTTAGCAAACATCTTCTCCAAATTTGGGATTCCTTTCTCTGGCTAAATTCTGATAAGTAAGTACCATTTCTGAGTGAACAAAATGACTTTAGCAAATAAACTGATTCTCAGGACACAGAGCCAGGGAAGATCCATCATCAGGCCTTCTGCAGAAGCAGGGAGCCCCAGAATGCTTTTCTCAGAGTGTGGAGGGGAAGGGTCAGTTCTCATCAGTGGCAAGGGGCACCTTCTTTCCAGCAGCCCCTGCTGGAGCCCTGTGTTCCCCCACAGGTGGTGAGCGGCTGCCTGCACGGTGAAGTGAGCGTGTGGGATGTCAAGACGGGCAAGAAGAAGATGGAGTTCTCTGTGACCAGTACTCAGCCCATGGAGCTGACGGCCATGGCCCTGGACGAGTCAGGGCGATGTCTGCTCACGGGTCTTCGAGATGGCACCATGATGATGTGGAACCACAGCACTGGCGAATGCCTGCTAACCTTTCCCAACCCAGACCAAATGGAGGTCAGTCTGGCTTGGCTTCAAACCTGCAGGAGCCTTGAGTCCTCCTGCACACAGGGAGCAAGGCAAGAGTATGCACCTTTAGTGAAGCTCCCACAAATGCCAGGTGCTTGTGATCGTTAAACTATTGGCACATCACCAATGTCTTTGAACCTTGGACCACATATGACTCAGCGGCTCCTGTCCTCCCCACCCCTCCTTGCATCTAGAAATATTTGACAGGGTTGCAGAGACCATTTATGGATGGCTTAGAGCAAAGCCACATTGGTACTTGAGCCGCCTCCTCCTAGCCCCTATGATGTAATTCTTCAATGGGGAGCCAGGAGGAGAGGTATGCGTGCGTGCGTGCGTGCGTGCATGTGTGTGTGTGTGTGTGTGTGTATGTGTACTTAGCCCAGAAGCCAGGGTTTGAGACTTGGCTCATTCACTGGTTATTAGACTGTAGCCAGATCACTTATTTGTTTCCTAGTCATCTCTATAAAAGTGGGCATAGGTAGCTAACATATTCTATGATTTCCTCTAGGTTCCTTGAATTTTATGTTCTAGGTCCTTTAGGTTACATAATGGGATCCAAGAACTCTCTAAAAAATTGATGGTGGCATTAACTCTAGGAAATTCTCACATCATTGAGTTTTGTCTTCTTAGTACATTTAGGAAAGGCATGTTCTCCAAGGAGCTTTAAAGTTCTCTTTTGTTCATCTTCAACAGATTACCGGAATTGTCCATATGAGCAAAGGATTCTACATGTCAGGGTGGAATAAGAGAATCACCAGTTTCACGTGAGTAGCAGGTGTGCAGGGGGGAGGGATACAGCCACTGGGTGCCCTCACTTTATTTTCTGTATTCCTCCACTCAGAGCTCTCCCATACTTGGAAGGGCACACTGGACATGGGTGGTGGGAATGGCCATTGCTTGAGCTGCTCATCTATCCAGTCACTGATTTTATTCTAGGCTTTTTGCTAGGTGATGGGGATGACCATAACCAAGAATGATGGGGCCTCCAGGAGGAAATGTCTCAGTCTGTCTCAGCTATAACAAACTATCATAGACCGTGTAGCTTATATACAGCAGGATTTATGTCTCACAGTTCTGGAGGTTGGGAAGTCCATGACCAAGGAGCCATCAGTTTTAGTGACCGGTGACCCCTGTCCCCACCCCCTTCCTGAGTCATAGAAAGCTGTCCTCTTGCTTTAACCTTACCTGTGAGAGGGGCAAGGGAGCTCTCTGGGACTCTTTTTTTTTTGTTGTTTTTGGGTCCGGTCGTGGGGCCTGAACTCTGGGCCTGGGCGCTGTCCCTCAGCTCTTCAGCTCAAGGCTAGCGCTCTACCACTTGAGCCACAGCCCCACTTCTGGCGTTTTTCTTTTTGCTTCTGTGGTGCTGAGGAATGGAACCCAGGGCCTCAGGCATGCGAGGCAAGCGCTCTACCACTGAGCCACCTTCCCAGCCCCTCTGGGACACTTTTCTGAGGGCTCTAATCTCATTCATCAGGGGTCTTCCCTCATGAATACTTGCAAAGGCATTGCCTCCTAGTTCATTAGGGATTTAGATCGAATATAGGAATTCTGGGAGAATATAAAATTTGTCTATACATTCCGCATTGGGCTCCCCCAAATTCATGGCCACCTCATACCCAAGATACAGCCTTCTAGGCCTCAACCTCTTTTCAACAATCAGTCCCCTGGGCTAGCTGAGCTAGATGATCATCCCTGAGAAGCAAAATTCCAGTGTGTGGGGCCTGAGGGGCATGCTTCATAAGAGAGGCAGTTGCTCAGCCTCCACTCTGAAATCTACCTTCAGAGTCCATCTAAGTATCTGAATCAGATATGGATAAGACTCAGGAACCATTCTCCTGAGCAAATTGGCTGTCAGCTGTGAACCTGTGATACTAACTTGGTGAGTGCTCCTAAAATACAGCAGTGGGGCAGACATGGGATAGATCCTGAGCAGGACAAACCCCTCTGAGATCTTAAGACTGAAAAACTGTCCTCTTTGTCAGATGCTTTGCCCTGCAGTCCTCTGGGGAAGGAGATCCTGGTTTCCAGAACAGTGGGAAGCCAGCTAGGTAGGGGTGGGGTCATCAAGCCTTCAAAGCAAAGCTGCTTCTGTGGGTTTGGGTGGCCTTGCCCCTGCAATGGGTCTTGACATGGACTCCACGCTCTCTCAGGCTGTATTGCTGAGTCTGTACATAGCTCTGCCCATTGGAATCTAGGTGATGCCCTCTTGACTCTGCTGGGTGGAGCCCATGCTGTACTATGGCCAACAGGAGCTTAACTGGTGGAGGGGGTGGGCAGGGGAGTATCCATAGTTTAGAGTATGGAGAGAGCCTGTGAAGTGAGGTGGTGATGGGCAGTGTCTTCTTTGAAACCTCTCTGTTACAGAGAGACTGTTCTAATCTTTGACTTGCCTTCCAGGCCATCCTTCCATTGCTTTGGACAATAGCACGTGACTTTGTTGAAAAGGTTGATTTGTGTACTATCTATTTCCCCAATGGACAGTTTGGGTTACATTCTTTATGAGCTTACTCATTCCTTTCAACAAGGAAAGACTGAGAATTTCCCAAATCTTTGTGCTCTGCTTCCTTTTCTTTTTTACTTCTAGGGATTGAACCCAGGGAATTGTGCGTGCTTGGGACACCTATCATGCAGGAGCTATAACCCCAGCCTTACTTCCTCTTTGATGAACAATTTAATCTCTAATAAATCAGGCCATTCCTTCAATACTTTGCTTAGAAATTCCCTCAGCTAACTATCTCATTTCAGTGCTTGCAAGTTGTACCTGTCACTAAACACCAGAATTCAAACATGATTCAGCCAATCTCTTTGTCACTTTGAAAATGGGTGGCTTTCCTTCCAGTTTTTGGCACCAAGTTCCTGGTTTCCATCACAGTCTTCATTAGAGTGGTCTGTGCTGTCCTGCCTTCCCGGCAGTCTGTTCAGGATTACTTAGTTTGAGGCATGTGCTTCAAACTCTTCCAGCCTCTGCCCATTTCCCAGTTCCAAAATCATTTGGAAACATTTGATACAGGGGGTACCCTCACTTCTGGTACCACGTCATGCTGCTGTAATAGTCTGGTGAGGGCCTTCTTCCTCATGCATGGGCAGACTTCTTCAGGTAAAAGGGCGAGGGATCTCTATAATACACACATGAGGGCTTGTCCCTAGGACCCAGTCACATCCACAAGCCCTCAAATTGAGGGTGAAAAAAAACGAAATGTAGTCTCTATCAAGTGATGATAGACTTCATTATAAAGTATATGGAATGCTGTGTGTATGGGGAAGCAGAGGATTCTGTGGAATGGGTGGGTAGAAACCTGGCTTAGTGTTGGCAGAGGGAGGGCAGTCCGAGCAGCTCAGTTGAAGCTGTCATGGGTGAAGTCTGCCTGGAGAGGTGAGCAGGAGCAATGGCGAGGTAATAGGACACGTATCCAGGAGGTGGTGCCAACACAGGCCAGGTTCTTTCCTTTTCAGGGGACCTTTGTAAAGCCATCACTTCCTTTCCTCCTCATGCAGGCGTCTGAATGAGTGTAAATGAAGACTCACTCTGTCAGCTCCAAGGACAGAGCCTTAAGCAGGTGCTTAAGAAATGAGTCCAGGGGCTGGGAAGGTGGCTCAGTGGTAGAGCGCTTGCCTTGCATGCATGACGCCCTGGGTTTGATTCCTCAGTACCACAAAAGCAGAAAAAGCCAGAAGTGGTGCTGTGGCTCAAGTGGTAGAGCACTAGCCTTGAGCTGAAGAGCTGAGGAACAGTGCTCAGGCCCAGAGTTCAGGCCCCACAACTGACCAAAAACAACAACAACAACAAAAAAAACAAAACAAAAAATGAGGCCAAAGCTGGGTGCCAGTGGCTCATGCCTGTAGTCCTAGCTACTCAGGAGGTTGAGGTCTGAGGATCACAGTTCAAAGCCAGCCTGGGCAGTAAAGTACATGAGACTCTAATCTCCATTTACCAACTCAAAACCGGAAGTGGCGCTGTGGCTCAAGTGGGAGAGTACTAGCTTTGAGCTGAAGAGCTGAGGGACAGTGCCCAGACCCAGAGTTCAAGCCCCACGACCAACAAAAAAAAGAAAAAGAAAAGGAATGAGGCCAGTGGGGCAGGACTTGGAAGGATCGCTGAGTCCCCCTCTCCACCCTCCTGCCTCTGGCCATGTACACAGGTTCCACAAGACCAAATCATTGCTCATGTGCTACCAGTGGCAGACCTACCACAGCGAGGACATCCTGAGCATGGCCAAGTACCAGAACCAGTTCCTTGGGACCTCCTCCTACAACGGGGATATCCTTTTCTGGAACATCAATATAGCGGAGCCTATCTTGAGTTTCAATGCCTCCAAGAGCCCGTGGCCCTTGCAGCCCAAGAAGGTATGGTCCCAGCACACTGTGTCCAGTTACCCTCTCCCATTATCTTTGTCTTAGCTGGGGGCCAGAATCAGGGGTGGCAGCGAGTGCAGGGAGCACCCTGAGAGGTGGTAGAAACGTGTACCTATATAGAGGTTGGGAGCTAGGAGGGAAGATGACAGTTTCTGTGCTTATCTGTGTTGTACACATAAACAGAAGCACAGAGAGGTTAAGTACTTTGTGTAATGCCACACAGCTAAGAATGGGTTGATTCAAATTTAGGCAGCCTGATTCCAGCACCTTAAGTCCTGTCCTCTTTAAGAGATTACTCTTTTTTGTTGTTGTTGGTTTTGTGTGTGTGTGTGTGTGTGTGTGTGTGTGTGTGTGTGTGTGTGTGTGTGTGTGTGTGTGTGTGTGTGTGCACGCCTGCGCACGCACTCATGGTGCTAATCCTGGTGCTTGAACTCAGGGCCAGGTGCTGTCTGTGAGCTTTTTTGCTCAAGGCTAGTACTCTGCCTCTTGAGCCCAAACTTTTCTTCTGGCTTTTTGGTGATTAATTGGTGATAAAAAGTCTAATGGACTTTCCTGCTGAGCTGGCTTTGAACCTCAGTCTTCAGCTCTCAGCCTCCTGAGTAGCTAGGATTACAAGTGTGAGTCACTGGCATCCAGCTATGCTGGTCAGTGTCATAACTGTGACAAAACACCAAGCAGAACAGCTTAAGGGAGGAAAGATTTTGGCTCAGAGTTCCAGAGATTTCTGTCCACTGTGGAGAGAGAACCGCTGCCGTCATGACATCCCGGAAGCGGAGACAGTCAGTGTCGGTTCCAGCAGCTTTCCCTTTCCTCCTTTTTCTTTTTTCTGTTTTGGTCCAAGGCCAGAACTCAAACTTGGTTCCTGATGTTTTTGCTCATTAGCTAACACTCTGCCAACTGAGCCATGCCTCCAGGGTCCCCCTCCTTCCTCCTTTAACTCTGTTTTTATTTCCACAGGGCCCTTGGCCTGTTGGATGGTGCCATCAATTTTTGGGGAGAGGTCTTCCCCTCTTAGCCAATCCTTTCTTAGAAACAGCCTCACAGACAGCCAGAGGTGTGCTTTACTGTTCTCATAGATTTTATTCAACTCAACCAAGTTAACATTCAAGATTTATCACACCGTGTGTGTGTGTGTGTGTGTGTGTGTGTGTGTGCGCGCGCGTGCACGTGTGCACGTGCACTCGGGCCTGTACTGGAGTTTGAACTCGGCCTCATTTTCTTGATTGAACCTTGTTCGAGGTTGGTGCTCTATCACTCAAGTCATACCTCCACTTTCTTTTCTTTCTTTTTTTTTTTTTTAATTTTTTTTGGGTCTGGTCGTGGGCCTGAACTCTGGGCCTGGGCGCTGTCCCTCAGCTCTTCAGCTCAAGGCTAGCGCTCTACCACTTGAGCCACAGTGCCACTTTCGGCTTTTTTCTTTTTGCTTATGTGGTGCTGAGGAATCGAACCCAGGGCCTCATGCATGCAAGGCAAGCGCTCTACCACTGAGCCACCTTCCCAGCTCCACCTCCACTTTCTTTATGTTTTTGTTTTGGGTGGTTAATTGAAAAAAAGAGTCTCACGGACTTTGAACTGCCATGCTCAGATCTTTGCTTCTTGAGTAGCTAAGATTACAGACATGAGCCACCTGGCTCACACATACTTTCTTACTCATTGCTGTTAATCCATCCATTACTGCCCATATTCATCAGTTGTATAAGTAGGGACTTAGGGACTCTGTCCAATCTCTGAATTAGCATGTCATAGCCATTTAAAACTGGAAAAGATCTTAGGGACACTTCAGACACTGATTTTCCAAGTGTGTCAGTGCTGAGAGGGCTCTGGTAGGAGGTCCTTCCCCTAGGACTGCTCAGCTTTTTATCTGTTTTATGCTTTGGACTTTTCTAAGATTACAAACAACCATGAAAACATCTGGAAGCTGGTGCTGGTGCTCATACCTGAATCCTAATGACTCAGGAGGCTGAGATCTGAGGATTGCCATTATCTCCAGAAAACTGGAAATGGTACTGCGGCTCAAAATGATAGAGTGCTAGACTTGAGTGAAAAAACTAAGGGTCAGAGCCCAGGCCCTGAGTTCAAGCCTCCATGACTGATCGGGAGAGGGGTGAGGAAGAAGGATGGAGGGAGGCAAAGAGGGAGGAGGGAGGGAGAGAGGGAGAGAAAACATTTGGAAACCACAGTCCATTTTCCAGATGGGGAGATTTGGCTAGGGACTGCAAAAGGACTGGGGGGCTGCTCTCCCCCTACACAGGTGCAGGAACCTCTGGCTGAGGGCTTGGAGTCCAACGGAGACTTGAAGGAACAGAAGTGGGCGTATAGGCCCTTCTTGCAGGCCTCTGAAGCCAACTTCAAGACGCTGAGCAATGCCATCTTGAGGCAGAGCCTGACGTCGGCTCCCCCCGCGATGAGGCGAGATGAGCACAGGTCTGTGCTCCAGGTGAGAGTCCTGTGTGCTTGTTTTCTTGTCTGATTCACCTGTACCAGTCCATCCGGTCCAGCCGCTCACCTGTGGGCAGATAAAGGCACCAATTCTGAATCTTGAAACCGGACCCTGCTCCTGGCTCAGGAGGGAGCTGTTGGGCAGCCCAACTTAGGACAAGAAAGGCCCAGGTGCCACAGCGCACGTTCCTCTTCCATGCCATGCCTTTGGGATCAGAGTTATGCTGCAACCTTAAGACCTTTGAGATTGATGGAGGTGGAGAACATTCATTCCACTGGCTGTATCTGCCCTGCCAAGGCAACTGCAAGCGGAGCTTGAAATTCAATAAATCGAAGAGCTAATTCAAGAAATCTAGGCCCACAAATGATGTTATAAAGATCTAAATGGCAGAGAGAAAGGTTCTTTACCCCTGCTAAAGCAATGAGTGTTAGGCCCTTCTAGCATCACTTTTAACCAGCTGATCCCTTCTGGGACCAAGGGAGGGTCTTCCCTAAAGACAAAATGCAAGCCTCTGCCCTACAGAGCATGTGGCAGTGTTCTAAGGTCCAATGCCCCCCCAGATACCCGGCTGGGCTTTTCGCAGGGTAGGTTGTTATTAAGGGGGCTCTTTTCATGTTCTGCCTTTGACCTCTGTTGCCCTGGGAGGAGGAGGATGCCCTCCTAGTGACCTTCAAGCCTGTTTTTCTTTCCAGATACCTATGAGTACCTCCAGAATCCAGCTGACAAAGAAGTCCCATAGCAGATACATACCTTACACAGAGACTGAAAGGAAAAAAGGGGAATTCAAGACAAAGTTGATGATGCAGTCCAGCACATCAGTGGAGAAGGTAAGTGGTGCTCATCTGGGGCTGGGAAAAGCAGTGCTGGGATGCCTGGCTGAAAAGTCCAGCCGACGCCCCCAGTGCCAGGGACAGGGCTGCTGTGTCTCAGGAGAGTTCCTCAGGACCAGGCCATGGGTGCACAGACAGGTGGGATTGTGGCTGGGAGATGGTTTGGTAGGGGGGAGTGGGAGTGGGGGTGGTGGGAATGTTGGAGAATCAGCTGTTAGATGACCTCCATCTACCTGGGTGTGAAGCAGGGTTGTTCATCTGTTCTCAGCTCTCAACCCCACACCCCCATGCCTTTCCCCTCTCTGACTCTGGCCCTGCCTCTCTGTGACCTTCTTCCTTCTCCAGGAAATCTCTATCCTATATCCTAATTGTGTTAGAGGGGAGCAGGCCTGCCACAGCACCCAGTTCCAGAGGTTAGGGACTTCACAAGGGACACTTCTAGGAGCTGTTCTAGTGGAGCACTGTGAGAGGCTCATTCTGCCTTCCATTTTCTGAATGCTCTGACTTTTTTTTTTGGGTCACTTATGGGGCTTGAGTTTGAGACCTGGGCAATGTCCCTGAGTTCTTTTGATCAAGGCTAGTGCTCTACCACTCTGAGTCACAGCGCCTCTTCTAGTTTTCTGGTGGTTAATTGGAGATTAGGAGTCTCATGGACTTTCCTGCCTGGGCTGGCTTTGCACTGTGATCCTCAGATCTTAGCCACTTGCATAGTTAGGATTACAGGCATGAGCCCTGATACCCAACTATATCCAGCTTTTATTGGTTGAGATGAGAGTCTCATGAGCCTGTTGTCCAAGCTGGTCTTAAACTGCAATTTTCCCAGTCTCTGGCTCTTGAATAGCTGGGATTACAGGCAGGAGCTTCTGCATCTGGCTCTCCCTCCCCCAGCCTGATTTTTTTTTTTAAATACTGGTCAAACTCATTTTTTTTTTTTTTTTTTTTTTTTTGCCAGTCCTGGTGCTTGAACTCAGGGCCTGGGCACTGTCCCTGAGCTTCTTTTGTCAAGGATAGTGCTCTATCACTTGAGCCACAGCGCCACTTATGGCTTTTTCTGCTTATGTGGTGCTGAGGAATAGAACCCGGCTCCTCATGCATGCAAAGCAAGCACTGTACCACTGAGCCACTTTCACAGCCCTGGTTAAACTAAGTTTATTGGAACCCCAGCTTTTTAAAAATTTAGGTAGAGGCTGGACATTGGTGGCTCATGTCTGTAATTCTAGCTACTTGGGAGCTGATATCTGAGGACCATGGTTCAAAAGCCAGCTCAGGCAGAAAAGTCCATGTGATTTTTATCTCCAACTAAACAGCAAAAAGTCAGAGGTGGAGGTATGGCTCAGGTGGCAGAGCACCAGTTTTAAGTAAAAAGACAAACAAGAGCATGAAGCCCTGAATTCAAGCCCTAGTATTGGCATGTCTGCATGTGTGCTATCTCTCTCTGTCTCTCTGTCTCTCTGTCTCTCTCTCTCTCTTACACACACACACACACTCTTAAGTATTATGGGTCCCCCAACCCATTTCAGTCTAATGATAATATAAGCAACAGTTAATATTTACTGAGCTCTTAGTATCTCTTAGGCAGTGAATTTAATTATTTACACATACTGTTTTTATTTTATCAGTTAAAACAGCCTCAGGAATTATATACTACTATTTTTCCCCATAATAATTTGTGGATGGGAAGGGAAAAAACAAATCGTTTAAATAGGGATACAGGCTGACCCATTGCAACAATGAGATGTACAAGTTGTTACGTCGAAAAACGAACTTTACAACTTTGGCCTGGGATGGGGTGGGGAGTGGGGGTGGGTTGGTGGGGGGGGTGGGAGATGGGAAGGGATGGGAAGGGGAAACAAAGGAAGAGGCAACAATGCTTGATAAGAAATGTACTCATTATCTTGCCCATGTAATTGTAACCCCTCTGTACGGTATTTTCACAAAAAAAAAAAAAAAAAAAGAAACATTTTCAAAGTTGGGTATGGTGGTGCATGCTTATAATTCTAGCACTCAAAAGGCTGAAGCAGGAAGATCAATAGGTCAAGACTAGCCCAAGGCTATGCATTGTAGACCAGCCTGGGCTACTTACTGAGACCCTGTCTCAAAACACAAGAAGGCTTGGGATGTGGCTCAAGCCCTGCTAATCTGGCCCCATCTCTTCCCACAGATAATCTTCCTGCAGACCAGATCTCGCCTGCCTCACACAGCTGCCCTGCTGAGCAGCTGCGTCAATGGCTACATCTATGCCTGGTCCATCCATGGGAGTGGAGGCCTGATGGGGAAGTTCCCCGTGGACTCAGATAATAGTGGGAGTGTCATTGTGAGCACCATGGCCACTGACGAGGATGACTGCATCCTCATCACAGGGGACTGTAAAGGAAAAATCCGGGTGAGGAGGAATGGGCAGCTGGCTGGAGAGATGGGCCAGCCAAGCTTCCGGCAACCTCTGTGGCCCTGCTGGACCCCCTCCTTCTGGGTTCTGGCTGCTTTGTGAAAGGGTGGGGAGTAGTTGGTAACTGAGGAGGCCTCTCCTGCTCTGGCATGTCGAGTGAAGTGAACACAGTTCCTCCAAGAAATCCTCCTTCCTCTGGGGAGTCCTGTAGGCTTCTGCTGACTGCTCCCTTGCCCCCCAGCCATGTTTTGTCTGGGCTCAGCTGTCTCAGGGGCTGAGTTTGCGCGCCATATGAGACATGAGGTGGAAGTGCCTGTCATCTACTCTGCTAACCAAGGGTCAGGTTTAGAAGACTCTCAGATCCCAGGTTCTATTTGCGTCAGAGGTAGGAGTAAGAACTGTTCCTCACATGAAGAGGAATGGTCCAGGGGGCGGGATGGGGAAGGGCACAGCGTGAGCTGAGGCCAGGCCAAAGGGTGCTAGGCCACTAACCTCCCTCCCCCCACTTTATGCCTAGATCTGGGATATCAAGGATTACTGCATATTTGTTGGGCATCCCTCAACTCCACACAGTGTCAAATACTCCAATGAAATACAGAACAAGTTCCGGGACTTAATGCTTAGCCCCCAGATCAGCACCCCGTACTACGTTCCCCTCAAGGAGAAGGAGGTAGGAAGGTTGTTTTGGAGCTGCTCAGAAAAGTGCTTTGGGTCCTACCAAGGATCTGGAACTACTTCACTGTGATTATGACTCTTTCTTGCTTTCTCTTTATGTTCTTTTTTGGCTTATTTGGAAAAAAATCTCTCAATCAGAAGTCATCATTAGGGTCGGGAATGTGGCTTAGTGATAGAGTGCTTGCATGCATGAAGCCTTGGGTTCAATTCTTCACTATTACATACACAGAAAAAGCTGGACGTGGTACTGTGGCTCAATGGTAGAGCACTAACCTTGAGCAAAAGAAGCTCAGGGACAGCACCCAGGCCCTGAATTTAAGCCCCAGGACTGGCAATGACAACAACAACAACAAAAACCCCCAGAAGTTAGGGGCTGGGAGGTGGCTCAGTGGTAGTGTGCTTGCCTTCATGCATGAGGCCTGGGTTCGATTCCTCAGTACCACATAAGCAAAAAGGAAAAAGCCAGAAGTGGTGCTGTGGCTCAAGTGGTAGAGTGCTAGCCTTGAGCTGAAATGCTGAGGGACACCCCCAGGTACAGAGTTCAAGCCCCACGACAGACAAAACAAAAACAAAAAGCAACAACAACAAAAACCCCTGAAGTCGTCATTAGTCAGCAACACACACACACACACACACACACACACACACACACACACGCACGCGCACACACGCGCGCCATACTCCCTTTCCATGTGCTTTGATTTTTTCTGTGAGAACTCTAGAGTCATGAGTCTTTTAAACAAGAGTAATGGAGCTGGGCACTGGTGGCTGGTACCTGTAATCCCACCTACTCAGGAAGCTGAGATCTGAAGATCCCAGACTGAAGCCAGTCCATGAGACTCTTATCTCCAGTTAGCCAGTAAAAAACTGTAAGTTGTGAGACCAAAAGAGGGTAGTCTTAGGAGAGAATCACAAAAGTATAATGCCTAAGCACGTCGTCATATTTATATAAAATAATATGCATACTGAACCACACTTCAAAGATATGGAAACAAAAGACTTGTTTCAATTTTTTTTTTGGGGGGGGGTCTGGTCGTGGGGCCTGAACTCTGGGTCTGGGCGCTGTCCCTCAGCTCTTCAGCTCAAGGCTAGCGCTCTACCACTTGAACCACAGCGCCACTTCCAGCTTTTTTTTTCTGCTTATGTGGTGCTGAGGAATCAAACCCAGGGCCTCATGCATGCAAGGCAAGCACTCTACCACTGAGCCACCTTCCCAGCCCCTGTTTTTCTTTTTCTGATGATTCTGTATTCTTTACCTTATATACAGTATATTCATGCGCATGCCTGTGGGAGAGTGGGGGGCACAGAATCCAAGGAAAAAGGTGAAAAAGTGCAGCTCTAGAGTGCACTGGACATTGATGAAAGTGAACTATACAACTGGTGGGTAGAGATGGGAGGAGGGAATGAGAGAATGAGGGAACAGATGACACTGTATGAAAGGAAATGTACTTATTACATGAGGCATGTAAATGTAAACCCTCTGAATATCACCTCTATAATAACAATAAAGTATATTAAAAAATCCAGAAGTAGAGCTAGCCTTGAGCAAAAAGGCTCAGGGACAGCACCCAGGACCCGAATTCAAATCCCAAATACTGGCATACACAAAATAATGAATAGAAATGTTTATATGGTTCAGGACCCCTTGCTGCTTGCCAGATGCTTGATAAAACGGAGCACCTCTTCACTGGCTCCTCAGAAAACCAGTCTAACGCAACTCACTGTGTTTGATAGGGACAGACGGGTTAAGGGCAGCCAGCAAGAAGCTGTGTGTGTGTCTAGTAAGCAATCAGGAAACAAATGATTTCAAAGGCCAGGTACCACGCCTGCAGAATTCAAGATAATGATTGTATTTTCTCCTAACAGCTTGTCAGTTATCCCAGTGCTATGAGTTGTGCTTTGTGAACATTTGGGTTGGTTTCTGAGTTGTCCATTGTTTTTCATTGTTCTGCTTACAGAACAATGTAAGCAGATTATTATTCTGACTTATTATTATTATTATTATTCTGACTTACTTAACTATTGTAGAAGTGTCCCTTTCTTAATCTTGCTTTATTTCAAAATTGTCCTGGTCATTTTTACTCATCTGTCAGTTAAATAAACTTAATTGCTCACAGTGCAATGTGAAATATGACCCCCTTCACTCAGCTTATTCTCTGAATGCCTAGTGAAAACTTGAGGAGACCTGAGCTCTACTCAGAGACCCATCAATCTCTGGCTCTGTGGCCTTAGACTGATTTCTGATCCCCTCACTTTCATTTCTCAACCCTGTAAGACACAGAGACTCCTTATCCTATAAGGTCAGGATCAACTCTATCAATTGAATGGAGGCACTGATAAGTAACATGTAAATTTTGTTGTTGTTTGTGGTACTGGGGCATGTACCTAGGGCCTTGTTCTTGCCAGGCAAGTTCTCTTGCCAGGCAAGTTCTCCCCTTGAGCCACCCCCTCCCCCGCCCCCCAGCCTATAGATGCTTTTTTAGTAGTTTTACCAAAGAGTCCAGTAAGGGACCTCTCAAAGGTCAGCATCAAGTTAATGTGGAATGCGCCTAGAACTAGAAAACCCATCCATGTCCCAGAACCCTTTCTCTGGGTGCCTACCAGTGCATCTGTGTGTGATGGTCTTGGTGTAAGTTTTCCTGTCCTGTCCCCTCTAGGTTGTGGAGGGCCAGAGCATTTCCCTGGTTCCCCCTAAGCTCCTGATTACATGGAAGGGCCATTCGGACAACGTGACAGATGTCATGTATGTAGACAGCTTCCAGCTGGTGATCAGTGCTGGCCAGGACTGCAACGTCAAGGCTTGGAAACTCTCTGGTGATGCCGTCGGTATGGGTCCAGTGAAGTCTACCTGTCCCCCATGCCTTTCTTGCTCCTGTCCGTAACAGATCACAAGCTGACAGGAACCTTATTTCCCATAGGAATGACTTTAAAGTGCCTTTGCTTAAATTACTGGATGTAAGTCTGTCCAATTGTCCGTTCAGCCCTGTGTCCATTTATTATCAACTGCCCATCCACCCTTCCTCTACCCACCAACATGTCTACCTTTGCATATTTTTGAAAATCTATATTTGATGAGGTCTGTTCTTTCTCTATTTCTTCTTTTTCTCCTCCTCTTCCTCTTTCTTCTTCTTCTTCTTTATTTGGGGGGGTGGGTCTGGTCGTGGGGCCTGAACTCTGGGCCTGAGCATTGTCCCTCAGCTCTTTAGCTCAAGGCTAGTGCTTTACCACTTGAGCCACAGTGCCACTTCCGGCTTTTCTCTTTTTGCTTATGTGGTGCTGAGGAATCGAATCCAGGGCCTCATGCGTGCAAGGCAAGCGCTCTACCACTGAGCCACCTTCCCAGCTCTCTTTCTTCTTCTTTACCTCCTCCTCCTCCTCCTCCTCCTCCTCCTCCTCCTCCTCCTCCTCCTCCTTCTCTTCTTCTTCTTCTTCTTCTTCTTTCTTCTTCTTCGTCTTCTTCTTCTTCTTCGTCTTCTTCTTCTTCTTCGTCTTCTTCTTCTTCTTCTTCGTCTTCTTCTTCCTCTCTCTCTCTCTCTCTCTCTCTCTCTCTTTGGTTAGTTATGGGGATAGAATTCAGGGCCTGGGTGCTGTCCTTGAGCTTTTTCACTCAAGGTTAATACTCTACCACTTTGAGCCACAACTCACTTATGGTGGTTAATTGGAGATAAGAGTCTCATGGACTTTCCTGCCTGGACTTGCTTTGAGATGCAATCCTCATATCTCAGCCTCCTGAATAGATAGGATTACAGGTATGAGCCACCAGCACTCAACAATTATATACTCTTAAATAGGGGATCTCTAGATCTTTTTCAACTCTTGTGACTGAAATCTTACCCATGAGCAGCAACTCTTATTTCTCAGCCCCTGGCCACTCCCATTTTACTTTGTGCTTCTGATAGTGAGTTGAGGACCCTGTGAAACTCAGTGTGCCATGCTGGCTGCATGGCTGGCAGGTACTCTGCTGCTTTTTTTTCATTCTTTCTAGTAGTTCCTTCCCATCTGAACCAAGCTGAAGTCCAGGAATTCCCCAAGAAGAAAGCAGCTCCCAGGCCTGCTGCCTCTTGAAAAGCCTTCCCTTTCTGTAATTTTAGTGCATGTAGCTCTCTGATGACTTTTCAAAAATTGGGCTTTGTACCATGTCTGGTTCATTGCATTTTTACAATTCTGAAGCAGGAAAATGGCTTACCATGTCTTGCCCTGCCCAAAAATAGGACTCCCATTTTTTTTTTTTTTTTACCCTTACTACAGCTCATCTCAACATCTGCCCCATCTGACATGCATGGGCCCTGGTCTTTTTTTTTTTTTTTTGTGGGTTGTGGGCCTTGAACTCTGGGCTGGGTGCTGTCCCTCAGCTCTTCAGTGCAAGGGAAGCTCTCTACCACTTGAGCCACAGCGCCACTTCTGGTTTTCTGGTGATTTATTGGAGATAAGAGTCTCACAGCCTTTCCTGGCTGGGTCAGGCTTTGAACCATGATCCTCAGATCTGAATCTCCTGATTACAGGGGTGAACCACCAGTGCCCCACCTTCCCCCCCCCCCCCCCGCATTTTATACCATGCTTTCCATTTTATACCATTGCCATGGTTTTCTTCCCTTTTTTAATTTCTAAGTTTTTCTTTTTTTTTTGGTTTTCTTCCCCTTAACCACACGTGGGGCAGGGTACTTCAGGTTGGAGCTCCAAGTATATAAGAGGGCTGCTAGTGGTGGGTTCCTCCAAGCATTTGTTGAGTGCCCAGAATATTTCCTTCCCATGGTGGATACTGGACAGTTGGGTGAATGCCTGGGGGGAGGGGGTCAACCACTCTCTGACTGACTGTTGGGGTAGAGGAGAAGGGCAGTGGGTTGAGAAGCCTCTGAGCAAGGACTGATGGAATTACAGGGACATTTGGCCTGAATGTTTGGAAGAGACTACAGGATGCCGCAGTGGACAGTGGTTACAAACAAGCTGAAAACTCAGAGGAGGAAGACATCATAGACAGCGTTTCTAAGGCCCCCCAGCTGGATCTGCAGTGAGTCCCAGCCCACTGGGCTCCTCTGGCCCCAGCAAGGCCCCTGGGAGCCTTGCCCCTCCTTGGGTTGGGCAGTGCCAAACATGGTTAGCTTTCAGAAAGCCAGTGCCTGGGGACCTGCAGTTCATTCACAGTGGCTGTTGTGACCCGAGAGCCTGAGATTCTGAGGTTGGGGGATGTTTAGATAGTCCATTGGGGAGGTCCCTGGAAAGACAAAGGAGTACCAGGCTCCTTGCAGGCCAGTAGAGGGAGTGGGAAGAGCAGCAGAGCTTGCAGGACCAGCTGCATCTGGACGTGTTAGCCTTAGTAAGCCTTGCACACTGATAGTTTCTAGCAGAGCAATGGAGACACAGGAAAGGGCAGGGCCAGGCCCAGGAGAGGGATACTCCTCTCAGGGTTCCTGGGAGACCCCCACCTTGTTTAGTAGGAAGAGTGTTTTGTGAAGGAAAGCCTCTTGTAGAAGGGATCTATATGAGGCCCTGGCATATCAACGGCGGGAGCAGGCGGTACTGATGGACCTTCTGAACCAGAGGCCTGAAAAGGAGGCTGAGGCATGGGCCAAGCTGCAGAAGATGGCTGTGACATCACCGTGGCCTAGAGAGCACTCCCCGCAAGACATCGAGGAGAGCTGGAACAAGTGGGAGTCTCATGGCAAGCAGGTGCAGTAGGCAGGAAGCTAGGGTGTTTGTGCATGTGTATATGTGTGCACACGGGTGTGCTTGCAAGTGCATGTGCAGGCATGACACTAGTTTCAGCCTTCCCTCTCCCCCATGACCCTGCAGCTGAGTGAAGTCTTGGGAGCATTCTACAAGCCCAAGGAGCACTCTCGGACCAGTAGATTCCTGACCACCAGTGTGAATTACAGCTTCATGAAGCAGCAGGTGAGGCCGCTCCCTGAGACCCAAGGGCTGTCGAGGCCAGAGGACCCAGTCTTGTGCAGTTAGCACTCCAGCGGGAGTGATGCGGTCACTTGTCTTCTGTTCTGTATGAGGCTAGCTTGGCTGGTGTGTTTGCCATGGTCCTGGTTGAAGTTTTGTCCCTGAAGACAGAGGGCCCAAGGCCTTAGGGGAGGAGGTCCTCCTTGGACCTGGGCCCACTCTGCAACCTTCAAAATACCACAGTAGCTTGTATCTACCCTTGAGTGCTATTTGCTGCCTATGTCCCCACCACTGTGGGTGCTCAAGGGCAGACACACAGGAAGGTGCCAGGCACACAGGAAGGGATGGAGTACCTGGAAGGGGTGGCTCTTTGTGGGAAGAGAAAAAAGGCGTGGGTACATCCCAGCCTTTCCCTCCTTGTCTGCCATAGGGCAAGACAAGAACCCCCCTCTATGTGATAGGAGAATAATGAAAGTCACATCCCTGAAGGGCTTTTCTCCCCATGCTGTACCTCTGCCCCTGGCCTGGAGGGGGCTCCCAACCCAGCTTTGCAGTGCCAATAGGAGAGGCGGAGTATGTCCTCTGAGGTCCTCTGCACCAGGGCTCTGCTTTGGGTTCAGCTTGTAGCCTGGTTCTAAGAAGGGCACAGTTCTGGTGCCAGGGCCTGCCTTTCAGGGTTGCTATGGCCACTCAGAAGCGTGTTGGGGGGCGGGCTGAGATGGCCCTGACTTCCTTGGTCGTTGATCATCACAGTAGGCTCTTCCTCTCTGCAAGCCTCTCTTGGTCCTGAGTACCCTCAGCTCCAGCAGGTGCCCCCCTGCCGCCTTGCTCTACCCCCCTAGATCTCACCTCCGATCTACCACAGCCTATACTTCAACGAGCTGGAGCCCACCCAGCAGCTTCCTAACGTTAACTTACTAACGTTCAAGATCCCAGAGCTGCAGGTCCAGCGTATCGTCCACTGGGAGGATGAGTCTACCCCGAAGCAGCCGCCGCCAGTCCTTCCCTCTCCTCTGTGCCCCCTGCCGCCTCGGCATCAGAGCTGTTGGACTCCATGTTTGCCTCACTGAAGCCTCAGGCTTCTATCTCCTCTCTGTAGCCCCATTCAGCTACCACAGCCCACTCCTGCCTCTCACTCCCATCTGAGTGCTCTGAGTCCATTCAGTAGAGGCCAGAGACCCTCATGCTCACAAAGCAGGGCTTTTGCACCCTATCCTGAGCTACCCCTCTCTCCAGTCCTCTAGCGGAGCACCCGGGCCCATGGGGTCTTAAACATCCTGGGCTCACACCTGGCAAGGCCCAGAGGAGGTGGACCTTTCCTGGCAGCTCTCGTGCTACCTCTCTGGAAGTCGTCTCTCTAGCTCTCTTCTCTCTGACTCTGGACAGAGTCCTGGAGAAAAAAATAAAATTTCTTGAATATCAGAGTTGTGCAGATGAAGCGGTTGGGCTGTGTCCCTCACTCTCTAAGATCCCAGTGGACCTCTTGAGTTAGGTCCTGTTCCCTGGCAAGGCCCTGGGAAGACCCAGAGACCAGTCTGTCCCCAGGATACCTGGGTATGCTGGCTGGCAGGTGACAGGCTGACTCCTGGGGACAGGGGCTCTGTGGTGGAGAGGCAGGTAGTCACATACTGTGGAAGCTAGATGGCCCAGACACTTGGTCCAGCCTCTCAGAAGACAGGCCCAGTAGCCATCTAGTGGTAGCCATGGCTGTTTGGCCCCTGTGTTTTAAACTGCTCTGTGCCTGGACAGGAGTGGTATGGTGGGTGGGGCAGGGGAGGAGGGATATTGGAGCAGCACCTCACCTGGCTCTGCAGACTTTCTCTGGCCAGAAGCATCTGGCTAGGCCAGAGTCCTCAGCAGGTCAACCCTGTCCTGGGGCCCATGGAAACTCCTGGACACAGAAAATGCCATTCAGAGGTCACGAAGCGTCAGGCCTACCACTCTAAACCACTCACCTCATGCCCTTTCTTCCAGGTTTAGTGCCCATGGCCAGGGCACAGTCTATGACATTGGATAGAACAAAGCCTTCAGACTCACCCTCACCGTGGGCATGGGACCAGGGCACCCTCAAGTCAGCTGTCCTTATGGATGGCAGAGTTGAGGCCTTCCTTGGAGCTGGTCAAGGGCGGTAGGTCTGGAATCCGCTGCTAAATGGTGTGGAAAGGCCCAGGAAACCTTGCAGCTTTCAGACTTTCAGGCTGTTTCCCTGAGTCTGCCATCCTAGAGACTACTGGGAAGGTAGATGAGACAGGAGGTCCCAATTCTGCTTGTCCTCTTAAAGTCCCTGTATATGTGTCTCCTTTGTGGGATGTATTGAGCCCTGGGCCAGATGCCCTCCTGTGAAGGAGTGTTGCTGAGTTTGAAGCTCGCCCCCTGCTGGTCCACCATGAGGTCTTTGGACAGCCTTCTGAGAAGCCTCAGTCTCCAGGACTCCTCTGAGTGGCTAGTGCCCATCTCTGGCCTCCCTGAACCCTCAGCTTGGGGTTGAGCTGGGTTGTGAAGTCTGGGGGTAAATGGGATCCTCCTCCTATGAGGAGCTTATCCTGGTCCTGGTAAGGCCATGGCACTAAGCCCCTCTTCCCACCCTCTAGTCACAGAAGAAGCCATACTCCTCGCTGTCCTCTGCATTGACTGGGCTTTTACTACGTGCCAGGCACCATACCCAAAACTTCATGTTCTAAAGCTTTCCTCCCCCTCTATTTTAGCAGTACTGGGTTTGAATTCAGTCTTATGATAGCTAGGCAGGCACTCTAACTGAGCCACTCCCCTAGCCTTCTTTGCTCTTCCTTCTTTGTTTTCCTTCCTTCCTGACTGCCTTCCTTCACTCGTTTTGGGGCATAACTCAGGGCCTGGGTGTTATCCCAAGGCTTTATTGTTCAAGACTAGTGCTCTACCACTTGAACTACAGCTTCACTTCCAGCCTTTTTGGGTAGTTAATGGGTGACCAGAGTCTCATGGACTTTTCCTGCCTGGGCTGGTTTTGAACCTGATCCACAGATCTCAGCCTCCTGAGTAGCCAGGATTAGGCCAGGATTAGGCATGAGCCACTGGCACCTGGCTTTAGGTATTTTTCAAATAGGACCTCACATTTGTGTCTGGACCAGTCTCAAACCATTTGTCAAATGTACACCACCACACACAGCTTATTGGTTGAAGTGTGGTCTTGCTAATTTTTGTCCCGGCTGGTCTCAAGCTTCAACTCCCCAGATCTCTGCCTCACAAGTAGCTGGGATTATAGGTATAAGCCACTGTGCCCAGCACCACTCCCCTCCCCCAGATCTTTTTATTTTTGTTGGTTGTGAGACTTGAACTCAGCACCTGGGTGCTGTCCTTCTTTTGTTCAAGGATAGCACTCTACCACTTTGAGCCACAGCTCCATTTCTGGTAGTTAATTGGAGATTAGTCTTACAGACTTCTGCCTGGGCTGGCTTTAAAACGTGATCCTCCAATCTCAGCCTCCTCAGTAGCTAGGATTACAGGTATGAGCCACCAGTACCCAGCTAAAGGCTTCACTTTTAAATACTTGGAAACATCCTGAAATGTAGGCATGAATGTTCTCCTAATCTGCCAGTTACGGAAACATGTCCAGAGAGGTCAGTGTCTACCCTCAGGTCCCCCCAGGATGCCATACCTGGGATATGAACTCCAGAAGAAGGCTGACTGCAAGGCCTATCTTTATTTTTCATTTTTATTTTTTGGTCAGTCGTGAGGCTTGAACTCTGGGCCTGGGTGCTGTCCCTCAGCTCTTCAGCACAAGGCTAGCGCTCTACCACTTGAGCCACAGCACCACTTCTGGCTTTTTCTGCTTATGTGGTGCTGAGGAATCAAACCCAGGGCCTCATGCATGCAAGACAAGCACTCTACCACTGAGCCACCTTCCCAGCCCTCTATTTTCTATTTTTTCTTGTTTTTAAAAATATAATTTTATTGTTATTTAAGTATATTTTTTTCTGGCTATTTCAGTATATTTTTTCCTGGTTATTTTTTCTTTTTAAATAGCTTATGTTTTTAAACTTGATTCTGTGGAGGTAACAAGTGCCCAACACCTGAGCTGTCTTGATTATCATTGTTCAAGGTAATAGCAGGAGAGTGCAGCACAGTGACTTGGGCACAGCCACTAAAAGCAGAACTGACAGCTGCTTCTCTTTGCTCAGCAGGTGAAGGGGTTGACAATTCTTGCATATGGCCAGAAGGGGGAGCTAGGTCCTTTCCAGAAAGAACTCCATGAAGCCAGGGAGATGGAGAAAAGCCACCTCCAGGGCTGGACCCAGGAGGACAGGAAGGTGTGCCTGTGGGATGCAGCTGGTCCGTGGTACCTGCCACTGGCTCTCAGATGTTTGCGGATACCGTTGTTTCTCTCTCTCTCTCTCTTTTTTTTTTTTTTTTTGGTCCGGTCGTGGGGCCTGAACTCTGGGTCTGGGCGCTGTCCCTCAGCTCTTCAGCTCAAGGCTAGCGCTCTACCACTTGAGCCACAGCGCCACTTGTGGCTTTTTTTCTTCTGCTTATGTGGTGCTGAGGAATCAAACCCAGGGCCTCATGCATGCAAGGCAAGTGCTCTACCACTGAGCCATCTTCCCAGCCCCCCTTTGTTTCTCTTTACCAAGCCTTACAGTCTCCTCTTTGGAGCCTTTGAGTTGATCTCTACTAAGCAAAACAAGTGGTGCATTTTACAAATGGAGAACTGAGGCTCAGAGGGGAACTGTGACTGGCTCAGGTGCATACTGGCTCTCTGTGTTCCCCACATCTGAAACTAACCATATACTTAAGTGGATGTGTAGGTATATGTGTGTGGGGTTGGTTACTGAGAGGTCCAACTACCTCTGCTGTAAGCCATCAATTCTGAGCCCAAGGCAGCATGTGGCTTTCTGGGCCTGGCAGGTCCAGTTTTTCGAAGTTGCAGGGGAGGGGAGGGAGAGGCCCAGGGAGGTTTTTCTAGATGTCTCAGGTGAAACACTCTTTGATAAATGACTGCTTCTGTTTTTTTGCTTGCCATTTTATGTTTGAAGAAGAAAGAAATGTATCTCATCTAAATTGTTGTATTTATTGGCATAAAGTTCATAAGTTTGACTTTACTCTTAATGTCTGTAGGATCTATAGTGATGCTCCTTTTTTTGCTGGGGGGAGGGGTACTGGTACTGGGGTTTGAATTCAGGGCCTTGTGCTTTTGCTTACTTTTTTTTTTTTTTGGTCCGGTCGTGAGGCTTGAACTCTGGGCTTGGGCACTGTCGCTCAGCTCTTCAGCTCAAGGCTAGTGCTCTACCACTTGAGCCACAGCGCCACTTCTGGCTTTTTTCCTTTTGCTTATGTGGTGCTGAGGAATTGAACCCAGGGCCTCAGGCATGCAAGGCAAGCGCTCTACCACTGAGCCACCTTCCCAGCCCCTTTGCTTACTTTTTTACTCAGGGCTTGTGCTCTGCCATTTTTTGCTGTTTAATTGGAGATAAGAATCTCAGAGCTGGGTGCTGGTGGCTCATGCCTATGATCCTAGCTACTAAGGAGGCTGAGATCTGAGGATCAAAGCCAGCCCCAGTAGGAAAAGTCTGTGAGACTCTTATCTCCAATAAACTATCAGAAAACTGGAAGTGGCTCTGTGGCTCAAGTGGCAGAGCTCTTGCCTTGAGCTGAAGAGCTCAGGGGCAGGGCCCAGGCCCAGAGTTCAAGCCCATAACCTCTAAAAAAAAGAATTTCAGGGCTGGGAAGGTGGCTCAGTGGTAGAGCGCTTGCCTTGCATGCTCGAGGCCCTGGGTTCGATTCTTCAGCACCACATAAGCAAAAAGAAAAAAAAGCCGGAAGTGGCGCTGTGGCTCAAGTGGTAGAGCGCTAGCCTTGAGCTGAAGAGCTGAGGGACAGCGCCCAGGCCCAGAGTTCAGGCCCCACGACCGGACCCAAAAAAAAAAAAAAAAGAATTTCAGAGATTTTTCTGTCCAGGCTGGCTTTGAACTGTGATTGTCAGACCTCAGACTCCTGAGTAGCTAGGATTATAGGTGTGAGCGACCAGTGTCTAGCCAGGCCCTGTCTTAAAAAAAAAAGGCAAGGCGCTGGGAAGGTGGCTCAGTGGTAGAGTGCTTGCCTTGCATGCCTGAGGCCCTGGGTTCGATTCCTCAGTACCACATAAGCAGAAGAAAAAAAGCCGGAAGTGGTGCTGTGGCTCAAGTGGTAGAGCGCTAG